ACCACCTGTCTCCTTAATCCTTGCCCATCCTGGCTTATAAAAGCTAGCCGAGAAGGGCTGGGCGATGGGCTTCGTGGGGTGGTGAATGCTTCCCTCCGTGAGGGAGCCTTCCCAGACCTGCTGAAAGAGGCGGTTATTAAACCGCTTCTTAAAAAACCATCTTTAGATGCGGCCACGATGGCCAACTATCGCCCAGTCTCAAATCTTCCATTCTTGGGCAAGGTGATTGAGGGGGTGGTTGCTGAACAACTCCAGGCACGCCTGGAAGAAGCAGACCATTTGGATCCCTTCCAGTTGGGATTCAGGCCTCATCACGGGACTGAAACTGCCTTGGTCGCACTGGTTGATGATCTCCGGTGGGCTAGGGACAAAGGTGAGAGCTGTTTCCTAGTTCTGCTGGATCTCTCAGCGGCGTTTGATACCATCGACCATAACATCCTTCTGGACCGTCTTGAGGGGCTGGGAGCTGGGGGCACTGTCATACAGTGGTTCTGCTCCTTCCTCCTGGGCCGTATTCAGAAAGTGGTGGTGGGGGATGAGTGTTCAGACCCCTGGGCTCTCACTTGTGGGGTGCCTCAGGGTTCTGTCCTCTCCCCCATGCTTTTCAACATCTACAGGCAGCCGCTGGGAGAGATCATCAGGGGGTTTGGGCTGGGTGTTCATCAGTATGCGGATGATACCCAGTTCTACCTCTCTTTCAAATCAGAACCAGTGAAGGTGGTGAAGGTCCTGTGTGAGTGCCTGGAGGTGGTTGGAGGTTGGATGGCAGCTAACAGATTGAGGTTGAATCCTGATAAGACAGAAGTACTGTTTTGGGGGGACAGGAGACGGGCAGGTGTGGAGGATTCCCTGGTCCTGAATGGGGTAACTGTGCCCCTGAAGGACCAGGTGTGCAGCCTGGGAGTCATTTTGGTCTCACAGCTGTCCATGGAGGCATAGGTCAAATCCGTGTCCAGGGCAGCTGTGTACCAGCTCCATCTGGTACGCAGGCTGAGACCCTACCTGCCCGCGGACTGTCTCGCCAGAGTGGTGCATGCTCTGGTTATCTCCCGTTTGGACTACTGCAATGCGCTCTACGTGGGGCTACCTTTGAAGGTGACCTGGAAACTACAACTAATCCAGAACGCAGCAGCCAGACTGGTGACTGGGAGCGGCTGCCGAGACCATATAACACCGGTCTTGAAAGACCTACATTGGCTCCCAGTACGTTTCCGAGCACAATTCAAAGTATTGGTGCTGACCTTTAAAGCCCTAAACGGCCTCGGTCCAGTATACCTGAAGGAGCGTCTCCACCCCCATCGTTCTACCCGGACACTGAGGTCCAGCTCCGAGGGCCTTCTGGCGGTTCCCTCACTGCGAGAAGCCAAGTTACAGGGAACCAGGCAGAGGGCCTTCTCGGTAGTGGCGCCCTCCCTGTGGAACGCCCTCCTACTAGATGTCAAAGAGAACAACAACTACCAGACTTTTAGAAGACATCTGAAGGCAGCCCTGTTTAGGGAAGCTTTTAATCCTTGATGTATCACAGTATTTTAATATTCTTTTGGAAGCCGCCCAGAGTGGCTGGGGAAGCCCAGCCAGATGGGCGGGGTATAAATAATAAATTATTATTATTATTATTATTATCCGGTTGGAAAAGCTTGTCAAAACAGAAAAGTCTTCACTTGTTTCCAGGGAATAAAATAGTTCCACAAACAGGGGCTGCCACATTGAAAGCTCTGCTCTGAGTTACTGTGGAGCAGACTTCTGCTATGTGGGCACTCTAAGGAGAAGCTCTCCTTCCTGCAGAACACAGGAACTTACTAAATGCTATTAAATGATAAATCCATAGAGATGGGGGTCTGATTTTAAATCAGCTTGGCAGTACACTTGCCCTTTAACAACAAACAAACTACCCTTACTTTCTGACTTTTGCTTACATTGGAAGTTGGAACCCTGTCCTGCAGCCAGGGTCACCCAGGAAAGTGCCACGGAACAGGTTATACAACTCAAATCATAACTCAGACCCTTAAAATAAGTGGAAGGGCGTCAAATGAATGGGATCTGATTTTATTTAGCTTCTGGCTACTCGGAAACAAGTCCTGCCATACCTTCCAAGGTATCAACTACAAGGACTGAAAATGCAGTCGTGTGGGGAGGGAACCTTCCAGCACTAGCCTGGGCCACATAAAAACCGCTTCAGCTTTTAGACTGCAGTTCTACTTATTAGGAAGCAAGAATTAAGCAAGCAAGCAAGCCATATAAAACACAGGAGAACCTCCAAGAATACATGCTAGGACTGCATAGCAAAAGCAGCAGGCAGGCGGGCTGATGGCTACTACTCCAAACCAACACACGGATTTAGTTCTTTTCTCTCCCTCCAAGAGCCAAATTATAATTAATGTTATTACTAATCACATCTCTTTGGAAATTAAGTTCCACCGACTTCAGTGTACCTCACCTCTAAGTCAGAGGCTGGAGAAACAAGGATAGCAGCATATGGGCCAAAAAATGAAGCTACCTAAGCAGTATTTGAGGCTTTGGGGCATGCTGTTTTAATCACCATTTATTATTTATTAATTTTATTAATTATTAGTTAATTTTAATGGCCATTATACTCTACCCTTGCTTCATTTTGTTTTAAAATAATTATTACCTGCTCCACGTCCATGAGACGTCACCCTTCTGTGCCCAGTGAAAAAATTTAAAAATTAAAACATCAACAGCCTATTATTAATATATGAATGCTTAAGACTCTGCAGGTTGCTTTTATATTTTTAGCTTATAAATGTTTATACTATAAACAGCAACTCATGTATTAAGATAATAATGGAATACGCCAACCTACACTCTCACTAGTCCCAACTTTGGAAAGGTAAGTGACAGAGCAGAAGGCCATGCAGACTGTAACAGAAACTAAAATAAAGAGTAATGAATAAGCACATGCAGGTTCCTCTTGCCTCACAGGGGGACAGTGTGCTTTTGTTGGGCAAATGGGAGAATTGCTGCCTCCTCTTCACAGAAAAGAAAGCCAAAGGAAGGTATTAGCAACAGCTAGCAAAAGCATATGAGTGGATGCTCTCAAAATAGTCAGAGCAGAAGCACGGTTGATTGCAGAGGGGTAGATTCCACATTAATCACTCTATTTCACTCTAGAGTGACCTTGAGACAATGACCCCAGATGCATTTACAAACACCTAAAAACCTCAAAGAAAAGAAAACTTTATACTTCAGTTGTTGTATCATGGATCACACAGCCTCATTGTCTTTCACACTTTTATTTCTCCACTTCTTTGTTTGAATGAAAAAGTGTGTGTTGTGGGGAGAGAGGGAGAGAGGAAGAATAAAAAAACAAAAGCCCTTGAGCCGTTTCTTGCTTCTGCTGCCCTGGGATCTGGCACTGTCACAAGTCATTGAGCATTCTGCCACTGATTGTATTGGTAGAAGGATTAAAACGCTGTTCAGCAGAGCACAGGTTCAACAGAAACACACCAACCCTTTATTCACAGACAAGGCCAGGGGACTCTAAGCTGCCAGCTCAGAAGGTTTGCTCCCTCCCTGCTCTACACACAGGCAGGATGGCTGGTCCCATAATGGACCACAGGGCTGACAAGGGCTGGTGTAGGATGTGCAGTCCTCACAAGCAGGTTTATGTGGGGGTGTAGAGGGGGTGGGATAGGTCACAGTACACCATGGGCAAAGAAAAGAGGGACGTGCCATCTGGGTGTTCTGCAACACACACACACACACGTGTGAATTATTTTAATGTAGCATGACTCCTAGGGATGTGCAATTAAGGATGGGTGATCTGTAAAATATTTCTGGGCCCAACACATTTGCCTCTTTTGACAGCCACCACCCAGCAAGTGTCTGCAGCTGCTCCAGACAGACAAACTGTTTGAGAGGAGGAAAGGGCAATGATGGGGTCTAGTTCAAGCCCACAGCCCTTCACCTCTGAGCTCCTGCCAGCCTCCCCCCCCCCCAGCGCAGCTTCTGTTTACTTTCCTTCAAGGAAGCAGCCCCCTCCCCCGCTTGGCAGACACATACCCAAACACATCAGGTCTCCTGCCGCTGCCTCACACAAAGAGCCACAAACAGATACAATCTTTTTTATGGGACACGGAGGAAGAAGAAAAACAACAACAATAGAGGGCAGATGGAAAAGAGTTTAATTCCCTGAAATGGGGCGGGGGGGGGAGAGAAGCTGTCCTATGAGTCCTTACTCTGGAGTTTATATATCAAAGACTCTTTTCTTTCTCAGGCTAAACTTTAAAAGTCCAGGAGTTCTTTTACAGCCCAGAAGAGCGAAAGGGATGGAGGGGGAAGGAGAGAGGGAGAGAGAGCAAAAACTTTCCTTTTTTCTTTTGTCTGCAAGCTGCGCTGCCAACCAGGCACTGCCTCTGACCCGGGTTCAAGAAGCCCCTCTGCCCGTTTCAGAGCCTCCAAGCCGCGTCCAGGCACACAAAAGACCCCCGCTGCCCCCCGGCCCCCTCCCGGGAGCGGCAAGGCGCGCACTCGGGAAGGAGATGGTCGCGGCGGGACCCCCGCCCGGAAGCCTCACCCGCTTTGCAAGGGTCCTTGTAGTCGATGGGCTCCGCGTCCCGCTCCGCGTCTTCCTCCAGGACGTCGCCGTAATCCGCGAAATCCATCGCCTGTCCCAGGACCAGGACGGAGAGGAGCAGCAGCCCCCGCCTGGATGCCGGCATGCTGGCTGGCGGGTCCCGGGCAATGCTGGCGGCGGAGCGGGAGAGGGACCGAGAGGGAGGAGCCCCCCCGCGCCTGGCTTGCTTTTAGGGAAATGAGATCTGGCGGAGGCGGGTTCAAGCGCGGAGCTCAGCCCCCTCCCGGCCGGAGGATCGAGGCAGCCCAGCCGCCCGGGAGCCGCGCCAGCCCCAGAGCGGGGCGCCCGGGACCCGCCTCCGGCCCTGGGGAAGGGAGGCATTTTAGGACAGAGCCCAGAAAAAGGCGAGCGGGAGGCGGGAGGCGGGAGGCGGGGGGGGGGGGCGGCCCCGCCGAGAAGGAAGCCGAGGGCCCGGGCCAAGGGACGCCGGAAGGGGCCCCTCCGAGCAAGAGGGCGGCCTCGGCCCGCCTGGAGCCTCCTGGGGCCTCCTGCCCTCCTCGGTCGGGAAAGAGGAGGGGGCGAGACGAGCCCGGCCTCCTGTCACGTCGGAACACTTCGGAACTGGACTACACGCGGTCAGATACGGAAAGCAAGAGAAGGCGGCTGAGTGGCGGCGCTTGGCTGCCGCAGAAAGGGGTCCCGCTCCCGCGGAAATGCCCCCTTGGCCGGCCTCCGGCTCCGGGCTCCCTTCTCCCGGCTCCCAGCCTGACCTTGCAGAAGCGGACCCGGGTCTGCCCGCCCCCAGACCCGCCGAGGCCCGACGCCTGCTGCGCCCCTCAGCTCTTGCCCATTTCAGGCCAACTGGGAACTTGTTTGGGCAAACGGGGCAAGATTCGGAAATGCCTCCGTGAGAGAACTCCTCCTGCTTCCCTTCCCGGGCAGCCGAGCCCGGGCTGACTTGCCTGCTGAGAAGGGATGTGTCAAACCTGGGGAGTGGGGAGAAAAGGTGCCCTTACCTGCCTTGGAAAGGCAAGGTCGAAATCCAGGCACCAGCAGAGTCCGAGTCGTGTCTATGCAGAGGAACTTGGATGTCAGACCAAACTTTTTCCAATCCTTTGTTCTTTTCGTCCGGAGTCTCAGAGGAAGGAGGAACGTGTTCCCTCAGCAATAGCGGCCTATATGGTCTTCCACTGCCACAAACTCTTAACTCATTATTTCTGCTAATTTATGAACCAGTGAGGCCTAGATCCGATGTTCCTATTGATTTGTAACTTCCTTTTATGGTTTTGTCCCCTTCACCTATGACTCCCACCATCATTTGCCCAGCATGTTATTTTGATCCATTTGTCTTGTCACAAGCGTTGTCTTTTGTTGTTCTTATTTTGAGAACACATTTTTCATAAGGTAAGAGTTGAGGAAAAATTGCTTTTCTGGAGTAGGAAGATTAGCCGCTTTTAAAATAGAGTTTGCTCAGGTAGGAATTTAATATCAATAAGTATCAATAAGTAATCTTATGTTGGACATATTCTCGCCACTCATTTCAGTTGAACCACAAAATCTTGCACACTTCCGCTGAAGAGTTCTGCATAACAGTTGTAACTCAAAATCTTACATGCTCATACAGACTTCAATTGCTTGGGAAACTGCCATCCCTGTTTATGCCGTTCAGCTGGGCAGCAGTTGTCCATTAAATAATTGGTTGTCAGAAGGTTAACTCTTAGTGCCAAACTGAACCCTATTTTCCCATTGTAGTTCGGATGGTACTTTGGGGAGGACTTGCCTCAGTTCTGTTTGATCACTTGTCAGGGTGCGGAGAGGGGCCTTCCAGCCCTTCACTTAAGTGGGGCTCCTGTAGATTCAGATAGATGGGAAGTAGGGAAGCCTTTTGCAGCTGAAGCCTTCTGCGCTGAAATTCAGGAGGGCCTTTAAACAGATGTGACAGATATAAAATACATCACAGTGACAAATGTATGACTGTGCCTGTGCCGTCTGTTTTACAATACTTAAAGGAAGCATCCGCCTTGACCAGAAATGGGCCTGGTGACCCAGCAGAAGCAGAGGCTGCTGAAGTGGGAGCTATGGGAAGGTTTCGTCTGCTGTGTTAGGTGCAACAGCCGTAGTTGTTGGCATTGGAATAAATATTGGCCCACAACCTGTGAATTACATATCTAGCTTGACTGCGGGTGACACCTACAGGTCAAACTGTATCACTTTGGTTTTATCTGCAGTAAACAGGCAATATAATTAGAAGTAGCTGCTTGTCAGAAGATCACTTTATGCTTTGTATGTTTTTGTAGTTGGGCAAAAGTAAAGACTGAATTATTATCCTGTTTTGGAAAGGGTCGCTGTCCTTTCCAAGCAGGGGAAATGGGCATTTTCACCCTGAAAGGCACCTTCTCTTCTGGGCCAGCTGCCAATGGTGGGCAGACCCAGAGGCAACAGTGGACTGAGCAACACATCTAAACCTGTCCTTTGTACGGCCAGGTAATTTTTACACACATCTCTCTGTGTCTTTCATCCAAATCATCAAGAGTTAAAGGATACCTTCCAGTCCTGGATGAGCAGTCAGGGGTGTGGCCTCTGGAGATGGGTGTGGCCTGGGGCAGAGTTCTGAGGGCCAAGTGGAGAGCCCTGAAGGCCCTGAAGCTTACCACCCTTGCCTTAAAGGTTCTGTGCTGAGCAGCTTCACAGAGTGGCTTCTCCTGCTACAACAAACCCTGTGGGCCATTGTTTCCCACTGACAAGACCACATCCTTGTACTAAAGTTGAAATTAGTTTGGAAGGAGGAAAAGCACATTCTCAAGTGTGCTCTGTTACTTTGTGTTTTCTCAGAGCAGCTGCAATTTGCATTCTAATTCCTCGCCCCTTCCAAACAAAGCCACCTATGGACTATGTTAGCTCTTGGGGAAAGCAAGCTATAGAAATGTTGTTTTAGCTGATTGCTTTAAAAATCAGAGTTTTAGTAGAAGCCTAGACATGTCTACTCAAAAGTAAGTTCCATTGATTTCAGGGGTGTTTACTTCCATAAAAGTGGTCATGGGATTGCAACCTTAAGCTTCATCCTTGTAAGTTTTATTCAGATTTATCTTTAAAAGTAAACTCTTCATTCTAAAGGTGAAAATTTGATTCTGAAATTTGCCAGATTTTAAATGCGTATGAAGTACTATGAGGACACACATTTTTACCCTGGCCTTTGACACTTGATAATGTCCCTACTCTCATTATTGTAATTTATTTATAACCTGTTTTAAATATTGATTTTTTAAATTGTTGCAACCCACCTTGGGAACTTACAGTGAAGGGTGGTAAGAAATTCAGTAATTAATAAATTTTGATTACACTTAGAACTTATTCCCCCTTTCTAAACTCTCTTTTAACTGAATGAGAATCCTAGGAACTGCGGTTTGTTCAGGGTTGTGAAAGTTGTTGGGAGGACCTTTTCCCCTAAAGGGGGGATGGTTAATCCACTCCCAAATGCCGCTCAACATCCATCACAAACTAGAGCTCCCAGAATTCTTTGGGGGAAGACATGGCGGTTTAAAGTGGTGTCGTAGGACTTCAGATGGTGTGAACATGGCTCAGGTTTGGCTAGATCTGTTCATGAAACATCACTAGAGGGGCTGCTGCCTAAAAATTAACTTCTCCTCAGGGGCTGGGCAGAGGAAGGCTTCAAAGTTCTGTCCCCAGGAGTGGCTGCAGAGAGCACTCAACTATTCACTGGGCATCAGATGCCGTTGCTGCTGCTGCTGAAGAAGTGCTGAGGAGATATTGCCTGGCACCGCTCAGATTTCCCTCCTGCCTACAGACCCTGTGCCCTGGCATGAAAGTGCCTGAGTGCTGCAAGGCTCAGCAGCTAGAATTATCTGGCAAGTCCAATCAGACTCAGGACCCTCCTGCTCCACCTGAGGACTAGGCCATCCCTATACATTATGTCTCTCCCTGCTCATGTCATGTAAAATAAAATTTCTAATATTTGATCCCAAGAATGCCAGCCTGCCAGCCAGACCCCACCCCTCCCCACTGCTTTTTATGAAATCCCACATCTAGTAGCATGGGTGTAGCCAAAATTTTTGTGTGGGGGGTGGGGGCCTTTTGTTAGAGGGGCAGAACCTCAGTTAGCTATGTATTTTTGTTGAATTTTACTGATCTGGAAGGAAATATGGTTGGTTAAGTGGTTGTGAGGCAGCTGGATCTCATTGGCCTGAACAGAAGAGGCGTGTGCCCATCTGAGCCTCAGGGATGCCCCCAGGATCCGCAAATGGGCCTGCAGCATCTGTGCCCCTGCCCCCCCCCAGCAATCTGGTGACAAGAAGTGCTGCTTGTGTACATACAGGTGAAACTCATAAAATTAGAATATTGTGGAAAAGTTCATTTATTTCAGTAATGCAACTTAAAAGGTGAAACTAATATATGAGATAGACTCATGATATGCAAAGCGAGATATGTCAGGTCTTTATTTGTTATAATTGTGATGTTTATGGCGTACAGCTGATGAAAACCCCAAATTAACAATCTCAGAAAATTAGAATCTTAAATGAAATCAGCAAAACAAGGATTGAAAAAAGAGCAATATTGGACCTCTGAGAAGTAGAATGGCCCTTGTGGTCTCTTCCAACTCTATGATTCTATGATTCTAGAAGCATGCATATGTACTCAGTACTTGGTTTGGGCCCCTTTTGCATCAATTACTGCCTCAATGCAGTGTGGCATGGATGCTATCAGCCTATGGCACTGCTGAGGTGTTATGGAAGACCAGGAAGCTTCAATAGCAGCCTTCAGCTCTTCTACATTGCTCAGTCTCATGTCTCTCATCTTTCTCTTGGCAATGCCCCATAGATTCTCTATGGGGTTCAGGTCAGGCAAGTTTGCTGGCCAATCAAGCACAGTAATCCCATGGGCACTGAACCAGGTTTTGGTACTTTTGGCAGTGTGGGCAGGTGCCAAAGTCCTGCTGGAAAATGAAATCAGCATCCCCATAAAGCTCGTCTGCGGAAGGAAGCATGAAGTGCTCCAAAATCTCTTGGTAGATGGCTGCGTTGACTCTGGACTTAATGAAGCACAGTGGACCAACACCAGCTGATGACATGGCTCCCCAAATCAACACAGACTGTGGAAACTTCACATTGGTCTTCAAGCATCTGGCATTGTGTGCCTCCCCATTCTTCCTCCAGACTCTGGGTCCTTCGTTTCCAAGTGAGATGCAAAAGCTGCTCTCATCAGAAAAGAGATTTGGGGAGCCATGTCATCAGCTGGTGTTGGTCCACTGTGCTTCATTAAGTCCAGAGTCAACGCAGCCATCTACCAAGAGATTTTGGAGCACTTCATGCTTCCTTCCGCAGACAAGCTTTATGGGGATGCTGATTTCATTTTCCAGGAGGACTTTGGCACCTGCCCACACTGCCAAAAGTACCAAAACCTGGTTCAATGCCCATGGGATTACTGTGCAGCGCTGGCGAGTGCCCGGAGGGGCAGGCTCTCTGGGGCTTGGGCCACAAGGGCTGTGCTCTGCCTCCCCAGGCATCTGGTTGGCCACTGGGAGAGCAGGAGGCTGGGCTAGAAGATGGCCTGATCCAGCAGGACTCTCCTTATGTTTTCTGGTAATGTCATTCCCACACCATGTAAAGAAAGCCAGAAAAGAGGCCTCCTTGCTTTAACTGCAGCATTTCATACCCAAGCAAATAGGTTTGCCAGTCCTCTTGAAGCATGTGCTGTTTCACAGCTTTGCTGTCTGCGCTACCATTAAAATGTTGTATTTTAATCTTGTTTTTAAGTTGTATTCATTCAACTTAAAAACAAGATTAAAGAGAAGAGGAGGTTAAGGGGTGATATGATAGCCATGTTCAAATATATAAAAGGATGTCACATAGAGGAGGGAGAAAGGTTGTTTTCTGCTGCTCCAGAGAAGCGGACACGGAGCAATGGATCCAAACTACAAGAAAGAAGATTCCACCTAAACATTAGGAAGAACTTCCTGACAGTAAGAGCTGTTCGACAGTGGAATTTGCTGCCAAGGAGTGTGGTGGAGTCTCCTTCTTTGGAGGTCTTTAAGCAGAGGCTTGACAACCATATGTCAGGAGTGCTCTGATGGTGTTTCCTGCTTGGCAGGGGGTTGGACTCGATGGCCCTTGTGGTCTCTTCCAACTCTATGATTCTATGATTCTATGAACTTGGTTTTATTATTGCTTGTTAGCCACCCTGAGCCCGGCCTTGGCTGGGGAGGGCGGGGTATAAATAAAAATTATTATTATTATTATTATTATTATTATTATTATTATTATTACTATTATTATTACCAGCTCTCAGCCCACCCTACAAAACAGGGCTGTTGTGAAGATAAAAGAGGGATGGGAAAGAGTGCACACAGCCTGGAGCTCCTGGGATCAAGACACAAAATATACAAGCATCCAGCATGTGTGGAGTCAGAACTCTCCACGCATACACAACTTTTTGCCAACCTAAAAGATCCTAAAATATAGTCCATGGGAATTTTAACTTGATGTAGCTGTAGCTGTAAGCCATTTTAATTATTTCGTGGGTGCATTTGCCAATTCATTCTGTAGTTCATATTTTTGTTTTATGGTTACTTTCTGCATACTAATAAATGACAAGCAGAACAATAGAGGCTTTGTGGGGGGCTTGGAAAACTGGTGGGGAGACACAACTGCAATATCAGTTTTTTCTCAGTAGAAAGTAAACCTCATTTATTGCAAGACAGTTGCTTCCAAAGAAAACATAGCAAAGTCAGTTGTGTTTTATTATGTAAAGGCAGCACATTTGGGTGGATGAAATAAAGTGAACAGGAATGAAGTGCAGTCATACCCCCTTTTCCCTCCTTTATCCAACTTTTTTTTTTTAAAAAAAGATTTTTATTAGTTGCAAACACAAATACATCAAATATACATAAATAAAACTTAAAAAGTAAATAATATAAGAGAGAAGAAACAAAATGAATAAAAATAGAAAAATAGACAACAAACTTCAAAAAATATATATTTTCACATCAACTTCTACATAGGGAGTTCAAGCCTTTTTTAAACAGCTTCGGCTTGGCTCCTTAATTGGTATCTTGACTTCCCGCTATCGATGAACGTACTTAGTATATCAGTTTTTTCCAGATCTGTATTCAAATGGTAAATCTTGGAGAGAGTCTATCAGTGGGATTTAGTCCACGCTAAGCCAGGTGATGTTCTGGAAGCCTTCTTTTTCCATGTAATTAATAAAGACAGCTCATTTTCTCCTTGTTCTTTCTTTTGAGTGATTTATTAGATCTGTTAATTTGGCAAGTTCTAAATATTCACTTAATTTTAAGAGCCATTATTCTTTTGTGGGAATTGTATTACATTTCCAATGTTTCGCTATCACGATCCTTGTGGCTGTGATTACATATAGAAATCTCTTTTATTTTCCTTTGGGATGAACATTGTGAAAATTTCTAATAAAAATATTTCTGGCTTTTAAAAATATGTACGTCTAATCATTTTTTAAAATTTCTTCATATATCATGTCCCAGACTTTTTTGATTCTGGGACACGTCCACCACATGTGGAAAAGACTCCCCTCTTTTAGATTACATTTCCATCATTTGTTACTAATATTTTTGTTCATTTTAGCCAATTTTGCTTGAGTCAATATACCACTGGTACATCAGTTTAAGGAAATTTTCTTTAATCATGTAACAGGCTGTGAATCTGATATCATCTTTCCAGAGGTTTTCCCATTTTTCTAATTCTTTATTATATCCCAGGTCTTGTGCCCATTTTACCATTACATCTTTAACTCCGTCTTTTTCTGCTGCTTGGGGAAGTGGGGGGGGGGACCCCTTCTGAGCCCCTGGTGGGGGTGGTGAACATCCCTTCTGATTGCTTAGCAATAGTTATTAAGCATCCTTAGCAATGGTGCTCAAGCACTCGATCTGCTTTCACTTTTTGTGCTCTAGCTTTCTCTAGAAATGTCCAACTGACGTAGCTTTCATTTCTTAAAAAATGAACGCTAACTAGTTTGGGGGCCCTGCTGGCATTTGGCCCAGTGGAGAGGCATCCCTTGCATCTGCCCACACCCCGGGTGGCCTTGCTTGGCCTGTATCTTGGCCGGGTGGCTGTGGTGGTTTTGCATACGTCAGTAGAAGCCTTGGGAGATTTATTAATCCTATGATCTGATGGAAGGGCTTTAAAATACAAGAAATGGAGTGCTATATCTATAATATATATCCCCAGTTTACGGAGCCAGCATCTGCTAAAAACAAGAAACTCATCAAAATTGTGGGTATGGAGCAATAGTGGTGCTAGTCTATAGCAAAACATGCATACCTATAACACCTAGCAAACCACTTTCTAGCACAGGTGTGGGGAACTTTTGGTATTCCAGATATTGTTGAACTACAACTCCCATCATCCCTGGCAGTTTCTTTCTGGGGGAAGTAAAGCTCTGTGTAGAATTTTTTTTAATAAAGTTCTGTGTAAAAATATGCAAAACCAAGGAGAATCTTTCAGACTGCAGTAAGACAAGGTCAAAGATGTAGGTTCTCGTGAGATTTTTAGAAGTAAGGGAAATGCAGCATGAATTACTCTGCCCTCCACTAAGAAAGGGTTTGCCCTCAAACTAACATCTGGTAATTTCCACGTACAGGCAATCTGAAAAAAAGATTTGGACTTTCTTTACCACCCGTCTGCAGTTGTTACTCAGGGCGGTAAACCAATTACAAGAGCCCAGTAAAACAGGTAAGAGCAACACAATCTCACATGGCCACTCCCCATTAGAGCTCTTTTCAGGACCCCTGAATTATATTTCATACTAATCTGCATTTTCTTCTCTTCCCAGCCTCCTAATTCGCTAGCCCACCCATCTAAATATTCTGTACTACCACCTCCCCTCAACGATGCCCCATTTCTTTTTAGGTTACCCCATGTTTCAGCTTGCCTTTAATGTTCTCCCAGCGCGATTCTGTCCTCCACAAAACTGCCCCACCTCTTCAGAGATACCCTGGCCAATACAACTTTCTATTACTCACATAAAGGTAAAAGGTAAAGGTACCCTTGCCTGTACGGGCCAGTTGTGTCCGACTCTGGGGTTGCGCGCCCATCTCGCTTAAGAGGCCGGGGGCCAGCGCTGTCCGCAGACACTTCCGGGTCACGTGGCCAGCGTGACAAGCTGCATCTGGCGAGCCAGCGCAGCACACGGAAACGCCGTTTACTTTCCCGCTAGTAAGCAGTCCCTATTTATCTACTTGCACCCGGGGGTGCTTTCGAACTGCTAGGTTGGCAGGCGCTGGGACCGAGCAACGGGAGCGCACCCCGCCGCGGGGATTCGAACCGCCGACCTGACGATCGGCAAGTCCTAGGCGCTGAGGTTTTACCCACAGCGCCACCCGCGTCCTAATTACTCACATACTCAGCAACAAATCACCATTCTCCATTTTTCTCCCTAAGAGACAGACTACCTCAATACAATCCTTTCTGTGCTTCAGCCCTCCATTATTCTCCTCTGAACATTCCTTTGGGAAACCCCATTCCTATTTTTATTTTGACACTTTCTCCTTGATACTCTCCCTCAGTTCCTCCACAAACCCCAAAACAGCCAGTTCCATTTATGACTCCCCCAAGGCTTCTACTCCTTCCTCCCTACAGGAGCTCCACTTCTCTCTTCTCCCCTGCAACCACTTCCCAAAGTCAATTCCATGGGGGAAGAGGGGGAAAACCTCAACAGGGTATCGCCATCTTTTCCTTTCACATGTTGGTAATTGTTCTCTTCTCAACCCCCCTGGAGCCCGTCCCTGTTTAACATCTCCTCCCACAAAACAAAGCGGACTGGGCAGCTAATCTAAACCTTCAATTCTTTCAGAAAATTATACACATTTTTGACAATTATTGTATGTGGCACTCTTAACAGTTTGCTTGGTATTTTATCCCCAGGCATTTCCCCATTTGTTACCTGCAATATACTGTATTTTTCGCTCTATAACACGCACCCAACCATAACACGCACATAGTTTTTAGAGGAGGAAAACAAGGGAAAAAAAATCTAAACGAAACAGTGGATGTATGATTTTTGTGGTTCATGCTGTGGCCACAGACATGTGATCTGATGGTGAGTTTGGGGTAGCCCAATGCAAAAATCCTGAGGATCCATGTGGATCCATGCTTTGTAACCACGTTTTTGCACCACTGCAGCCCCAGGCAACAGTGGGTGCATGATTTTTTTGGTGCAAGCTGTAGCCATGGACATGCTATGTGATCTGATGGTGAATTTGGGGTGACCCGTGTAAGCAGCTCCTCTCCTCTCCCGCTTTGCTCCTTTAAAGCAAGCAGGCTCTCTGTCCCTCTCTCCTCCCCACTCAGCGGCTCTTCTCCCACTTTGCTGTTTCAAAGCGAGCCACGGAGAAGAGAAGGAAGGGGAACCATGGATCCTCTGCTCACGACTGCAGCAGATCCCCCTGCCATCCGTAGGCATTCACTCCATAACACGCACAGACATTTCCCCTTACTTTCTAGGAGGAAAAAAGTGAGTGTTATGGTGCAAAAAATACGGTACTTAACAAAAGAGCAACAGATATTTAGTTCTAGTCAATTCAAAAATGATACTCTCAAAATAACCCTTTATGCTTGAAGAGGCAGTGAGAAAAATAAAATAGTCAAATACTTAATTGGAACATTCAGAACAATTTATTGAAGTCAACCTCAAGCAAAGATTTAATCAGTGGAATGTCATTTTAAAAACCTTTCCAAATTAATTTTCACAGAAGCAAAACCACATCTGAATTCCAAAGTATTTGTAAAATAAAAAAGGCAACATCTCCGTTAATATAATGTACAAAAATTATATGTTCCTACCATCACTCACATTCAGTAAGAAGCTAAAATATTACAGGCAATCCTAGATACACTATGACTAATAAACAATGAGCTATCTATATACAGGTTAACCAAGCTCCATAGATTTCACACTATGCAAGAAAACATAGGCCAAACAACAAAACCCTCCAAAATGTTGTTTAAGTCTCAAAATCTACGCAGCAACATCAAGTCATAATACAGTAATGTCCCCATGGAACATCCCCAGGGAAAAAATAACACGACTTTTAAAGTGTTGAGAGCTTCTATTTGGGTTTGAGAAACTCCTCTAATATATTGACTTTAAAGTGAATAACAATGATTTTGCTATTAAAGACTCTGGTGATTTTTGTTAAAATAACATTTCACAGAATCTACAAAGGTTGGTACGTAGTAACAAGGTCTACAGAAATAACAGTTCTACAAATTCATTGTTACAGATAGAGTACACAGGAATGGAGACAAATTGTTGGTACTGGTGCCCATTGTGCAATATCACATGTGTGGGTACAAATGGATTTTTGTCTTTTCATATAGCAATGTCAGAATAAGCACATACCCTTATAAACAATAAAAAGACACAGTCTTGTTACTAGCCAGTCATAATAGCTATTTTACCATCATGGTTTTCAACGGCAACACAAATTATTTGTTGTTGTTTTTAAAATGGGGAGGGGTGATGACACAGGCTAGACACAGATCAATATGAATGAATAAACAAATATAATATTTTCTCCAGTTCTTATTGAAAAATAATTCCTTCGGATGTCCACTTGGGGGGAGAGGACAGGTGTTTGGGAGAGGATTCAACACACTGATTTTATTAATTTCCAAAAGCAGACTTCCAAAACCACCACTACACTGGATCCTCTGCACAACTGCCAATAGCATCACTAATGGGAAGCTGCGAATGGAGGAACAGCTTTGGCAAAGTGGCAGTGTTTTTCTTTTAACTGAAATGAAGTTAACACTTGGGGGGAAAGGATGTAACCCGCCAAGCTCTGCTCCTGGGCATTCTGCACTCGTCTCCATGAAGCGCCTATGGTTTCTGCACCAATCCCACTGGCAGATATGGCAAGCCCACAGCAACAGAGCTTGCCACCCCTGGAATGCTGCACGAAAACACAGTTGCAAAGAGCATTCACTTCATTTCTTTCTCGCCAAAGTCGAGGGAGGGGACCCCTCACCCAATTGCATCTGCACCGCAGCTTGTCACACAACAAAATGCTGATTTGCCCAATTCTACCCGCTAAACAATCTAAAGCACACCCAGGAGTGTTTTGATAAGTGCAAATATCTTTCCTGAAATGCATGAAGGGGGAAAGAGAAAGGAGACAACTGATTGTGGAAAAGTAAACATTTTTTAAAGTCATAATGCTGATGTCTTGTACAACTGTCCTTTTTTCTTAAGAGCACAGGAAAAGGAGACACTTTTCAAGTCCTTTCTGTTTGCCTCGTGACCAAGGAACTGAAGCAGACGTCAGTTTCAGTTTCAGTGTTAAGGTGGGAAAAAGAGAGACTTTCACAATACCATATAAAATACATAAATATAACACAAGCTGTAAAGTAAGAATGGGAACAGCTTCAAGTACATTAAACCCTGAATTCAATGAGGCAGAAGTTCCAATGTTAAAGTGACTAAATTCGTACCAGCGGCAGACCCCCCCCCCCAAAACACCCGACCCATAACGTCTCAGTATATACAGTCAACTATGGTTAGAAGGTCATTGTCAATGATACTCTAGTAATTACATCTTCCCAACACCACCTGTATATGTTGGAGGCAAAGAGTCCAAGCAAAAAAGACCAATGAAATACCCAATTCCCTTTTTACTTCATGTTAATACAAGTTCTAAAGGGCTGTTTCTCACATAGCAATCTATGTAACACAGATGCACACCTGAGGGCTGCTAAAACACAATGTGAGAAGTGCATACTTGTATGTAAAAACAAACCAAAAGTACCCCTCTATAGTACGCACAAACACTTGTCCGTGAACAGCAGCAGACATGTATGTCTGTATGTCTGCATAATGCAGCTGCAAATCACACCCATCTCGAGAGATAAATGGAAAAGTATTGCAAAGATGATAGGGCAGGTGGACGTTCCCAAGAGAAGACGCTTTGCCTTTCCTTAAAATGTAACCCAAATTATTCGTGTAGTTTTGAAGTGCTACCTCGCACGGTGTTCCCTATCTGTCCATTGCTTGCACGTGCCGTGAGCACAGTGACACCTGATGCAGGGAAAATGCAGGGGGCATCCCAGTCGACTGCATTTCCCTAGTAGGTGTCCACAGACAGGACTCCACTTTGGACAGGAGAATCTGCATCATGCCACATCTGGCTGACCTCTGGGGAACAGCATCAAAACGGCGGCCTTCATTGTGTACTGGTCTTTTTGGAGATGGAATCACATATTGCTATAGCTTTTGATGTGCCTGCAGACAAAAAAAAGTGTTTCTTGTGGCAGTGCACCTGTGTTATTAAGACTGTGATGTGAAAAGCAACCCTGAATCTCTGGTGAATGCCATGGTGACAATTCAACCAGAATACTTCCTTACTCTACAGGCAGCGTTCCTGAGCTGAATGTGTCCATTCCAATGGGCAAGGTAAAAAGAACAGAAACCTGCAGTATTCTAGTGGAGCAAGCCAGCAAATACTCCAATCTATGGAGTAAAGCAAACCCTAACATGTTCTACACACAGCCAGATCAACATTTGTGCAAACAGAGTCTAAAGCAATTACACACAAAATTGAATTCCACTGAATTCACAGAACAAGCTTAAGCAAGTTTACTCAGAAGTAGGTCCCACTGTGCTCAATAGGGGTTTACTCTCAGATAAGTGCGTATAAGATTGCAACCGAAATGAGGCAGGACCACCGTGGCCTACTGCATTGGCCAGGCATTGTTCTAGCCCTTTCCACTAACTGCCTGAGGAAAATCTTCAAGCCTTCATTTTAAGTCGTTAGGCAGAAGCGGGGAAAAGCAGGGCAAGAGATAAAGGAGGAGTGCTTAGTCCACCTCTCTGCTTAAGGCAAGCATGCACAGGGGAATCATAGAATCATAGAGTTGGAAGAGACCACAAGGGCCATCGAGTCCAACCCCCTGCCAAGCAGGAAACACCATCAGAGCACACCTGATGGAGAGGAATGCTTGTTTACCACATGGACAATCCAAATAAAGGCTGTCAACTGGTGCAACCCCATCTTCCAATAAATGGCACTGCTTAAACTGCTCATTTTACAGTGACAAGGTGACAAAATATTTAGAAACCAAGAAAAATAAAGTCCACAAGGATATTAAGACTGACTTGCTTATATGGAAACACTTATTAGTCCATGATTAGTATTTGTTATAAAACTTTTTTAAAATGTCACATTATTGTAGCTCTGCATTTTTAAAAGAAGGCTCCTTGCTGTTTTTCAGTATTATTTTTAAAAAACCAAGTGCTAAAAAGTTAAATAATGATGTATAATAAAAAATTAAAAGAACACTCATAGTCTCCCCTGCTAAGATGTGAAACATTTTAACCTTATGAAGAACCTGTGGGATTCAAAAGCCACTTTTCCAGCACACCAAAAGGTTCCATCCAAATACAATGCCTTTTCCTCTTCTATACGCATTTCAGTGCATACAATAATTTAAGCTGCTAAGTGACCTGGCAATGGAATTCCTATTTATTCCACAGAGAGGGTTGGCTTGACCACTGGTTCAATGAGATACTTTCCTTGGGTGCTGACCTTGTAGGGCAGGGTGGCTAAAAGCCAACACTGTCCACAGTTAACTTAGTAGTTATGTACATTTCAAAACCCATCACTATCTGAACGGCATCTGTTGCCAGGAATAGTTAAGCCTTTGGGGACTGGCTATTTGCTCTATCCAAACTCTGCCACAGGAGAACTGAGCACCATCTAGCGCCTCCCACTCCATCAAGTGACAAAGGAGTGTAGGGAAGAGAAGATACAGCAGTCTGAGCGGAGAGTGCTTGCACCATTCTGTGCCCACCAGCTTTGTGTAGTGGGCAGGCAGAGCGGCTCTACCATCTTGTGGGAAGGCAAGCTCTGAGCCTGCAATTTTAGATGGGGACAAATTCTCCCCCAAAGGATTTCTTCCCACTCCTCCTTCAAAATACCAACATGTTGCCAAACAACATATTCAGAAAACTAAAATCTAGTACACAAAAACAAAGTGTAGTGTTTTAAATTTTGCCTTTAACATTGCCCCTTAGTTTGGTCAAGTGTGTGACAACTTCCTTTAGAGCTCTATACCACTCAGCTGGCCCACAAGCAGAGCAGGAAGAGGCAATGGAACCTGTTCTGCAATGGGAGTTGCAGAAAGACTCTGCAAAATACTGAAGCTAAAGTACAATTCATACGCTTTGCAGAAATGTAGTGTGTTTGCCTGTACAAAAGGAGGAAAGTAAGCTGATTTTCTCTTGAATTAGAAGCATTTTAAAAGCAGTGGGGGGTGGCTGGTGGGAGGAAGCCTATTGAAAAAGCTGAGCCAGGAAACCTTGATATTACCAGAAACAGCCTACTGTCTTCTTTTCTGGTACTGACCAGTCTTTATCTGAAGTTGAACTTTTCCACATAAATCAATGCATGGTTATAATTACAGTAAGTGTCTCTGGACACATTTAGAGAGCACTCATTGGGAGAAAGTTGGTAAAACTGGCTACTTCAGTGCTGTACTGTTGCTTTGCAAAGAGCTATTAACAAACATGATCCCTTCTGGGATACAAACATTGCTTTTGTTAGACTGATGGTATCACCATGGGCCATTTTATACCCTGTACAGTTATAGAACGTACTTTTAAAGACATTCAGGTTTTTATTTAATCAAGAGATTTCGTACGACCAAGCCACACACCAAAATCAGCTATAGAGCCCCAGAACAAATAACCAAAACTCACAGTATCCTAGGTCCTCAGAAAGTAGGAGGAGCCTGGACCAAGGAAATGAACCTATCAGATATTGGCAAGCATGCCACAGAGCAAGCATGGATTGGACATTAAAAATGCACACTGAAGGCCAAATTCTGCCTCTCAAATTTGAAAGGGAAAGCATAATCAGGGGCTAAACCAGCAGAGACCTCGGAGGGCCAGGTGGCAAATCCTGCACAACACGCGGCCCATAAAACAAGAGTTTAGTGGAGCCCAGTTAGGGCAGAACCTGGGAGTGCAAACTCTGAAGGCAGTAGATTTTTACTTTGCACCCTGCACTATGGCAAGACTTACAACAAGCAGGGAAAGCACTGTTTAATCATTCTTTTCACGGTAGAAAAGTGACTTATGCTTAATTAAACTGAATGGTGGACAAGACACCAGATGCCCCCAGGTACCTCCAGCTATTTCCCATCATCTAAAGTGAATTATTGTGGACGCAATCTTTCAGAAGCATCTGCTCCCCAAGCACTTTCAAAATGAAGTGGGGTTTCAAACACGGCACAGAAGAAGTCTACAGTTTCACCATTTTCTGAAAATGCAGTTTCAAACAGAATGCACTTCAAGAGTAAGCAGGTCACAACTAGTTTGCTGCGGGGAAACCTCTAGTGTGATCACTCATCGCTCAGTTCAAGTGACATAAACCAACCCTCATCTCAAAGCTTTTTGTCATGGTGAACGTACTGGAATGAGGCCATGTCACTTGCCAGCTGCCACGATAGGCTCTTGCTCCAGCCCCTAATAAGATTTATCTAAAAGGCTATTGGTGTGCAGAGGCTTTTTCTCATGTTTCTAAAACTAGACAGGAAAATAACCTTACAGATACATACATAGATACCAGGCTGGTGTTGCTACTCCTTTTAGACACACTGACCGTAGTAGGACGCAAAATCCTCAAAGTCCATTAAAATTTAAATAAATAAATATTTTGCTATGTTTGGTTTCCACACTCAGAGAAGATACTTTAAACATGATGCCTCTCCCCCCACAAAAATGTCGGAAAGGCTTCCTCTTCTAACAACAAAAGGTTGCCAAGACACTTCTTCCTGTTTCTCAAGGGCAAATGGATCGGAGCGCAGATGCGCAGGCTGCCAAGGGCCACACAGTCTCAGGTGGCCCCTGTCTGAGTTCCAGGGAAGCCACTCCAAAGACAAAAAGAGAGGATGCCATGGCACTTTATCCAAATTCACAATAATGTGCCACTCAGTGGGGCAGGGGGCAAGGTGGGTTGTTGTTTTAAGGAAAGGAAAGTTTATTCCTTCGAATCTTCCTCAGGATTCTGCTGTTCCAATCGGCGTTTGATCTTGCTCCAATACTCTGGTGCCACAGGAGCCTTGGGGTTGTGTTCAGAGCAGCATGGACGCCCATCCAAACCAGAGGCCACAAGGGCCCCTTTTTCATGATCCTTGCAATAAGAATGGGGGCAGAACTCACAGAACGAAGAGGCAGGGCTGCTGCAGATGTCACACTGGTGCCACGGACATTCCCATTTTCCTGAAAACAGAGCAGGGTGTGGGGAGATATTAGTGCAGGCACTAGGAAGCAAATATCCTGTTACCAGATTGCCAAGGCCCACATAGTTCCAGCTCACGCATAATGCCAAGCCACATTTTATCTCAGGTACTTCTGCTCTCTTGTACACTCCAGGTTTTTAATTACTTTCTCTGCAGCATACGCCACAGTTTGATGTCCTATCCAGCAAACACTGGTTTGAAGCTGCCTAAGAATCCTGGGTGAGATTTAAAGCATAAACCAATGTTTGAAATGGCAAACTATTGCGTGCTCTAAACAAGGGGATTCTGCAGTCTGAATCTGAGTGGCAAAGTTTGAGGAAACAATTTAGCTCACTTCTATTCTCAATATAAAAAAGAAAACAAGACTTTAATAAACCACATGCTAATGTAGTTTATTGGTCCCACTCACAGGTGGCACTGTGGTCTAAACCACTGAGCCTCTTGGGCTTGCCGAGTGCAAGGTCGGCGGTTCGAATCCGTGCGATGGGGTGAGCTCCTGTTGCTCTGTCCCAGTTCCTGCCAACCTAGCAGTTCGAAAGCACACCAGTGTGAGTAGATATATAGGTACCACTGTGGCAGGAAGGTAAACGGCATTTTCGTGCACTCTGGCTTCTGTCCCAGTGTCCCAGAAGCAGTTTAGTCATGCTGGCCACACGACCCAGAAAAACTGTCTGCAGACAAACACCGGCTTCCTGGCTTGAAAGCGGAGATGAGCCCCTCACCCCATGGTCGATTTTGACTGGACTTAACCGTCCAGGGGTCCTTTACCTTCACCTTTACTTGGTCCCATTATTATTAACCATCACATATGCCAGGGATGGAGAACTTTTACCCCCTCCCTTCCCTCCGGGATGTTGTTGGAATATCAAACTGTTTCCTAGGTGTCACAAAGTTAAACCGGTGAACTCTGCCTGCTCTTAATAATTCCACACAGAGGTTCATGGCTACCAAGAAAAACCTGTAAAGTCAAGTCAGGAAGCACCTACCAAAGGGTGGCTGTGTCAAGTTAAGGCAGAGGAGGTGGTATGCTTTGGGACAGTCTTTTTTGTCACACATGACCAATTCACCCCCATCTCCACACTGGAAACAGTTGTCCTCATGCATCTGCTTCTGCTCTGTTTTTATCTTCCGCTTCTTCTGCTTTAATTTTGCATTCTTTGCTTTCTCTTCATTTGCTGTTGCACACGCCGTCTAGCAGTTGGAGGAAAGAGTCACCGAGTCACTGGATTAGACAACTTTAACTGTCAGAGGTCCTTTACCTTTTACCATTAAAAAGAAGAGCCAGCCCCCCCCCCTTCCTTCTGTTTCTCAGGCTCTGGCACTGACACCTGAAGACACCAGCAGCCAGTAACAAAAAGTAGTACCTCACCCAAATAGATCCAAGCAGGCACCAGATGTTTTGTACATGCTGTGTTTGTTTATAACAAGAAAGAACAGGGACGGATGGTCCCGTTTTTCTCCCACAATGAGCTTTACTACCGTGTGCCATTAAGCATGAAGGTTTCTATTTGCCGATTCTGTCCGAGAGGGCTTTACTCCGCTTGCACAACTAACCTTTGGCCGCACTCCTAGGAATCCACTGCAGTTATCTGCTCCACAGTGGCATTCTGTCCTGCCATTCCCCAGGCAATCCAAATTATAGTTAAATGTTAATTCCATCCCTAGAAGTTCAAAAGAAGCACTTTACACACTAGCTGTTTGTGAAACAATGTCAGCATCAAGTGTATTTCAAAAAATTATGATGCGCCAGCACATGTCAAATCTTAAAAGAGGTTGGACAAGCAAGCAACATATTTTTAAAAATGTGACTGCCCCTCTTGCCCATCAGGGTCAGAGCATTTCAGCCAAGAAACTTCTTCTAAACTGACCTGGTGTTATGGCTTTCAGGATCCAGATCCCTTGCCTGCCCTATTTCTATATGGTATGCACATGTGAATTCCACACTTATTCTTCTACACTTACCCTTAAAACATTAAAAACAGTTCAGAATGAATTACCATGACAACTAGAGTGGATCCGTATCACACATGTATGTCAAGGGTAAAGAGGTGCATCTGCAGCATTTGGCAAAAACTGTGCAATGAATTTTCCAGAGAAGGAATCCACAATAGCAGCCACCCAAATGTCAATGGGAAGCCCACAAGTATGACATGAACAGAAGAGCACTCTCCCCCCGCAACTGAGACTGAAGGAGCACCACAACCAATATTGGAGTACAAAGCCATCATGACGAGAAGAGCTGGGCAATATATTGGGAAATTGTCTGAAACCAGTATGGCGTTCAGATTGTGATACCAGTTTCAGACATTTTGAGCTGGCAATACATCACACCAGCTCAAATTGCCTGCAGACAGCAAAGGCGCAGGCAGATGGAGCCTGAGAGGGTTCTGGGAGAGCATCTTCTTGGGCTCTGCCTGCCTGTGCCTTTGAGGAATCCGCCTGCCTCTCCAGCTCACGCGAGTCAGAGCAATATGGGGGCTCACTCAGCTAAGGGGTAGGAGACTTCCCATTCCCAGTGGAGCAGTTTAAGGAAGTTCTTGCAGCCTTCCAGCTCACATGAGCTGGAGAGGCATCAGGGCTTGCTCAGCAGGGCTGGGCATGTCTCTCGGCTGCATCTTCCTCCCCTAAGGTGGAAAGGAAGAAGCAACCAAGACAACATTCAGGACATTGTAATATATTGGTATATTGTGATATTTAGATCTTGAAAACCAGATGTTGCCTAGCCCGAATGACTAGCAGCTATTGAAAGTGTTATCCTCCATGGATTTGTCAAATTCCCATTTAAAGCCATCCAAGTTTGTGGTCATTACTCTATCTCACAGCAGCAAATTCTATAGTTTAAACATGCATTGTGCAAAAAAGTACTTTTTTTGTCTGTTCTGAGTCTTCCAACATTCAGCTATATTGGAGAACTCAGGTTCTAGTACTATGGGAGAGTAAGGAAAACTTCTCTTACTCCACACCACACATAGTTTATACACCTCTTTCATGCTGCACCTTACTCACCTTGTTTACTCAGAGTAGACCAGATAAAATCAATGATCCTTATTTAGTCTTGTTTATTACATTCAGTGGGTCTATTCCAAATAGGACGCTGTATGCCTCCCTTTTTGTCTAAAGCAAAAGGCCTTGAATCATGGCAGTGACAGGCCTTCTGTGCCCATTCAGTGCTCATGAGATAAAAAGTGTGAGAATGGTCTCAACCACCGCAGACCCTTCCTGATGTGCACAGCTGCCTTAGAAGGCCTGATTCCACTGCAGAACGTGGCTGTTGTGCTGCCACTTCTCTATCCCCTACCTGAGGATCAGGACCATCACCCAATTATATTAGCAACAGAGCAACAATTTACAGTATTACAGATCCTCAAGAAAAAGGCAAGAAAAGGCTGCAAGGCATGCGAGGAAGACAGAGTAACATTAAAAGGAAATGGAGCAACGCCAAAGCACTCTTACCTGCAGGAATATCACAGAGAGCGAAGAGCCCAACTCGGACATCTCCACTCACTGTCCATTTCTGAGTTTCACAGTTGGGGTTGCAGCTGTGGTTCATAAAGCGAGAGTAATTTCCCTTGGGGCCAGCATCTATTATACGGTCCTTCAAAAAGACCAAAGAACAGAGACACAATCATATACAAAATGTCTAAGACTTAAGTTTGAATCCATCCCGTTGTAGCAAAAAGCAACACACTTTCTTGCGCCAGATATTAAGTTACCTCAAGACTCTTCAAAGTTTCAACAAAACTATCTGCAGATAACATTCACTGAGACAGGAAAGAATTTAGGCACAAACCAATGTGGAACTGTGTTTGTAGAGAAGTAACTGGCCCAGAAATACAAAGTGCTTCTACCACATGAAAGCCCTGAATGGCAAATGCTAAGCACTGCCAGAGGGGAGATCGTGACTGCACAGGTCCAACTTGCAGGTTTCCCGTTTGCAACTCATCTAAGAACAGAATGCTGCACAAGGTGGGTCTTCCACCTGATACTGCAGGGTCTGTCTCCCAGCACCAACCTTACCTCAATTCGAACTAGATGTGTGAACTCCATATATTCAGAAGGTTTGTGGCTCATGGCTCATATCAAGATGAACCAGCGGGTGGGGCTAGGGCAATGGGTTGGTCCTTACTATTAGGATGAACAAGCGAAAAACGAAGAAAAACCCCTGTCGCCTCTCCCCGCAAAGCAGTTGGGACCAACGGATCATGCACACACCAACATGCTGCCTTGAGCACACTATATGTAGCTGAGTAAGCAGCACAACAGAAGAGGCTTGAGGCTGGGGATACATACTAAACCTACGGATTTATTATACATAAATCAGAACAAAGAAACATGTCATCTCTCCTTGCCGTCTTCTCAGAGAGAGGCTCAAAACCAAAAGCAATACACAGAGCAGACGTTCCACTCACGAGACCCAGCAGTCTGTGCTGGACTGCAAACAGACATGTGACACGCAACAATCTCATGTCTGCAACAAAAGGTGGAATGGAATCTCCCAACACGTGCTGCTACCAAATGCTGACCGCAGCACAGAAGCACAAGGCCTCCGCTAAGTGTGAGGCTGAAGGGCAACAAGCAGATTAGCATGAGACCTCAACCAAGTGGGGAGTGCGTGCTTGCAGGAGTGACTTCTTAGGGTGAGGTGGCCTTGGGGGGCACATTCTCTGAGGCCAATTATGCCTAGTATTAGAGGCAGAGCGTGATGGCAGCTTCACCTGGCAGCTTCATACAGAGGATGAAGCCAATGCCTCTCCCAAGTCCCTTTGCTGCCAGCGCTGCTTCCAACATTGGGCTGCTGGTAGCAGAGGGACTCGAGAGCGGTGGTGGCTTCACCCAAGGTATACTTCCAGGTGAAGCTGCCACCGTGCTCTGCCCCTCATACCACAGAGGGAGGAGCAAACTGTATCACCAGAGCGATTCAGCTTGTTTCTCCCTCAGCTTCTTTCAAGTGCTCCACAAAGGCTTGGGCAGCAATGTGCTCCTGAGCAGAGCAGTTTGAAGAAGCTCCCACCCCGTCTCCAGCTCACATGAGCCAGAGGCAAGGAGGCAGCTCCATTACACAGCTGAGTGAGCCCCAATGCCTTGCACACAAGCCAGAGAGATATCAGGGTTCCCTCAGCTGGGGGGCAGGAGCCTTTGCACCCCCCAGCTGAGCAGTGCAAGGAAGCCCCAGTGAGGAGCCGAGGTTGAGGCAGCCTGCTCCCTCTGCACGCTGAGGATGGATTCCCTCCACCCCCAGTGCCTGGCGCTGGGAACAAGCTGCGTTGTCCCTGGCCCCGCGAAGTGCTGCGGAAAGAGTGGCGGCAGTCACGCCGGGCTTCGCAGGGCTGGGGCCAACACAGCTTGTTGTTTCAACATTGCGGTGTACCCCCAGATTGTGATCTTAGGCTGGTGACAAATTGTGATTTTGAAAAGCTGACATCACTCAGTCCTAAGGACAATTCCTAGCTATAACTTTTTTTTTTTACACAGTTTGCCACTCGCTGCATTCCAGACTCAACAGGCAAGTAGTTGCCCTTGTAATTCCACCTGAATGAGTGGCCTCATGGTTTATGAAGGCTTCATGGATATCTCAATCCAGTTTCTAATTGCCTGATTCCCACATACCCTTGCAGTAGCATCACCACACTCCCTGCAAGGATATGGTGGAGCAGCCAGCCAGCCAGGCTAAATAGGCTCATTTCAAGCCTTTTGCAATGTCACTCATTGTGGTAATCCATGCAGTGGATGTCACTTACTGGGATTTCAGTGGCATTTAAAGTGTAACCCATTTGAAACTGAGATGGCATTACATGAACCAGTCCCACATAGAGAGAATGTCTTCTTTTTACCTTTGTAACAGTTAACATATAAAAATTGGTCACACTGTTCTCATGTGCTCGTTTGATTCGCAATCTGCATTCTTCCTCATCAATTAGCTCACCAACATACTCGTTGACAAATTCACCCTGAAAAGATTAAAAAGAAATGCATGCTGGCAATTTGTGATGCTACTGCAAGGAATAAACTCCATTGTTGGGAGACAAGCAGTGTGGTACAGCAGAAAAAGAGATTGAAACTTGAATCATGCACCACTAAAATAAGCTGCGTGGCCTTTGGTAAGACAATCTAAATACAGTCATTTGCAAAAAGGTTACAGTGCCCTCACAGAATAACGCTGAAGAGGTTCATTCAATAAAAATCATTAAGCATTTTGGATTCACACACCTGTGAATTAGCAAGCAATGGGACCACGGAAACCTTTGCAGCAGCTTAAGGCACATATACTTGTATTAAAGACGGAAGTAGAACTACATTTCCTTCTAACGTAATTTTTATGATCCCTCCTAATTCTGTCTGGCTTCAGGCCTTCTAAAACCCAAAGAAATATGCTTCTACTAAATATGCTTAATTAATTTAAAACATTTCTCCCTTTATCAAAAGATTAACAGGAAGTGTACAAAGTGTGAAGAAAAATGAATTCATAGACAAGATATAAATGCAATTTAAAACCAGTAAATAAACAAAATTAAGTAGAATGAGGCAAAAAAATGTTACAATCTAAACCACTAAAGAGCAAATGAGAACAAAAATCCAACCACAACCTAAAAATTCCTGGGCAAATAGGAAAGCCTTCAAGAAGCTGGCAGTGTCAGCTCCAAAAACAACTGCTTGAGGAAGAAATCCCAAACTTGGGGTGTGACAGCAGAAAGGGCCCTCTTCCAGCGATCGAAGCTCCCGTTGTTCCAGGCGCATTTTGCAACAAGGAATTTCATTAACGCGAGCAGTTTCTGAGCTCTGGTGCAGTACAGCACCTAAGATTTCAGATTAAAACTGCATAGTGGAAGGTGAGGAGGACCTTTTTCTCCCTCCCCACTTCCAGCTACTCTCTGAGTTGTACATTTAAAACCAATCTGACCAACAAGAATTATTTTCACCTACTCTGTCTCAAAGTTTATTTGTATGGGCTACAATGCAAGGGAAGACACCCCCCCAAAGCAGCCATCTATTTAAACACTCTACAACGGTTCAAAAGCATTCATCCTATATGTTACCTTCTTAATGCTGCGTTTTGTCCGCAGACCCCAGCCGCGCCGGTCCGTTTTTATAATTTCTGCTTCTGGGTAGAGTCTTTTGGTGAAGCACTGGTTCTGGCAGCGCTCTCCTGCAGGGCAAACCTGGGGGTGGCATTCATACTGCAGCATTCGATTCAGACACTCTGACTCCAAGCCACAAGGGTTTTCGTCCGTTGGCTTACAGTTACATCGAGGGATTTCTGACAAGTCTGCAACTTGGATCTGAACTTTCCCTACTAATTTGTTGGACTGTGAAACAGAAAAAGAAGAAAAGATAAAATGTGTAATTCTAACACTTGCATGCAAGCACACACAGAGATTTGGTTCATATATGCATGTACATCATTTGCACTCTCAGAATTTCGTAAGCCATGCACACACCCCCCCCGGAAATGTACCAAGTTTAAAATTGCATTTGTGGTTTTCGTATGGCTACTTTTGGGGACAGACTACAGCACAGTGTCAGAGTGCATGCTTTGTATTTAGAAGGTTAAATTCTTGACATTTCCTGTTAAAAATTCAGATAGCTGGTGATGGAAAACCTTTGCCTGTCAAGGGACTTCTGGTTTGCCATGACTCATATCAGGGCGCATGTTCGTTCTCTCCAGGGGCAAACCTGATCGCTGTAGGGGACCTGGGGGGCAACGCGGCTCCCAAAGGCTCAGGTGGGTGTCCTGAGACCCTAGAAGCCTCTGTGGTGCCAAAAAGAAGGATTCCCGGTCCACGTGTGAGAAGCAAGGCGAGGGGACTAATGTTTTATAAACTAATGTTGGTAGACAAGGAAAAAGCATTTGATAACATCTCCTGGTGCTTCATGAAAAGATTAATTAACCAAATGGGTTTTGAAGAAACTTTCTGCAAAGGAATTGGGGCGATATACTTGGAGCAGCAGGGACGTGGGTGGCGCTGTAGGGTTAAACCACAGCGAGCTAAACTTATCATAAATAGCTAATATTTATTTTGATTTTGGAAATATTGAATAGGAAAATAAGAAGTGATGAAAATACAAGAGGAATTGTAGTAGGGGGAAAATCATTTAAATTGAAAGCCTTCACTGACAATTTGATAATTATGACTGAAAATCCAAAAGAATGCTTACCAAAAGCGCTGGAAATGATTAAAATATTTGGACAGGTGGTGGATTTTAAACTCAATAGTAAAAAACCAAAACTGCTGATTAAAAATATGGAAACCTAAGAAAAAGAGGAACTAGAAAGGATTTCCAGATTGACAATTAGTAAGAAAGTAAAATATCTAGGAATATGGCTTAGGCAAAAAAACCCAAAAAACTTATTTTAAGATATTAAGACCTGGAAAGAGATTTTAAAAAAACATGGAGATCTGGAATAGACACTTATTCTTTTAATCAATTCCTGTGATCGGGGGAATGGGCTATTTCAAGGAATGGCAGAAGGATTTCTCTAGATTTATATGGCGGGGACAACAACGACCCAGGATTAAACACAAATTGCTAATAGATATAAGGGGGGGGGGGGTTCCCTGCCAGACTTGAAATTATATCACGAAACTGCCAGTCTCTCCTGGATCCAGGAATGGATGATGTTACAAAATACCGATCTGCTCGACTTGGAAGGATTTTATAATCGATACGGATGGCACACCTACTTAGGGTATGATAAAGTCCATAAAGGTTTCTTGAACCATGCCATAAGAAAATCTTTATATTTGGTGCGGTCTAAATATAAAGATCTGCTAGAGCCTAAAAAGCCATGGTGGTTATCACCGGTAGAAGCATTCTCTGTTAAAAAAAAGGATATGAAAGGAAACTGGGCAACTTACAAAGTATTACTGGAGGAGGTAGGAAACCGACTCAAATTAAAAATTTGTTTTGAAGAAATCCAAACACATTTATCTGACTGGTTACAATATCATCAGCTTAATGAGACATTTAAAATAGATAAAAGGAAAGGTTTTTCTACAGAACCATGTAGACTCGAGAAAGAACTACAGTGGTACCTCGGGTTAAGAACTGAATTTGTTCTGGAGGTCCGTTCTTAACCTGAAAACCACTTTAGCTAATGGGGCCTCCTGCCGCCGCTGCTGCGCTGCTGCTGCTGCGCGATTTCTGTTCTCATCCTGAAGCAAAGTTCTTAACCCAAAGTACTATTTCTGGGTTAGTGGAGTCTGTAACCTGAAGCGTCTGTAACCCGAGGTACCACTGTAATTCAAAACAAAGACAAATCACTCTCTAAAATGTATAGACTCCTCCTAGACTGGGAAGTCAAAGAGGAGGAAGTTAAATCGGTAATGATCCAATGGGCCAGAGATTTTGGTTATAACATTCTAATGGAAGCCTGGGAAAGATTATGGAGGGAAGACTTGAAGTTTACTGCATGTTATACCCTGAAGGAGAACTTTATGAAAATGCTATACTGGTGGTATTTAACACCATCAAAATTGGTTAAAATGTATAGAACCAGGTCAAGCATTTGTTGCAGATGTAGAGAGGCGGAGGGTATGATGATTCACATGTGGTGGAATATAACAAGCTCAAAAATATGTTTAAAATCTCCTTTGAATAAAACCCCGAATGTACATATAGACATTCCAAAAAAATTGAGGAAAATCTTCCTGAATGCAACAGTGGCAGCAGCGGCGTAGCGTGGGTTGTCAGCACCCGGGGCAAGGCAAGTAATTTGCGCCCCCTAACCCGGGGCAAGGCAAGTAATTTGCGCCCCCTAACCTGCCGCCGCTGCCAGCTTCTTCTTGCTGCTGCCTGGGCTGGTTCTCTCCCGCGCTCAGCGCTGGGTGGCCGCTGCACTGTCCCTCCCACAGATAGTCCCTCGCTCTCTCTCCGCACCGCACGCCTGGCACCCACCCCCTCCACAGTGGGCGGCGACCCAGCGGCTCGGATCGGATTCGCACAGCCAGCACTGCAGTGAGAGAGAGTGAGTGAACCAGGTAGGGGCAGAGAGCTGCGAGTGCGAGCGCGACCCCCCCCCCCGGATGTTGCGCCCGGTGCAGCCGGCCCCCCCTGCACCCCCCACGCTATGCCACTGAGTGGCAGCAAGAATCTTAATAGCCAAAAAATGGAAAGGAGATTCCATGCCGACCAAAATGGACTGTCAGATGAAATTATTGGAATAAACAGAATTAGCAAGGATGACAGGAAGAATTAGAGATAATACAGAACAATCATTTACTACAGAGTGGGATATTTACAGAGAATATCTTAAAAGAGCATTGTAAAAATATGAATTCTCTGGCTAGCCTAGAATGATCCCAGTATGAACATAGAAAACGTATTAAAACAAAAATTTGGGAGAAGTTTGGAGTGATAATGAAAAGTACGCTACTTAAAAGAAACCTGGGACTCTTGATGGGGTGACTGGAAGTCATAAAAAGAAGTTGTATTGTAAGAAGTTAATTTAATTTTTTGTAATTTGTATCATCCTTTGGTTCTTTTCTTTGTTGACTTTTTTTCTTTTTTACAATCAATAAAGCAATTAATAATAATAAAAAAATGAAAACCTCTGCCTGTCAGCTGCTGCCTGTCAGAATAGACAATCCTGGGCTAGATGGACAAATAGTCTGATTTGATATAATGTCACTTTCTATGTCCTTATGGCACCTCTTTTGCAAGCCTCTTTAAATCTGTACAGGGAACATGCGCTCAGAGAGGCTGGTTACCTGATGTCATTGTAACATTGGGTGATTGACAGTGGGTAGCCCTGCTCACATGTCGCGTCTGGCCCATGAGGAGTAGGGCAGATGCAGACCTGGCTGGCCGGGAGAAAAAGGTTTCTCACTGTGGATGTAAAGTGCTCATGTGCTCAACACATCCAACACAAATAAGAGCAAGAAAAGGGGCTCACCTTAATATGTTTGTATGGAGGTGGTTTTCTTGAGTTCCTTTCAATTTCAAGTGCTTCTTTGCTTTCTCTTTGTGCTTTCAGTTCCTGGAAGCGTTTTGCTGCTTCTTCAAGTGCTGTGTGAAGGAGCCCAAAATGGAGGAAGGAGTTAGTATTAGCAGTTGGTGCAGAGGGAACACACTACAAATAGCTACGCTCTGGAAATCCAGAACAAAACGGTTTTAAGCCATCAGAGAATATTTAGACCTGTTACTCCAATTTACAAATTTTAAAATCTATTATTTCATTTAATTGATTAACTGCATAAAGGGGTGTGGGGAAGCATACTCTTGTTGCTTATGCCCCATTCACAAGATGGCACAAAGAACCAGCCCCCACCATGTATTTAAGGGAAAGAAACTGCTGCCCAATAATCAGGAACATCTTTTTCATCAAAGATTTTTTTACCAGATTTTAAAAAATCAATTAATAGACTAATCAACTAAATGTTGCAGCACTAATATTAATGTTTTATCATTTTACCAAATATCCACAGGGATTGCTACCTTCTAGATGGAAAACAATTCCAGAACTGTTGTCGCATATAGTTATAAACATTTAAACCAGTTCTCAGCAGAGTTCAGCTGGAGTTTCACACAGGACACAAAACACAACAACCACAATTTCCATGTGATTAAGTAGTGATGGAGACACAAAAAATGTGGAACATTTTGTCATTAAACCACTAAAAACTGTCTTTTGATTTTACCTTTCTTGAAGGTCTTGTTAATATTAGTTTGCCCCTCAGCAAAGCTTTTGTCTCCTTCAACATAAGGGAATACTCTGCCCTGATGTACCCAATAGTAGTCATGTGAACCAAAGAAAAATACTGGAAAGTCCCCGATATCATGTTTGAGGCCCTGAATGTTGAGAGGAACAGACCTGGGATTGCAGATCTCAGCTGGCCACCACCTAGAAATAATGGAGTGAGAAAAAAGGAGGGGTTTTTAAGAAATAAATTCATTAAATAAAAGGCATACTGTCTGTCTTGCAGCTCTCAAACCATCTCTCTGCTAGTAAATTATGTTCTGCAGGATTATTCCTAGTGTAGGTAACAATCTTAGAAAATTCCTTATACAAGTGAACTCCTCATCACTTAAGAGCTAACCACCCAGCAGTCCAGCTGCACAAGGTCCATTCATTTCAATGAGTTTGTGCAAAAGTGGTATATCCTAGAAGAGAATATGAGCTCTGTAAGCAGAAAACAGACAATAATTCAATTTTGAAAATGTCAATCATCAGTACTAGTCCATAAGACATTTTACTAATCAATTCACATAACTAGGTCAGAAAAATATGACAACTAGTGAAAAGACAGAGAGATAACACTACTGAATACTGTTAAAAGTTGCAAAAAGTTTTATTAATCCACAAACATATTCAATATCTCAGCACCTTTTAAGCCATGCAATTCCTTAGAAGAATATTATTTTTAAATGATTGTCTGAAGAACTGGAACTTGGCAACATCAAGTTATGAATGATACATCTTTCTTGCTCTATTCCCATCTCAGGTTTGGGAAGACTCTGGAGATCCTGAACTGTAGCCCAAGATCAATAATGGACTGGATATTTATTTGTACAAGTATACATATACCACATAAAATATTAAGGCAGTGCACAACATAAGGTACCATAAAACAACACAAACCTTTCTTCAAAAGGTTTGCAATTTTTGGATCCTCTTCAATACATCTTTCCTCCTGGATTGTGGCCAAGAGTGCCACTGCACAGCTGAGGCCAAGGCAACAACGACACTCTTTCCAGGAGTCACAACTGGTTTATTTATAGCCAACTGAATAATTATAACGGACTCTAAGTGAAGCTGCTCCAAAGACTGTTCAGAAGCTTCAGGTGGTACAAAGAGCAGCAGCAGAGCTGCTGACTAGAACCAGCTACATGGAGTATGTGAGGTCTCTAAATCACCTTCACTGGCTACTGGTTCATTTCGTAGCACAATTCAAAGTCCTAAATGGTTCGGAGCCAGGCGGAATCAAGGGCTATTTCCTCTCATACAATTCTGTCTCTTCTTTAAGGATAGCTGGAGACAAAGTTGTCCATCCTGCCACTGTCTGGAGGGTGGCTGGTAGAACCTTAAGAAAGGAACTTGACCCGAATTCAGACTGCCAGACATCATGAAGCTCCTTGAATTCTCTTGGGCCAGGTCTTATTCTCTGAACATAACCTATCTTTCACTCTTACTGTGAAAATAAAAAGAGGGAATGCCGCCCCCCCCCCAGCTGCACTAAGCTCCGGAGAAGAGGGGAAGCATACAAATATGACGAAAAATAAAATCTGCAAAGTATTTTGTACAGGTAACTCGCATCTTTTGCTAATTTCACTTATGGGATTGCAGCTTTGCACGCTTGGCCAGAAAATAATGAATTAAATACAAAGTGCTTGGAGTAGGCAGAGAGAAGGGCCAGTGGGTGGTCCAAGCAGAATAGCAACCCCCCTACATCCCCCTTCCTCTTCCTTTCTGCAAGGCTGGCTCAGAAACAGTGACTCACACAAATCCTGTCCCTCGGGCTGGGCTCCTCTGCATGGGGTAACCAGAGCCCAGCAGCCCCAGGAAGGAGCCCAGCAGCAGCATGGAGAACGGGGTGTGGAGAAAGCTGCTAAGAGACCCGCTACTGTAAGCAAGCTGGAGGGCTTAACAGCTTTCTCCATGCTGGGCTTTCCAGATACAAAGAGAACAGGAAAAAACCAGAAAGCAGAGCCAGGGTGGGGTAAAGATGTTCTTTTTTAAAAGAAAGTTTGTGGGTTTGCAGGGATAGAACAGAAAGAGCAGCAGCAGTCAAGGAAGGAGAGGCGGCAGCAGCAGCAGCAGCAGCAGCAGCTAGAAGATGACTGAGGAACGCTGCTGAGGGAAGGGAAGCTGCAAGGAGGCTGCATGAGTACAAGTTTCCTGAGACCCCAGTAAGAAAGCTGGAGGGCTTAACAGCCAGATCTCAGGAGGTGGGAGCAGTTCTAGGGGTTGTTGAGGCTTTGAGCAATTTAGAAACATAACCCCTGCATAAGATGTGAGTTACCTGTATAGTTTTAAAAAAGAAATCATGATAGAGTAGTAGTAGTAGTAGTAATAATAATAATAATAATAATAATGGGATAACCACAAAGTATTTTGAGTTGGGCTTCACTTGCCTGTAGTTTCCCAGCTTGACCCAAACAATCTGCTTGTACCGTAGCTTCTTGCCCACTTTGCAGTCATTGCAGTTCCAGGAGCCCTCTGGCATCTCGATGTTGAGACATTCCGGGTGGAAGGACGCTGGACATGATTCACAGCACAACAGTTTCCCACCTTTAAACAAACAACATTGCTCAGTTTATAGTTAAAGGCGTCGGGCAGGATTCACCGTCTCTCAAGTGCAATATGCCCAGTATTACCAACCCATACAATACAAACGGCAAAACAAAAGGATCAAGTCAAATTTGCAATGCTGGATTTAAAAACACATATTCTGTATGTTAAAGGCTAATAAAAAAAACCTCCCAAGCCATGTGATTTGATAAAGCACATCAACTTTTTATGTTACACAGCCAAATCAGACTTACTTTTGAATATAAAAAAAACTATGTGGAAGTTTCCTTTTCTCAGGCAGTCTTAATATTAAGAGATGCCAATATTTCAGATAAATGACTGGTTGTAATATGTTTTAAACCAGCATTGCCATGACTGAATCCCTTAGCAATCAGTTAGTGCATAAAAGTTAGCCTATAGGTTGATCAATTTTTTTCTGCTTCAAAAACGATACAAGAGAAAAATAAATTCTATTATCTCTAAATTGCAAATATTTGCTGACTCTCCAAAACAAAGGTTTCCTGCACTACGTGGCTTGTGCAGATGTAACAATTCCCTTCTCTAAAGTGCACAGCAGGCTAAACTCACTTGCGCATCCCTCCCTTCAAACACTTTCCCTACTTTTCTGCTTTTGGAGCAAACCCCACAGTAGCCTGACATCTGCACCAAGGTTGGCTCTTACTATGGGAAGCTTCAAACCAGTGTGATCAGGGACATCACATCTGCACGAGCTACCTGTATTTTGAAGTAGTTAAATATTTATACTAACGGATGGGGATATTTGCAAGTGGGGACTTGATTTTTGTTCAAATATGTTGTTGACAGCAAACAAGCACTCTTGCAAAGCCGGGGGGGGGGCTCAAAATTTAGGACACAGCATTAAGCTGCTTTTGTGGGACTTTTTAGTATCTGGAGAAATTTGGGTTCATGTTTTCCAAAAGGCTGTCAGAAAATCTTGTCCACCTATAGACTTTCAAAGCTGTGATTGCACTGGTTGTTACAGAGCTCAAAAAAGAGTTTGTTAAAACAACAACAAAATAATTACTATATTTCCTCTGCTGTGGATGCAATAAAGCCTAAAATGCTTGATTTCCCTTTCATTTCAAAATCCCACAATTAATTCTAAAAGCGTAAACACCATTTCAGAGGAAATACAGCTCCAATCATTGAAAAAAATGCCCAAATAAGGTAAAATGTCAAAAAGATGTGAAAACCAAAGCAAACAACCAACAAAACACACACACACACACACATACACACACACACACACACACAATTTTCCAATGCTAAGCAGGAAATTGGCTCTTACAATGCATTAGTAAGATTTGCTGAAGCCAAGCATAAAGAGGGCTCAAAATAATTCTCAAGTCTCAAGTGTCTCAAGTCTCTCAGTGATGGAGACTAGCTTAAGAACAGCAACAAGGTGAGTGAGCTATTAGCAAGGGGAACCAGGTCAACACTCTTTTGGAGAGTTTAAGCACTCAGAAACAATAGAAGCTGTTTTCCAAACTTCACAGACAAAAGCCCTAGTTTGGACAAGGCTCCAACTGTGTACAGCTCACATGCAGTTGAGAAGGCAGGCCCAACCAAAGTCTTCATAGTGAACATTATGGGTTCTTATCCAACTAGCATCTACTTGGAATAGACCCACTGAAATTAACAGACCTCAACTAGCCGTGTTTATTAATTTCAGTGGATCTACTTTGAGTTTGTCTTATGTTGGATGCAACCTCATGTTTTCCTAAGAGCTATATGTGCCAAGTGGAAGTGAAGGCAGGGAACATGGCAGATGGCTGGGTAAGCTCCTCCTGTGGATACATAGGGTCTATACATGCATGGAACCTCTCCAAATTCCTTCAAAACTGGTGTCCTACTCTTGTTCTCATTTGAACTGAAGGACTGTTGCAGAGTTGTCACCTGGCTGGTCTTCTGTCTTGTCTGAGTCTCAAAATTAAACAGCAATTTTGAATCTTCAGAAATTTAAAGAACGATTACAACTGTGCAAGAGTCATTTCTACGTGTGAAGCCCTTAAGAGAATTATTCAGTAGCATCAGGTGACCACATTTTTAAAGCCATCCTTCCTATTCCCAACTGTCTCTTGCTGGAAGTACTAAATTTGCTCTCTTCAAATGTAGTTTCTTAGGAACCCCATGAGAAGTATGGTTCCAGGGAGAGGTAGAGAAACAAATCAGCTGTGTGTAATATGTGCATTCTGTTATACCACATTAATGAAAATGGATGAGGGGATAAGAACATAAGAACAGCTTTGCTGGATCAGGCCAAAGGTGTGGGTATTATTTATCTCCAGCAGTCCAGCATTCTGTTCTCATGTGGCTAGTGAGATATCTATGAGAATCCCACAAGCAGGACATGAGCACAACAACCCTCTCCTACTCAGGTGTTCAGAGGGCACACTGCCTGTGATGCTGGAGGCAATAAATAGTCATTGATAACCTTATCCTCCTTAAGCGGCGACAACTGGTCAGAAGGAATCTTCTGGGAATTAAACCAGCAAAAGCTATCCAGCTGCCTAAGGAAATATCAACAAGCAATTAAAAGGCTGCCTTCTTCCTCATGGAGACTGACTAAGTCGAGCAAAGGCTTCTCAACAGAAAAATGGCAGTTGAGAAATGTGAAAGCCATCCAGACAGGAATGGCAAGGATTGGTTCAAATACATGGCAGCCCTATACAATCGATGGCTTGAAAAGGGGTCTTGGTGATCTTACAAATCACGGCACCAAAAATCTTCTCCTGGAATCACTGGCTAACATACTTGCAACCTCTAGGCAATCCCATTCTGGCTGTGAAACAGGTCTGAGAGAGGCTCAAATGGGCATTTATCTCATCTAGTGTGGTTAACATGCAACACAAAGACACAACAGATTCTGTCTCACGGCTTTCAGGAAAGTCTATTAGATTTGGTTGGTAAAGTGCAGCTCAGTAACAGAGCGGAATTTGGCAATTATTTTAAGCCCCTTTGTAATATTTTTGCCAACATGAATGCAGACTCACAATAAGCGATGAGTGAAGTTTATCAAGCGCAACAAGAAGGTGCTGGATGAGCATAGAGAGCTTGATTTGTTTTTAAAAGCAAACAAAAAGAAAGGAAAAGCAGGAAAGTGAAAGAAAATTAAAAAGAGAAAGAAGCTATTTTGGTTACCTTTCTCACATTTCTTTTTGGAAGCTGACGAAGAAGGAGGAATCATAGGTAATTTCATCAACTCAGCACGATTTGATTCATTCAGTAGGTAGTGGGACTTATTGGCATATGAACTGAACAGGGGGTCTGAATGATCCTGCACTATCAGCCCTATACGAAACAAACAGAAAGAAATGAGTTGCAATGAAGCTACCCATGATTCCATAAGGAGAAAAATAAATAAAACCAAATTAAACACCTAATATGCATATTTTACTTATGTTTTAAGTATGGAAAGAAAAGTGATGTGATGAGGAAAAAGAAAAGGTGAGAGAGAAAAAGGTTCTATGTCTACGGAGAGGTTGTTATGTTGAAAAAGATAGCATCTATGTGCCTAAGTATATAGGATTAAAGATAAGATATAGGTCCAAAATTGTTTTTCACCTGTGCTCTATTTAACCTGCACACTTGAGAAAACACATCTGTGACTTTCCCTATAACCGATCTACCCTCAAAAAGGAAAGGCAGCTAACTGGGAAACATGCTGCCAATCCCATCAACAGGGGCTAAGAACTTAAGACCACACGTAAGCCACAGCCATGTTAAGAATCACCTAGAGAGGATTCAGAGCTTGGCTGCAACTTCTGCTGCACAATGCAGTCCTGAATCAATGCCCTTCTTAGATGTTGCTTCACGGGAGCAATTTCAGCCTGGTGAAATTGTTAGACTCAACAACATCTGATTGATGTGCCATGTTTATTTGAGTATTCCTTTCCCCAAATCATCATTGGGAAGAATGAGTAGGGGGGTTAGATGGTTGTGGTGTAAGGGAGGCATCATGATCAAATAAATGCAGTAAAATGGGGATCAGACATTTCACCTGTCATGGTAAACCATCGTGAGCGGTTTGCCATGGAACATGCAGGTGGCTCCTGCTTCACGTCTGCCCTGGCAGGAATGGGAACAGCACTATGTCCAAAGCAGGGCTCTAGCAAACCACCCCTGCAGAGACATGAACAAACCTCAGCCTCAGATCATAGCTTGTCTGGAGTGAAATAAAGCACGTTCCCAGTTTGAAGGTAACCTTGCACAGGGATTGTGATTTGTTGTAGCCACTAGTGAAGCAGCAAAGCACAAGTCATCTGCACATACATAGCAAACCATTCATGTGAAAATGCAGCCACTACTCCCCCCCCCCTCACAGTACCCCCACACGGATATATTTTAGAGAGTCTCACCAGATTGAGATTTCTCTCCAGTAAGTTAACACTGGAGCATAGTTTCTTTTAATTTTTACCAGTCTCCAGTGACTAAGGAAAGACCCCAATATACAAAAGGGATGGAAAATAATAAAATGACTTTTCCAGAAACAACTGCAGGACACAAATCATGATTTAACCAAAAGCCTCCTCAACCAAAGCATCCTAGGTTTGGCAACTCTCATGGCAAAGGGGACAATTTCTCCTGACTTCCAGCTTCAACAGAACTTTTTCTTTCTTTACTTCTTCCTCCTTACACAAATTAAAAGTGTAAAACATACATACTGATCAGTGCACATCTATGCTGCATGGAATCTACATGCTAGAGAGCACGATCTTTCAAGAAAAAGGGGCCATATACAACTAATTCACTTAGAGCATACCCACTGAAATTAATGGACCTAAGTTACTGAGTAAGAAAAACACTGGATACAGCCCCAAGATTCTTGTGCAAATGCTTCATAGGAAGAACCTGAAGTCTATTCCTCTGATGACTACGGCAAGGGAGGCAAGCCACACTAAGTTGAACATTCTACGCATGCCAGTCCCATTTAAAAAGCTTATGTTATGAAGTGCATACTGCAGTCTCAACATTAAATGTTGGTTTCCTACACAAAAATGCACGTATGTTGAGGAGAAACTCACAAAGAGTTATCATGAGATGTCTGAATTGTATTGTTCTCAGGGACCCCAGTATTTACTAGAACTGTTATCAGCCAAGCTAGGAGGCAAATCCAGAGAAAGATCAGGAAAAAAATCATTTTAAACTTGATTATAAACCATGCAGCAAAATCAACACTGTAGGCCACTAAAATTCTGGTTAGCTTTACTCCTCCTTTTTGCTAGCAGCAAAGCACCCCAGAATTTTGGGGTTAGCATTACATGGAAATGTGGCCAACATAAACTTTTGTCTTCAAACTACAGAAGGCACACATGATAATCAACAGAACACTTTGGGAATCTTAAAATTTTATTACAAAAGCTAAGAATTCATCCATTTTACTCAGATTTGGGACAAGTCTCCATTTTATACCCTCGCACGGCAAGACTACACTATACTCTCTCAAAGCCTTGCTACACTTCCAAAGTTGTTGTCTCTGAAACACGTGTTCCTAACAGTGATCAATACTTCTCAAAAGTAAATGCAGGATATAGCTGCAATGTAGTGAAAGCTATTCTTCAATGCATTTTTTAAAAAACATTCCTAAACATGCCTACTTAGAAGTAAGCCCTCTTGACTTCAAGGTAACTGTGTCTTGGATTACAGCCTTCATTACAGAACCCTCAAGAAATACATCTCTGTGAAAACCAGATCAACAAGTCAACGTACAATAAAGTCCTTGTTCTGATTATTCAATGTATTACTATTCCACCTTTCTCTCATGTTGGGATTCAAGGCAGCTTCCAACATTAAAAAATAGCATCACAAAATATACAGTAATAAAAATTAACTAGTAAACCCAATAGTTTAAATATATCAAAACACATTTAGAAGTAGCAATTGAAATCCGATGTGCCCTTACATCAGCCCAGTGACCAGCATCGTCTGCAAGGATAGCAAAGAGGAAGCCAGTCTAGCCTCTCCTGAGAGGGAATTCCACAATATGGGACCAGCCACAGATGAAGCTCTATCTCTGGTGCACCCCCCATGGGCTTGTGAGGTTGATGGGACTGACAGAATGTCATTAGTCAGGGAGCAGGCAGGGTATTAATGGGCCATCCTGTGTGCCTTTGGATCACACAAGAGCCCATTTAGCCCGCTGAGCTAGTTGGAGCTGATGGGAGTCCCATTATTATGTTCACTAAAACACAATACAAAAGGAACATTGGACACTTACCATGAAGGTTCCTTCTGGTTTGGAGTGAAGAAAACCCCAATCAGGTGGGCTGACCCTTACCACCCAGAAAATTAGAGAACTTGTGAGCAAACCTTTGCAGTTCAGCCTGGTCATGTAGACTCCTTCTCTGTTCTGCCCTATGGCCAAGCCTGAGGAAGAGTTTGCTGAGAAGTGTAAAGAACTGGAGCTGCAGGGGACCTGATGCCAGCCGGAGGCCTCAGCAGATGTAACTGTTCAGGAGTGTCTAATAAGTGCTAGAGGTTGGCTGTGGTAGAGTGAGCCTTGGATGCCTTGTTCACCCCAAAAGAAGATAAATGCCCCAAGTTCCTTTCTCAGTTTAGAGTAAAGGAGCATCTGATAGTGTGATGTGTGCAAAAGCTGCCCTGATCACCAGGGAGGGAAACAGAAAATGAACAGTGGCTGAAGTTCAAGCAGAGGGAGAACACGCTAGAGCAATCTCTCCCCCAAAGCCAACTCAGTGGAGGTAAAAACGTTTGGTGAACATGAAGGATTTCCATATGGCTGCCCTGCAAATCTCTATGAGAGGAGCACTGCTAGAAAAAGCAGTGGTCTGTTTGCAAGAAAGTTCTGGTTTCTCTCCTGTGAAAAGCACATTAAATTCTTTTTTCTGGGTCTAGAACTGCTCCCATGTGCCATAACTTTCTGGGTGGGTAGAGATGGCTTTTGTGCTTGTTTATAATGAAGCCAAAGTTTTCTGTAAGTCCTGTCATGCTCTGTTCCTAGATAAAGACCCAAAGAGCAGGAAGTGAAAGGATGCTACCGATATCAGTGTCTACCTGTCTGCTGGTATACAAAACTCAGGAGTTGCCCAAACAGAAAGGATACGGGGATATGAAGGCATGGCCCTGTTAAATCTATGGAGTCCACTTTGTGAATTGCCTCCCTGGTGGTCCTGAGGGACTCCATCCTGAACTTGCAATAAATCCTGACACTGTTGTTTTCTGCTGCTCCAGAGAAGCGGACACGGAGCAATGGATCTAAACTACAAGAAAGAAGATTCCACCTAAACATTAGGAAGAACTTCCTGACAGTAAGAGCTGTTCGACAGTGGAATTTGCTGCCAAGGAGTGTGGTGGAGTCTCCTTCTTTGGAGGTCTTTAAGCAGAGGCTTGACAACCATATGTCAGGAGTGCTCTGATGGTGTTTCCTGCTTGGCAGGGGGTTGGACTCGATGGCCCTTGTGGTCTCTTCCAACTCTCTGATTCTATGTTTACATATTCCAAGTCCAATATGGACATCCAGTTCCCTCTTTCCTTTGGGTCAACAAAGATGACTGACTAAAGCAGAGAATTATTCCTCTGAGGGAACTGGCTCAATGACCCCTATATCTAACAGATTCTGAATGATGTTATCACCTGTTTCACCTCCGACCAGAAGGCTGGCCATGGTCAAAAACAGTCTTTTGGTCTGGACTAAAATTCTGTGACTGGGTTTAACACCCAGTTGTCCAATTAGGGTTCCTAGGTGAGGAGAAACAACTTCAATCTTCTTCCCACTGGAGGAAGGCTGGCAGCTCAGCAGGTCTGCCCTAGAATATGTGTCACCATGTGGGCTTCAGTTTCTATAATCCCTGTGGTGAAATGAGCTTTTACTGAGGTGAAATGAGTAATAAGTATATCTAGGCTGTCCCTCCCCTGTTGGGATGCATTTGTCCTTTGTTTCTACAAGGGGTTGCTTGAGTACACATCACCAAAGAGACAAATCCTGTTAAAGGGCACTGATTAAAATGGGAGGTGGGTGGTGAACTCCTTCTACCAGAGTAGCAGTGATCGCCTGGTGAAAAATGGCAAAGCATTCAGGGTGGGATCTACAATGAATGCCAAGGCCTTGGCCAGCCTTCTCAATGCTCTGTGGAGGATTCTATCATCCAAATCCTTGTTTTGAAGGTTTGCAAGTCAGAGAAATAAAATGATAATTAAAGAATGAAAGTAGAAGTGGCTCTTAAAGCCAGGGCTTAGTCCAAATGAGATTTCTTGACTGCCACATTGGATTTCTTTTCAATAGGCTCTTAATGCAACATTCATTATCCATAGGTAAGAGAGCACATGACAACAAGACTGTCCCCAGGGAATCTACTACTGGGATTTCTAGTTTTTCCATTGGTTGGGAAGAAAGAGTGTAGAACCTGTGAGCTAGTTTAGCATCCTTTTTGCTCTTTAAGGAGCTAACCCATTCCAAGTCTACCATCTGAAGAGGAGGAGGAGGAAGAACACTTCCTTGGAGGCTGACCAGAACTCAGAAAACACCAGTACGCCTCTGGAACTCATTTGAGATGGCTGAGGAGCCAAGGTTGTAAACCAAGTGACAATAAGGCTTTTGCTAATAAAGGCAAAAAATATCATAATTATGAGTAAGTCTGGTAGTGGATTACCCATCAGTTCTGCTGCCAAGTGACCCTTCTCTAGCTCCCTTCTCCAAGCTACTCTGTTGTTGGAAGTCCCCTTGATTAAGAGGGGAGAATGAGGTGCCTGTATGGGAAGCCCTGAGAGGCAACATTCTGCAGGAGGATAGAAAGCCAGCAGATGTGAGTTCAGGCGAATACTGATTAGGTTCCTCTGATAAACAGTGAACAAGCAGCATGAACATGTTTAGCTGGGGGCTTTTGTCTGGCTTCTAGCTATCCCTCCTGTCTGGGGACTGGGGGAGACAGAAAACTCTGAATGTGCTGATGCCATTCTAAAGTGTTTTTGAAATCTATCTTCTATCTATCTTCTTTGTTTTGTTTTAACATTTAATTGGTGAAATCATCAATAACAGCCCATAAATTCTATGAATAAATTGTTCCTCAGTTAAAAAAAAAAAAAAGGCTGGAGGTGAAGGACTTAGTAGCCATGGAGGAGGGAGACCCCAAAAAAGACATGGGGTGTGGCATTTGAGCAGTTGTGGTGCATTTTTGAAAAGGCACTGCATTCTGCTAAAGTCAGCTGCAGGCAGCTATGTGAGTTAGCTGCTTGATGCCCTGCCATCCTCTGAAAAGGGACTGCCATATAAATGTTTTTTCCCCATCTGCAGATGACACCTGGTACAAAGATGCAGAGGCTGAGATAATGGTGCTGAGATCACCCTCCTCCTGCTTTGAAATCCCTTTGCATCAGCTGAGGTGGAGGGCAGGTCAGTACTCCTCAGACTCCTCTGTTGTTGTTGTTGGCTGACCTTGAAACTTTGTAGTGACAGCCTCAGGCATGACAGGACCCCAGCAGTTGGCTGCACAAAAGCAGGAAGCAAGCAGAGGAGGAATCTACAAGGCTAGGATGAAAAGTTTGATCACATGTCCTCTGCCTTCCTGGGTTCCCACTCTGCATGCTTCCTTTCCCCCAAACTAAAAATGTCAACTGTAACATTTTTTTTGGCAAAAACCACACTTTCCCTTTTTTTCATTTGCCTTACACTTCAACGATTAATAGCACACCTAATGTTTTTACCTATAGACTAGACTGTCCTAGCAGACAGAGCAATTTGAAACACAACAGACATCGCTGTGCTTTTGAAGAAAACTGCTCAACATCAAAACCAGTAAATTTGGGAAGGGAAACAACTTTTACGAAAGAGAGAACAAAATGTACCAGCATCCCCATTCACCCCATGAAAGTTTCCAAGGACAACTGAAACCATGAACCTGAGAAGGCAACGGCCTAGAAAGAACAGTAATCAGAGGTAGGCAACTAGGTACAAAGCAAAGTGTTTGAAGGTCAGAACCCATTCATGGCTGTTGTGCATATCTAATAAATACACTGCTGTTTGCATCAGCACTCTATTACTGTAGCAACCACAACTCACCCTGCAAACCTTGTCAATAGCCTTCTATCCAACAAAGCTTTTCAGAAATAGTGTGTATATATCTTAAAACATGCAAAGAATTTTCAATTAGGAAGTAGAAATCTACAAGCTATTCCTTCACTGCACAAGTACTGCAACAGAGCAAATTTCACCATTCTGAAGGCCAACTGTAATTTCTCAGAGAAAATGTTTATGTCACCATCTCCAAGACAGAAACTGCTCAAAAAGTGTCGGCATGGTGCCTTGCCTTGGGCACTGCCTCAACCACGTAGACAGTCTCCACATCAGGAGGTTGGCAAATGGTTCTCCAGTGAACTGGGGCAACCCATGAAGATTATGAGCCCCCATGTGAAAGCTTCTCGATGCAACAGCATGTGCAGCATCTTCCCATATGAAGAGGGAAACCTGAGCACTGCAGCGGCTGAGGCACCAAGTCCTATTCTAATGTGGCTGTCTATGCCTTTTGGCTGCTTGAATTCATATGTTTTGTTTTCTTTATTTATAGATTTATTTACATACCACCCCCTTGCAAAATATCAGGGCATAAAATCTTTTGAAAGCAATACAGAACAGTAATTAAAATGACTAGCTACTTAAGAGCATTTAAATTACCAGCTAATTCTCTTTTTGATACAAGAACAAAAGAGCTGCTCCCTCTGTCTGTCCTAAAGTAGAAGTTCAGGAGAATTTACCCAACCCAGACCAGAGAGGTAGGCAGAAATCATAGTGTGATGTAATTAACTTAGGACTGGAGTGTAGGATGACCAAAGTGGCCACCTGCCTTTCTGAACACTAAAAGAGCTGGAATCTAAAAACTACAAGTTTTGGAAAAGCTAGCAACAGCCAACCCATTTAAGAAGTTTTGATCTTTATCTATATATCTATCTATATCTATATACATTAGATATTTCTAGCTATTTTAAATTTGATCGCCTATCAGATGTATTATTTTTTTTAAATCATGCTTGTAAATATGAAAGTGAAGTCAATCTTAAAGTTGGAGGGAAAGGTAGCTAAGAAGTAACCCCCAATCCCAACAGGTAAAAGGAAACTGACGCAAACAGCGCTAGAGGTATGTAAATAGTTTGTGCCCACAACTGTGACTCCATTGGCATGAAGACTGCTTAGGACAGTCACAACATGCTGAAAAGGAGTTAGATCCATTCACTCCAGATGTTGGAAATTATTTGGTTTTCTTACTGCTCCAAGGACCCCTGCTCAAGCTCAACACTCTAAAACTTACTGTTTCCCTCTGAGCCTTCAGGCGCCATTCCTCTGGAAAAAATTAAATTTATTTAAAGGGACATGAACTTTTGTCTCCTGTTTACCTCCATGCCCTGTGTCAGCATCATTGCCTCTCCTGTATGTAATATATCCCAAGGAGGAAATGAAATAGTTATTTCCACCACATCTGTTTATGTTCTCTGTCTCTGTATGTCTCTCTCTCTCCCCTTCACCTGCCTTTACAAACAACATTCAGAAAAATAATTTTAATTGACATCTATTGATGAAACTTTAGGGAATCAAGCAGAAAGGGGTGCATTCTACCAGGCAATGCAGGTATATTCTTCTCATTTCAACAGGGCAAAGGTAGTTGCTGTCAGTACCTGTTAGATTCTAGTCCAGGCTTCCTCAACCTCGGCCCTCCAGATGTTTTTGGCCTACAACTTCCATTATCCCTAGCTAGCAGGACCAGTGGTCAGGGATGATGGGAATTGTAGTCTCAAAACATCTGGAGGGCCGAGGCTGAGGAAGCCTGTTCTAGTCTAAATCACTGCCTGTATCCACTGAATACAATTTAAGAGTCACAGCTCAGTTATTCCCTCTTCCTAGAACTGACTTCCATAACTGCTCATGTGAAATTTACTACCACATTGCTGGTATACTACAATGCACTATACATAAGCTCATTTTACATCTATACAGCTAATCTTGCTGGGTTATCATTGACTAAAACAAGTAAATGACAAAGAACTTACTGTGCAATCCTAGCCATGTTTACTCCCAGCAAAGTGTATGCAGTTCTAGTCTCCATGCTTTAAATTAGTAAAATTTGTAAAGGAGGATTCAGAACTACTAGAATTAGAGAACAGAAGTCTCTTCCTACTTATATTTAGCTTAAAAAGTGGTGTTTCCTCTAACTCATATTTAAAAGTATTTCATGGTTGAAAGGGGACCTTTTTCTAATCTATGAATAACCCACCCACCTGCAGGATCAGTTTTGATTTACATGATGAACTGAACACATTCATGGCTGCCAAAAGTGACTGAAAAAGTCAGTATTAGAATTCCAGCCGCTGGCATCAGGGACTTTGCCACAGGCTCCCCCCACCCCACCTGGAAGCAGAAGGCACCACCTTGGTATCCTTCCTAACGTGTCTAAGAATGGGCACTAGCAGCTAAAAGCCTGTAGAAAATTAATATGCTACATCCAATAGCCAAGGAGGAAACTTGAGAACAAAAATAATTCCCCCAGAGCAGAAGGGGTGGGAGTGGGGGTTCACAGTTCAGTTTTTAACAAAATCAAGGACTGAACACCAAAGATATAAACAGAGGAAGACAAAAAAACAGAGCTCACCTCTTGCACAAACGAAACAAAAGCCTACATTTACAGCTGATGAAGAGTGATTGCTCCTTTTGGAATGGTTACTACAGATGAGAATGTGGGATGACACAAACAAACTTCCTGCAGCAATACAGCCATCTCCCGAGTGATAGGCAATGGGGCATCTCAAACATCTCACCATGCGACCTGTTTAATATAAAATGGACCATAGGACAGTATGTTTAGAACATGGCTACAGACTTCAAAGTCTGCAACGAAGTTTTGATTTTCATTTGATATACCTAATAATGATGTAACAGTTTTCAAAAAGCAATGACATTTTGCATCCCTAGGGGTGCAACTCCACCCACACCCTGGGGAGAACCTGTTTTGGATAATCCTAACATGAGCCGTAAATGGGCACAGCCAAATTCATATTGGGATTATTCCATAGGAGTGCAGAAAAGATCTAGCACATCATATCATGCTCAGAGGTCAGGTTCCCAAGAACCTCAGCTTCCATAAATAAATAAAGACATTTTTAGTGCTCATGTCTATGAAGACAGCTTGAAACACCTGCTGCAAACTCAGAATCAGAGTAGATTTACTTACACACTTACACACACACACACCCCTGCAAAGTGAGGCTTTCGTGCCCTGAATCTGGCCTTCCCCTCTCCCACATCTAGAAAAACTAGATGGCTGGGTTGTCAACACAGGGAGCAGTGAATACCACCAGTATTTCCCAAAGAATCTCTCTTTCACCCGCACATCAAAAGCACGGTAAAGACCCTTTCTGTCCACATGGCTCCACCGCTGCAAGAGTGAGGGCCATTAGCAGAAGAGTCAACCTTTTCTTTGCTTTGACTAATCTTGATGAGGCTGAGATCCCCCCCCCCTTCAACCTCAGTACACCAAAGTCTTGAGAGTCCCTATCTGACGTGCCTTTTTGTGGCTGAGAATTCATATGCTCTACAACAAGGGTGAGGAACAGAACCTGGCTGATGGGCTGGATACTTATCTCTATGCCCCCCTCCCCAATGTAAAGTATGACAGGTGGGCACACAGACAATCAGCTGACTGCTGGGACTTACACAGCCGTGTGGCACTTACCAAATCCTGGCAATCAGGTGATTCTCTCTTGCAAAGGGCTGTGCAGGTGCTGCTGATTAACAGTGCTTGCAAACCCCCTTTGGTGCAGCTGTGCCTTCTCCTGTCCCACACCTGATGACATGTGTAGGGTTGGGGTCATGGCTTGGCCAAGATGGCCTGGTGGGCCTCATTAGGCCCATGAGCTGCAGGTTCCCCAGCCCTGCTCTATAGCTGATCTCAAATGTATTCTAGCTAACTCAGGCCTAATTCAATAAAGGCTGCTAGGAACGCTAATGGATGTTTGTTAGGCAGGTGTGTTTCTGTACCTCAACCCTATTGAGCAATCCTCCAGCTATCCCTTCTTCTTTAAGTGACAGCTCCACTTTTCTGCACGCACAGGGTACACAGATTGTTTTACACAAAAGATATCAATAACCAAGCAAAATATAACGTCACTTCTTTTCACATCCTACTGTACAGGTTTTATGTATGCTATACCAAAAGGTCTCTGCAAATTCTGTTAAGTAACTGAAAATAAAATGAAACAAGCTCTGCTATACTTGTTGATGGCCTAATATTTGGCTTCTCTTGTTCACTGCCAACAGCAATGAAAAACAGCCAGAGGCCATCAAGACAGGTTAATACAGTAACTACTTCTCACTCCTTGGATAGAACCAGAACAGAAATATGGCCACCTGTATTAAGTGCCTGGCTGAGTTTCTTGCTGATATGATAACAATCTGAGACTAGCTCAGCATACCGGCATGTCTGGTGCACGAGCAGGAAAACATACAGATATTTTAAGTTGCATCAAACATTCTCCATCCACTAGTGCAAGGAGTCTTACACTGGTGGACGGGTGTTTGAATGTTGCGCAAGAATCCAACACAACAGCTGGGATAGTGAAAACTTGTTACACAACAAGAAAACATTTCACCAGTGAAACAAATATGCTGCTAAGTGGCTTTGTGTGGTACTCAACTAAGTTTTACTCAAAACAGACCCACTGAAGTTAATGAGTATGACTAATATGTGCTGATCCACTTTCAGATCTTGGCAATGGGTTCCTCCATCACAAGCCAACTACAGGAATTGGTAGCCTCAATTCAAGGCCACCAACACCATTTTTTAATTATATAAAAGATTTCTGACCTGCCCTTCATCACAGCATGAACGCCAAGGTATGATACACCAGGCTGCCCTTGTGCCATGGGAGAATAAAACAGCACATTCTCCAAGGGAATTCAATGACCACAGGGAAGCCTTGTATCAGGATACCTGGGCCAGCGTTATCAGGTTGCCTTAATGGCAGCTATGAAGAGTGTCCCTGATGCTGCTCTTCCTATTTCCAGGGTCAAGCTAAACAGGCTGAGTGGTAACTGCAGCAGTCCAAGCGCCTTGGGGTTGTTGCTGCAACACATCAGAGAGTCTGCAGTTTCCTGCTCTTCTCCAAAGACAACAAGTAAGAATCTTACCTTTGCTCGCTTTATGAATATCCTTCTCCATGGAGCAGGCAGTACAGCAGTGTTGGGGGCAACGGAATCCTCGGGACTCAAAAACAGCCGTAGCAAACTTGCGGATGCAGACCTCGTGATAAAATTTGCCACAGGCATTGACAGAGCAGCGTTTCACGTCTTTGCCAGGCAGCTTGCAGGAAAAGCACGTATGCTGTCCTTTAGAAAAGAGAAATAAAGAGGACCAGCCTAGGGTAAAACATTCTGAGAATATAAAACAAAGCAGCCATGACAGGTAGTAGCTGCCCTAGGTCTCTGTAGATTTCTTCAGACAGAGTGGACGGGAAAGGAAGACAACTGTATATTCCTGTCAGCTTTCTGAGGCTGAGAAAGCTGACCATCAAGGCGATTTCCCCCAGTTACTCAGTACGAATAGAAAGTGGGTGGCAAGGGGGGGAAGCTGAGTTAATGGACGGTGGCTAGAAAAGGAGCAAATTAGCCAAGATAGTGCCACAGAGCAAGATCCAGGCTGGGAAACCTGAATAGTTTAATGTGCTTTCACACACACACACACACACACACACACACACACACACACACACGAAGCCAATATATTTGCTAGTGAACCCTCCAGGACAGGAACACAACAGTCAAGCTGAACAAGAGCCTCCAGAACTCCTACCAGGAGAATTCACAAGGTGGAAGTCATTCCCTCATTTACCATTTTTGCACTCCAGGCAGATGAACTTCCCATCAGGCTGTGAGCTCAATCCTAGGCATTCTGTATGGAAGACCCTGCAGCATTCTCCTTCACAGGACACCAGAGATTCACCAGAACTTTCACAAATCTTAAGAGAAAATAATGAATATGTGATCATAACGACCAGAGGTTTTAAATATTCAATGTAAGCAATCAGAGCTAAAGCTAAAAGAGGGGGACACCACACAACCCTGCAAGGTTCCATCACTGTCTAGCACAGGACTCTTCTACAGGTCGTATTTTTTTGGTATGTCAAGAAGCACTGGTTGAAAAGTACTGGGCTGGTGTGACCAAGATTCTTCAGATGAAGTGGCTGGGCTAGCCAGATGGGAGGAGGCTTGAAGACCAACTGTTGGGGCCACCAGAAACAGGGAGCAGAGTAAGCCCATTTCAAGGCCCTGCATTTGAAAGAAACTAGTCCTGCATTGCTGGAATAAGGCAGCCCCATGGTCAGGAGCTTGCAAGACATGAGGAGCACACCAAGGCGGAGGGCAACCCTCACAGATCCTTGCAACACCGTTGGTGACCCTGGGTACTTTGCCCAAGGACAAATAGAATCATAGAACCATAGAATCATAGAATTGGAAGAGACCACAAGGGCCATCGAGTCCAACCCCCTGCCAAGCAGGAAACACCATCAGAGCACTCCAAATGGCAGACTCCAGAGCAGTAATGATGTCAAGAACCTGGTAACACTACTCTGCTTCAGCTCTACTCCTATCATTGGGTGAATGTGATCAAACCAATATTTTCTTCACTCTTTTAACAAACATTTATAAGGTGAAGTATGGTTTCTACTTGAGTACAGAGTCAGTGGCTGGGAATTCTTCCAGACTGACCCAATGCAGAGTCCAACACTGAGGGCTGTAGCCAACACTAGCTTTACTCAGAGTAAACTCACTAGAATTAGGACAGGACTTTAGGTTCAGTGGGTCTACTGTGAGTAGAACTTAGTTGGTTAAACCCCTGTGATGCTGCTACATATGCAGTGCAGATGTCATTACCTCAGTTAAGTTTGAATCTTTTTTCCAATCCTTACATTCCCTCCTATTTCTAGAGGCCACACTTTCCACTTTATAAAATTTGCACAACTTCAAATGCCTCCTATCAGATGGAATGTCAGCATATGACCTGTTTTGCAGCCCATCAACCTCTGATGGACTGCCACAATACTAACTAAAATAATGCTAACCAGCCTTATAGGACTATTGTAAGGATTACTAAACTAAAGTAATTTGATCCCTTGAAGTTCACCATTAAAATGGTCTTTAAATACTGATTACTAGGGTAGCCGTCAATGTCAATGTAATGTAAGGATTCTGGTCTTCAACCCAGTTCTGTTTGATTCAAGTCTGCTGCTTTGCAGATTATGCCCAGGGCCCTTCAGGTAAGGTTGCAATATCATGTTTTCTAAATGTCAAGTCTTCTAAAAAGTAGTGCCTGGCTAAGACCATTACCAATCTGAGATATACTAGGTTTATAGGCGAATCCCTTGACACCCTGCCATAACCTGCTTAGTCCTGGAGTCTTGCCTAATATTTCTACCCCTTCTACTGCCATTCACTCCCCATATTTTCCTTTCAGTGCACTGAATCCACTACAGTCTTATTCATTTCTTCTTCATCTCTTCTCACTGCCCCCACTTCTCAGCACCTGATTGTATTCTAAATGAGGGGTGGATGGGACATGGTCTATTTCCAGACCATGTCTATCCTGCATGTGTTCATTTGTAAGTCCTGTTTAGAATCCACAGGAAAATGCATATTTATATTTATTTTAAAATATACATCATTCTAAACATTTTATTCTAAGATACATATTTTTAACACATTTTAACACCTTTTTTGAGCAAAGAACATATCACAAAATTCAAAGAAGTGCTAAATTTGAAGGCTAATTATATTCCAATCCACCTATTAGTGCAGGAAATGTGTATCAGTTTGCATCCAAATTCACAAAAACTAAATTCCTCAAACATCCCTACTCTAGATATGACCTATCAGAGGTTATTCTCCCAATTCATGACTTTAAGGCTGCAAGCCTATACTCACTTACCTGGGAGTAAGCATCATTGAACTCAGTAGGACACTTAGTTTTGAGAGGGCACATGTAGGCATGTGCTTGAAAACTATCACAAATCTGTACTATACGTTGTAATAGGTGCACCCCCTAGTGACCTTTGGACAGAGCATTTAAAGGATAGTTTTGTCTCTGTCTAAGATACAACTACCAGGATCAAGGAAACTTAGAATCTTAGACTGTGTTCACATTATATTGTATCCTGCGGTTGCTGTTCCCAAAGATGCCTATTGTGCTTGCCTCTTGGAATTTGCCAGCCTCCCTCAAGACAACCAGTGTTGGACTTGGGAGACCTGGAAGATTCAAATTTGAATCACCACTCAACCCTAGAGCTCACTGGGTGACCCTGGCCAGTTGCTGCTTCTCAGGCCCACAGAGGATAAAGAGAGAAAGAGGAGAACCACATGTGTCACCTTGAGCTCCTTGCAGGAAAGGTGGGGTATTTTATAGTCTCTCATTGATTCAGAGGACAATCTGATGACATGCGAGTGGTAATTGCTTTAGATTGTTAAGGTGTTTTTATCACTGTTATAACAACAGCTACTTTTTTATCATTAGCAGAGTACCTGGATTTTTCAATGAGGTGAGCATTTTGACCTGTTTCCATTCTGTTAAAAATTGTTATGGTTGCTTAATTTTTGTTTCAGCATATGGTTATAACAACTAAATGTTTCCCCCCCTAAAAAGGATGTGGATGATGATTACGATAATAATAGCAATAATGTGGAATTTCAGAGTCAGTGCCCTCAAGCTTTCTGGATCTATAGAGGTCTAAAATAAATGGGAATTCATTATGCACTGAACAGCTGTGATTCAGTTGCATTTTGGCCAGCACTAATGCAAAGTAGCCACTTTCTGCTTAATTTGCAAGCAAAAAAAGCAGGAAAGAACTTATCCTGGGCACTCAGAGTTACATAGTATCAGAAGCAAGGCTAATCCTTAATTTTGCCAGAGGTACAAATGCAGAGAAAATTAGCTGGAGGTATATTACGGGAAATGCAGTCAAAGGTATGTAACAAGGTTGAGAAGTACAGTGGTACCTCGGGTTACATATGCTTCAGGTTACATACGCTTCAGGTTGCAGACTCTGCTAACCCAGAAATAGTACCTCGGGTTAAGAACTTTGCTTCAGGATGAGAACAGAAATCGTGCTCCGGTGGCACGGCGGCAGCGGGAGGCCCCATTAGCTGAAGTGGTGCTTCAGGTTAAGAACAGTTTCAGGTTAAAAACAGACCTCCGGAACGAATTAAGTACTTAACCCGAGGTACCACTGTATTTCTTAACGAAGGCTTGAATCAGCTAAATAGCTTTCAAGTCCATGCTGGGATTTAAACATCATGTAGACGTTTCCGTGCGCTGCTCTGGTTCGCCAGAAGTGGCTTAGTCATGCTGGCCACATGACCCGGAAGCTGTACGCCGGCTCCCTCGGCCAATAATCGAGATGAGCGCCGCAACCCCAGAGTCGGTCACGACTGGACCTAATGGTCAGGGGTCCCTTTACCTTTACCTAGCATGGTGCTGACCTTGTGTTGTCCAAAAGGTTTTAGCTGAAAGAAGTGCAGCTCAATCCTGTGCATTTTCACTCTGAAGTCAGTCTCACTTACTCTTGCTCCTATGAGTGCATGTATAGGATTGCAGCCTTGACCCTGCCACATTTTTTATTTACCTGACATATTGTGTCTCTCTTACTTGTCCCAGAACCTCTTCTTGATAAACTTGAGTCCACGGATTGTACATCAGAAGCATCAGCATCTGCTGCAGCTGAAGGGCTATCTGACTGTTTTCCAAAGCTACCCTAAAAGAAAAAGCCCACAGCCATTTATATTGCCAACTTTTTAAAAGGAATGCTACAAAAGATAAATGCCACTGATTGAAAGAGAAAACCATAATAATATGATAGACATTGAAATTTTCTATGAAATTTTCTCTCTTATTTTAGATCAACTCTATAGTATGTTCTGCCATTTCCAAATTCGTATCAATACAATGTGTAAATGAGGAAAACCTCACAGCCTTGTGGGGGGGGGGGGACTGCACCAAAATCTGAAATAAGAAAAGCTGAATTGTGTGGTATGGAACTTAGCATCTTATTTTCAATAATTTAGTCTGCCAGTTGGAGGAAGCAAAAGGAGCAAAACTGACTATTTTCACAACCATAGGACCTTGCTAAATGAATTAAGAGAGAGGGAGGAAAGGAGCAGTAGCTGAGATTCTGAGTAAGTTAATTGTTGTAGCTAGGATGTATTCTGAATCTTTGAAATATGCAACTCTGTCCATAACACCAATCTACTCCCTACATTTCCCATTTTCAATGTAAAATGCTCTGACTAATCAAGGAGAAATTATGCACAGTTCACTATCATCAGTTATCTGCCCATTTCAAAGCACATCAAGAAATACAAAACATGTACCTGTGGATCATTAAGCCCTCTCGAATCAGAGTCAGATGTATCTCTGTATGCTGAGCTAGTCAGTTCTACATCTGTTGAGGCACGACTCCTTTTCTTTAGAGGCTTACAAGAATCTGAAATCTCACTGGCACCTTGAATACAACATACTGGAATTAATCTTAAAAGATCTCTTAAATGTATTAAACACTGAAGGAGAAACTAAGGGGCTGGGTAGACACATGCAGAGATGGAACTGACAAGACACTTAGTTTAAAAGCTTTTAAAATTGCAACTAGTCACTAAGATAACTCCAATTCTTTGAAAGATTGTCACTCCAACCCACAGATCAGAGGTAGCCCCCAGGGTGCTCTGCAGGACTACATCTCCCCTCATTCCTGACCACTGGTCATGCTGGTTGGACTGGATGAGAGTAGGGAATCCACAACATCTGGGAGGCACCATGGAGAAGAAGGGAGTAGCAGGGGGTGAGGGTGCTTTGTATAGTGTTTATTTCATTCATCCATAACCTGTCTTTAAATATGAAATATTTTCAAGGCTGCTTACAGTATAAGCACTAAAACAGTAATAAAAACAACTGAAGTTGAATGCTATACAGTACGTAAAGGTCAGGGAAGAGGCAATCATGCTCAACCCTACAAAGCTAAACCCCACAAAACTAAAATTCAAAGCATGCTTAAAAAGGCAGCAAGAAAGGGGGGTTGAATAGTGTTATTTATAGATTTTTTTTACCCTATTCTTCAGTAGGCTTTGGGGCAGTTTACACATATCAATGGCATATTGCTGTTATTATAATGATTATTTGTCACCTAGTACAAAATGTCTCAATGACTTGCATGATTTTTTTTAAGTGCATCATCAAATTTAAGAATAAAATAATACCATCCTCCCCTCCAAATAATATTTGCACAGAAACAGCAGTAAGAGTGGTAATCACATTCCCTCAAATGCTTGGAGAAGACAGGCATCTTAACCTGGCACTGAAAGGATGTTCATGTTGGCATCAGAGGCCCTTGCCAGGAGAGAGCATTCCTTAAATGGTGGGGAGGGAGACAACAGAAAGAAGTATTCTGCCTTCTCACCACCCTCCGAACCTCTCTCAGAGGGGCCAGGGAAATGTTGGAACAGACCTATAGCTGTCACAGTGAGCCACCCTGGCAAGGATACTTTTTACACTTTCTGCAAATTGTCTGCTCTACACAAAAGGCTGCACCAGAAGCAATTATCACCACACACACTTTCCAGCTTATATTGAATTGACATCCTTTTGTTCATACGTAGTGTGATAGAGAAGACCAAGGTCATAACTATTTCAATGACAGTTATTGGGGACAGAGGAGCTGGAAATAATAAGTCTCGTCCCTGCCTTGCCACCAGTGACAAAGGCTAAAATCCATCACACTACTTAAGAAAGCCTAAAGAATTTTTAAAAACTCTCTCACCCACCCCATTCCTCTGAAACAAGACCTCCGCACCAAATCAGCTTTCCATGTGACATGCAAGATGAGTGTTTGAGAAACACAAGCCCAAAGGCTTCTGAGGCTCATGGAACCAGCGACAAAGCTCTTTTGATTTGATTTAGTTCTTTTGATCCCTACCTGCCTGCCAAACTTTTCCTAGCTCTTGTAGGTCAGTGCAACAGATCCAATGCTACCAGACCTGATTGATCTAGCAGAAGGAGAGACAGGACCGCAGGGCCTATCCATCTACTCTGCTGAGAGACCAGATCCATCAGGCTCTTCCCTCAACTGTCATCTATCCACAGCCATCCCATAAGGCACGAGGGGGGGGGGGAGGACCTCTCTATGGGACCTGCTGAAAGATCGGCAACTCCTCTCCAAATTGTTCCATTCCAGCCAGTCACTACAAGAACATTCTTCTTTCCTTTTTTGTTCCACCCAATCCCTTTTGAGTTTCTGTCTTTTAGATTCTGAGCATTTCTTATATTTGGTTATGTTTTGGCCACTCTAGAAGCCTTTTTCGGCTGAACAGCATGTTAAAAATTCTTTAAATAATAAATAAATATTACCTCCAACATCAGAGGTAGGATGTCTCTGAATATCAGTTGCTGTGGGAATTTTAGATGGGCTTCTGGTCTTATCCAGGTGGGATCTTATGTTCACTGCATTAACTGTTAATGCAAGAGATTAAGAAGGAGTGTCCCTGCTTTTTGCAAGCTTTTAAAAAGAACTTTAAAAGCATGCTGTTGTCCCTATGCTCAGGGACCTGGTTCATTCCCTTTTTATTTGATCTGGCTACCACTGGGCAGTAGGTGAATGAGCCAGTTGGCAAGCAAACTCTTATTCTGGCAAGCAATGACTTCAGACCAGGGCAAAGTCTGTGAATCCCAGTCCTATTTTCCTAGCAAGCGCTCCAATAATCTATAAAGTAGCATGGAAAAGGGGGACAAGAAGGACTTGAGGCAATGAAGTACAGTCCTACACTCCATTCAGATGTGCACATTGAAATATGCAAGAGATGGTTAGGCAGGTGGTTGTTAGATGTGGGACTACAATGCCTACATGGATTACTTACATACACAACATGGAAGGCATAGATGAGTAAAAATGAAATAGGCTGTATACCAAGTTTTGGGTTATAAGCAGCACTACTCACCTTTCTGTAATCCAGTCTTCAGTGTTGTCTGCGGGACTGTTTCCACCTGTTTGGACAGGAAAACAAGCAATTAATAGAGGAATTTCCTGTTCCCTAGTATAACAGAGGAAATGAAACTTCAATGCAAGCAATTAGCAAAAGGGAAACTCATGTTGCCATCTCCACCCCCACCCCACCCCAGCAAGTCGTTTCTGATCCACCTCTTATGGAGATAAGTGACGCTGCCTTCTCTGAACTGGGTGATGAGGCGCCTCCCCTGAACTGTGTTTACTTCAAATCATTCACTTTGTGTACTTAGTGATGGAATGGCTTTATCTTTGGTCCAGGAATCAGGAGAGGGGGTTTAGCAGCCACTCCTTGGGCTACAGAAAACCCCTACAATGGCTAAGAAAAATAAAGAGAAACAGGACACTCTAGTTCCATGTGACGCTTAACTTACTGCCCCATTTTTTTAAAAAAGGCACTTCCACTCAGCAAGCACTTGAGCTTCTGAGGCCATGGGCTGCTCCTCTGTATAGAGTGCTGCAAAGGCAGAGCAGAGCAGGAGGCATTGCAGGCCTCTATACAGCAACATCAGCACAGTGCTTGGGCAGGCAAGTTGGCGACCTTGTGAAAGCACTTCATGGCCTCAAGGATCAGTGTCTTGGATCCTACATTGGAAGGCAAGCTTTCTTCCAGAGTACACCCAAGTTGTGAATTTGGTAGTTGCAAGCAGCTGCTTTTGCTAAGATCTTGCTTTTAGGCTAAAAGTTGCCACTTGAAATAAATAAATAAATAAATAAATAAATAAATAAATAAATAAATCTACACAGGTTGGTTATATGTGCATGTAAGAAACACGTCTCATAGATATTTATTAAGGATTATTCTATAATTTTTTAAAAATATTTTATTTCGTTGTACAATGGATAAAAACATACAATAGAAGGATTTGTATAGGATACAATTGATAATACAAATATAAAATCTAAACAATCACTTGTATTTCACTACCACTCACTGCAACAGAATTAACATTGCATCTCTCATTTGTAGTTAAAATTCCAGTTATAATTTTAAAACCGAAAGGATGCAGAAAAAATTTGGAAATTCACTGCAACAAAGCTCGACCCTGGGAAACAAATATGGTTGCAGAATCCTAAGGTATCAGGACGCCTTTCTCAACATAGATCACATCCAAGCTTATGCATTACAGTGCATCTCTGACCATTACGTTTTGCTGGCCATATGCTCTTCCTGAAAAACATGAGTACAATATACTATGTTGTCTTAATTAGCTACATAGTATAAAGCAAGCAAGACTACTTGGGGAACAATGGCATGTGGTTCTTGTACCATGGTTAATTAAAAATATATAAATTACTACAGCTTCATATTTAAAAAGGGAAACTGCAACAATTGATGCCAAGAGTTATATATGCTATTTCCCAATATTTAATATTCACTTTAGGAAAAAAGTTGCACTGAAGTCATAGTCCTTTAACTTCCACCATTTTGGAAATCCAACAAGAGAAATGTTGAACAGGGCAGCAACAGAGTGGATATTTAAATAGAACGGTGATGATGTATTTTCAAGACTTTCAGCTAACCAAGAAATCATGGGCAACATGCTTAAAGTTTATTAGAATTGTAATTGCAAGAAATGTCCCCCCCCCAACATTACTTGGCCCTTGCAATAATCGTGTTAGAGAATCTTTATTACATAGTGTATATGGTTCAAGGTGGGTTGCCCTTAAATTTAAAATGGAAGCATACTGAAACAGTTGAAACAGTGACAATAACCTTCTTGAAACCTGCAAAATCCATATATCGCATGGGTGGTATGCAACTTGCCTATTCCTCTTCACTTACAACTGGCTAGTTTCAAAAGCAGTATCCTTAAAAAGGAATGCCCTGTACATGTTGGTTCTACTTAAAGGACAAAACGAAATCAACCCATCATGATGCTCTTCCCCTTCTGCTAACATAAAAGGCTATAGCCTTTAAATAATGATTATGGTAATAGTAAATTTTCAAGAGTAACCAAACAAATCCATCTAGCTTTTCTTTGAAAACAAACTAAAACCTCAGTACAAACCAGCAGCTAAACCAAGGGTAAGACAAGAAAGAAGCTGGTAGCATTTCCAGAGAAAACACTGAAACATAAAATCACTATGCTTGTAACAGAAACAGCCAAAGTAAACGTATCAGCTCATGAAGAGGTCACTGTGTTCCCATTTATCCAAAGTGTGATTGATGCTGAAAAGGGATATCAGTTAACAGCAATATTTACTGAGGGAGAGGATCTCAGGAGGGGAAGTCCAAAAGCAAACCCAATGGGGGATATAGAGGGGCAGGTGGGTAGGTAGAAATAAAAAGGCATCAATATTAAGCCACAGAAAGTATGTATACAGTATATTTTAACTCTCTACATGGAGGAAGCCAACCTGCTCCTTTTTGATCTTCTTCTTTGGCACAACTTCAGTGGATTTCTCAGACTCTGAGCGAGTTCGTATTGATCTTCTCTGTTGCTTCTTTTCTACAGAACCTGAGGGAACAGAATGGTTTCCATTACAGGAGTCTCTCTCTCTCTCTCTCTCTGCTCTCTTTCCTCAATGAGGGATGACGTTCAATAGCAAAGTCCTGATTTCTCTACATTCTTCTTTGAGTGCATAGACTTTAATCTGCCAGCTGGCGTTCTGGCTGCAGGCAATACATCTCAGTGCTTCAGGGAGAGTCCTGAGTTCGGGAAAAGACCAGCTTTAATATGAAGATAAAGGGGAAGTCTAGAATTCAAAGTATTAAGAAGGGGTGACTTTTCATGTTCAGAACCTTTAAAATCAACCAGGAACTTGCTTAAATGTCATAGGTTACCAACCACACCAAGGACACAAATATGTTCTGAATTTTATTTTCAAAGTATTTGCCTATGTAGGCAATATTTTGCATGTCTTTAAATGAACATCTTATTCCTCTCTCTGCCTGAATCTAAGAAGGGGATGGAACCCTAAAGCCTCCATATGTTGCTGGACAACAACTTTCCTCTTCCCTGAATGTTGGCCATCAGAAGTGGCTGGTGAGATGCGATGTTCAGCAAAACATGGAACCCACAACTTCCCCAATTCCTGTCCTGCCAGGTTTAGTCATTGTACAACATATAATATTCTAGTGCAATATTTTGGGCACTTTAGAGTAAGTCAAAGATAGAAACAAAGACCTTTTATGCATTCTCCAAGCATGGGGCTGTTCATTCAAGACATGGAACCCAAGCTCAGTATCAATAAGGGCAAGTAGGGTACTCAAAGCCATCAAAGAACCTGTGCTGCTCAGCAAATGAAAACCCCAATTCACTCAAAAGGGCTTAAAAATCATTGAGAGCAAAAGTTACATTTAAGAATCCTGGGGAAAACTTTAACAGGCAACAACTTTTGATACCCATCAAGGGGCTGAAATAGACAGACTCAAAAGAGATTTATTGTCAGTGCCCAATTTCTAGAAGGAGCTATGCTAGAAGACCAATTGCCTGAAAGTCATGTGGCCCCCAATCAGTGATACGCAAGAATGGCATCCTGAACCTGCTCAGATGCATCAATTACTTCACATACTCTGGAAAGATCTGTGTCTTCATAAGCCAGTTTGTTTTAAAACATGGGTTAGTAGTGAACATGGCTGCCATGGCATGCCCTGCATGGCTTGCTTCTGTGGGTGCTGCGAGAAACAAAAACAAGGCATGGCATAACTTCTTGTGTCATGTGAATGCAACTCTGATTTGTTTGTTTCAAGCATGCCATGAATGTTAAGCCAGAAACAAGTGAAAAACAAAATTTTAGCTTATTTCTGGCTTAACACTTGTGTTTCTTTTTTAAAAAAATATGATTCAGGTTTGCAGAACACAAGAAGCCACACTATCTGAAGGAGGCTATGCTGCAGGATTAATCCATGGTTTAAAACAAATTATGGCTTAGCATGGCATGTGAATCAGCTGTATGAATATGAGGAGACAGGCAGAGCCTCATTTCTAAGCATTTTGAAAGACACATGTGAAAACTGGGAATGTGCTTACCTGTGGATTATCCTCCTACTTGTTCACCAGGCAGTGGTCCATGGCCATTGGGCGCAGAGGCAGCAGAAAGACTGGCTCTAGGGAGGAGCCTCTTAGTCCAAACCCCGCAGAGTCTTTCTTCTAAAAGAACCTGCCTCCTAGTGGACAGAGATCACCCCAAGGTCTGGACCAATGAATGGTGACAAATAGGGAAAATAAAGCATCTTGGAAATGAGTGATATTCAAATACTGTAGAATTCTGTTGGTGCTGTGACCCTCACAGAATATACCAAAGGGCTCCCCCCCCCCAATAAACAAACACAAATGTGTCACATAAGTAAAGAAAAATCCACTGGGAGCATCATTTCTTTGCACAATGCAAGTAAAAATGACTAGAAGCATTGTGAGAATACAACTGCACTCCTGCACAACCCCCATTCATTTCAAAGAGGGCATTGGGTTGAGTGTACTGAAAATGATTAAGGCCTTATTCAAACACATCTAAAATACTGAAAATGATTAAGGCCTTATTCAAACTCATCTAAAATACTGAAAATGATTAAGGCCTTATTCAAACTCATCTAAAATTCAAGCTCATCTAAAATACCAGATTCAGATCTGATGTGCTTCACTGACAAATGCTTAAGACATGACATTAAACATATGATCACATTGGAGTCTGAGTAGGAGTAGGTTGGAGGTTTTTTCCATTTGTAAAAGGTCAGCCTATGTTTGGTTTACCCATCAGTCCATCTGTTTATGTGGCACACTGCTATTTCCTCTTCTGGCTGGATATGCAGAGGCATTGAGAAACATTTCTTCCCACATAAAGGAACACATACCAGTAGCAGCAAACAAAATGTTTCACATGCATGAGGCCTAAAGTTCAATCACCAATACTTCCAGTGAAAAGTTTTGGCCAGGACTGTGCACAGGATAAGAACTCTGACCTAGTCAGGGTTGGACTTTACAGAGATAACCAGGCCATTGGTCTGCCTCTGTATTAGGCAATTCCTTGTAACTGCTCCCAGAGCCTTCCAAGTAGTATTAGCCTACATCAAACTCTGAGATGTGTTTTGAAAATGCAAGATATTGGCTAAAATTCCTTTCCTGTGTTAAGATAATAATGGGAACATTAAACCAAAATCCGTAAACCCCTCTAACTGTATGACTCTAGCCTCTTAAAGATATTTCACAAATACTACTTAAAATTCAAGACCAAATTAAACACAGTAGATTTTCTATTTTGCTAACCTAGACAGAATTAATGGCTAAGAGGGATTTACCGTATTTTTCGCCCTATAGGACGCACTTTTCCCCCTCCAAAAATGAAGGGGAAATCTGTGTGCGTCCTATGGGGCGCGTCCTATGGGGCGAATACAGGCTTTTGCTGAAGCTTGGAGAGCGAGAGGGGTCGGTGCACAGGCTTCAGGAAGCTATCAGCAAGCCTGGGAGTCCGCGGGAGTTCCCGCAGGGCTCCCTAGGCTGCGGATAGCACCCTGCCGCCCGGTGTGTGGGGCGCCCTGAAGCAGAGCGCCCCGCGCGCCGGGCAGACATTGGCCAGCCCCACAAGCTCAGGGGACAGCGGGGAGGTGCAGCGCCGCCATCCCGCTGTTCCCCGACCTGGTTTGGTTTCCCCGAACTGGTTTTGGGGGGGAAATAAAGGGATTTCCCCCCCTTTATTTCCCCCCCAAAAAACTAGGTGCGTCCTATGGGACGGAGTGTCCTATGGGATGAAAAAATACAGTATATATGAATCTGCACCTGCTCCTACAAATAATGTACTAAATAAAAAATGAGATTTTAAACACACAACTGCCGTCCTGTGAAACAGTTTTAGGATCCAGAATGTGCTATGACATCTAGGAAGTTTGGGGTGGGGAATTCATGGTACCAATCAGTACCAGAGTGCAAGATGAGCCTAAAAGGAGAAGCATCATGCAATGAAGTGCTGGGGTAGCTGACTTGGTGTCTCCACATCTTGTTGGACTACAACTCCCATCATACCTGGCCCTGCTGTCTGGGGTTGATGGGAGTTGTAGTCCAACAATGTCTGAAGAGCATCACCTTAGCTACCCCTAGAATGGTGGATAGTGTGTTAGATTTGGACTGGGGAGGCCAAAGTTCAAATCCCCATAAAGTCAAAGTGTGAGCTCAAAGTGTGCCTTGGGTCACTGAGCATCTTTTAACAAACCTCACAGGGAAAACAAACAGTTTTGCAGCATTGTTTAAAAGACTAACAGATTTATGTCATAAGTGTTTGTGGACTGGAGTACAGTGGTACCTTGGGTTACGAATACGGCAAACACGGAAGTGTATAATGCCAGGTTTCGCCACGTACGCATGTACAGAAATGCTCTGTGTGCTTCGCGCATGCGCAGAAATGCTCTATCGCACCGTGCGCAGAAGCGCTGTATCGTGCCGTGCGCATGCACAGAAGCGGCGCCTCTTGTTGTGGACTTTTCGGGTTGTGCACGGACTCCTGGAACGAATTAAGTTTGTATCCGGAGGGTCCACTGTACCCAGAAATCAGTTTGTATTTAAGATGCTGCAAGACACATTGCTGTCGTAACAACAACAAAAACTTATCTATAGCCTGCCCATCTGGTTGGGTTTCCCCAGCCACTCTGGGCGGTTCCCAACACAATTAAAAGCACAATAAAACATCAAAACAACTACAACATAATACTATGGCTTCCCCCTCTGAATTCCCCTGCTACCTCACGGGGATGTTGTGTATGTAAAAATGGGGAAGTCTTGAGTAAGATTATCAGTCTCTAAGAGACAAACATGTAACAAAATGTTTCCGTCAGTTTTCTGTGTTCTGTAAATTTAAGAGTTTATGACTAAAATGAGAATTCCTGCATTGCTTAAACTGCTGCAGCATAACGACCTCACAGCCCACCACCCCAAAATAATTTTTCAATGAAGCTTTGCATAATGCATTAGCCAGTTTTACATAGTAAAGTGATACTTCTGACTGCTGTATTCTGAAGACTACCCCAATGGAGGTGGTTTGATTTACTGGATATAACCCAGGAGTTGCAAACTTTACCTACTTGCCAACCCAGAAGATGTTTCGGGAGACGGTGCACTTTGTGAGGAGGCTCTTTCATTTCGCTGGTTGGAGACAGAAGTGAGTTTGTCTTGCCCCTTGATGATTATTTCAGGTTTGTTTCCTATACCCTGTTATGAATAGAAAAGATCGAGTTAGTAACTACTGAATTAGTCCTTTGGGTTAACTGCTGCATCTATGAAAAAAACACTTTCAACTGCTCAGTTATAAACTTTCTATTTAAACTGAATGCCTCCAAAGTGGGAGAATAATCCTATATGCCGCAGAACTGTGCTAAGGGTAGAGAATGCCAAGGCTTTTCCAAAAAATAGCGAGGGAAGTGGGATGTCCAGCAACTCTGCTTTCTCAAATAGCCAACAGCTAGACAGTTTGTGCAAGATTCTAATCCTCAGAATAGTTTCAGTCCCAGAAGCTGGCACTGCACACAAACTAAGTGGGGGGGGGGGTATGCATGCTACTGGTGCTGCCAAGCGTCTCACAGACGTCACAGTTTTCCTGACCTGACTTTTAGCATTCATCCTAGGAGGCTAGGCTGGGAGTATGAACAGGAAACATCAGAAAGTGTGATGATGTGAAATGAGAAGGGTTTTTTGTTTTGTTTTTTTAAAGGAGATTGGGCAGAGTACCCCCACAAGTTTACTTTCTCATCTGCTGCTTGTGTGAGCTAGGCCCATAATAACTGCCTTGCAATAAGAGACCAAATATATTATTTCCAGTATATGTTCAATGCCAAACAATGCCAAAACACACACACACACACACACACACACACAGGGTTCGGTTCTTAGCACCCAATATTCAACGGATGCCTTTGTGCAGAGGAAGTCAAGAGCCAAACATGTTACATTTTTAAGCAATGTAGTGAACATCCACTTTGCCACACAGGCCCAGTTCAGATGTCACAAACGTAGGGATCAATTATGAACTATAGCTTCATGCACTCCCCTTTCCTCTCGCATGCAAGTTCCTCCTCCACTTCCCTAACCAAAGCTCCCTGTGATGTCAAAATTGGTACATATAGTTAACACCTTGCTTCCAAACCATTGTTTAAAATTATGGTTTGAAGTGAATGTGCAAGTCATAATATGTAAAGCAAGTTGCTAACCATACTTGGCCACTTCAGATGCCATGGCAAACTATGATAAAAGAAGGAAAGCAAGTGAAAGAGAAAAATATTAGCATGTTCATCAGTCTCTAAAACCATGGCTTGGCTGATTTGAATTAATGATGTCTGAAGTGGGCCATTGTTTACCAACACCTAATGAGAACCTGCAGTCCCAGAATGGCAGAATCATAGAGCTGGAAGGGACCACAACGGTAAAACCCCCTGCAATGCAAGAATCTTTTTGCTCAACATGGGGCTCAAACCCATGACCCTCAGACTAAGAGTCACAAGCTTTACCAATGGAGCTATCCTTCACACAAATCGAATGAAATCAAATGAAATGAAATTAAGAAAATCTATTGCTATGCCATCTCTCTCTAACTAATCATCAGGAGTCAACAAATTCACTTTATTAGCTTGACAGCAGTGAATAAACTTTCTAATCCGACAAAACAAAATTAGCACAATTTCAGGGATAAAATCCTGCTGCTTTCGAAGTTGGGAGGAGGGAAGTCAGAGAAAAGTACAATCTTTGCCGAGCTAGCAAGATCATCTATAATTTGTGAACACCTACTTGTTAGTTACAAAGCAAAGACACAAGCTAACCCAAAGCAGTCTAAACACTTGTTTGATTTAAGACTGTAATATAACAGTAAACAAGCAATTTAAATATCATTACAGAAAATTAATTTAAATTATCTTGATTTTCTGAAACTAGGAAGGATTGGGTCACGGACTTCTTGTTTTGCTGAAGACCACAAGCATATACTGCTTTGGGGTTTTTTGTTTTTGTGCGCTGCTGGCAGTGTTTCACAGGGACTGATAGCAGTATAATACTTCACATGTATAAGAGATGATGACAATGATGATGTTATTTTGATTAACATTTAAAATTGGGTGTGGAAGAAGAGCCGCTGATTTTCTGGGCATCACCTGCTAGCTCAAACTGAACAACTCTCACAAAAGGTACCTGATTTCACATTACATTTCAGTCCAGAAATCAGGCTTAGCAAGCATGGGATAATGAAACTCCCAACATTTTAAGACTAAAGAATTCACCCAAATATTTTACACAAGCTTGCAAAGACCACATTCTGAGACAAAAGTGAGCAGACAAGAATAAACCTTTTAATTCATTGCACATTTATGCCCTTTCAATAAATATTTATGCTGTTACCTTGGTAGAGTAAACAAACTGATCAATGAACTTTCCATTCCCAGCAGCATTCTGTAGAGCAAACACTTGTTCAATTTTAACAACTGGAGACATATTACACTTCTGAAGGTCCAAAGTTCCCTGGTGCATGGTGATGGATGCTGGCAAGGATTTTCTGGCTGCAGCCGTTTTCCATGCTATTTTAACAGGAGGGGGCTCTTCATCCACACTTGACTGCCTTCTCTGACTATTCCTCTGGACTTCAGTATTGGATGGAGAGGACACGGCCAACACCTCACTGGTGTGTTCTGGCTGTGCATTAGGCGATGGTTTAGACCTACGGGTTTTCTTCACCTCTGTCTTCGGCGCACCAGTCCTCTTGGCTTTTGACAAAGCCTCTTCTGGCTCTTTATCTATATAGATGAAGGTATATTGCTCCGTCCTCTCTTCTCGAGTCATTTTCAGTGCTTCCTCAGCATGAGCAATGCCAATATCCCATTGTGCACGTTCTCTCTGTGGCCTTGGTTTCCGAATCTTCAAAATAAAGGAGAGATGGTTATTGCATTTACTCATTTTCACCTACAAAGCATGCCTAATTGCTGTTGTTTTGTTTGTTACAACTGAATCCGTCAGTGCTAACAGGATAGCACGAAGTGGGAAACATTAGAAGGAAATGTTCAAAATGCACTACAAGCATCTAAAGTATTCAGACCTCAAAATACCCATTGTGCCCCTCTCATACTAGTGGACTGACCCAAGTACCCAGAACTCCCTATACTTTTGATAATATCCCTGATTGGAAACATATGCACATCAATATATTAGATAAAACTATAAGTCAGTGTTGCTGCTGAATAGGGTAGGCAGCATGAGTTTTCAAAACTTAAGTTTAAGGAATAGTCTGGGAAGGCTGAATCTAGGCTGTACCTACAATGAGGTACAAAGGCTGTACCTTTAAACCATCCCCACACCATCCTGCTAAATCTCCTCCCTGACATACCCAAATCACAACTGCCTTCATTAAATTATTATGAAATTACTCAAGCAGACAGATGGAAGGTGCACCCATATGGCTTTTAATTTTTAAAAAGCTACATATGGAATGTGCACCAGTAAAATTAACTTTAAAGGAAACAGCAAATGTTGTAGATTTTTTAATGGTATTTTGTATGTAATACAATACAAATGGCAAACTATGTATGTTGAGCCACAGCTGATGTAGGGCTTGAGACCAGGTGAGCCAGGGCTGACCATCACCATATCCATGTCTTCCTATTTCCTTTGCCTTAAGGGCTGCTGGCACTCTTGCTGGCTCTTCTTCCCTGAGACAGCAAGGCCATGGAGCAATTTGCAAGCCCTGTAAAAAACTGGCTGCCAAGGCATAAACAGGAAAACAACATCAATCTGAATCTGTCCCAACAATTATCCTCTCACCCCGCTGGTAAAATAAACTGTTGTCATTTCAGACTGTACACACCTTCTGTTTTTCAGAGTGGTTGGCTTGCTTAGCAGCCTCTGCCACCAACTGATCGTACTGTTTACGTCCTTTGTACTCTCGCACCCGCTTCTCATGCACCCATGCTCTCTCAGGCTGGTTGCTAAAGAACTGGACATGATATTCCCGTGCACCTGAAATTGAAAGAAAGCATTCTGCTGAGAAATTTTCCCATCACTTTCTAGAAAAATATCCTCCACACCATTTTTTAAGCTGCACAGAAAAAAAATGGATAGTTGGTGAGAGGCCAAGCTGGAAGTATACCCCCAGCATGACTCAAGAGCAGCCCACTCTCTCAGAGACTGCATCAGGTGAACTCCAGCAACAACCAAGGCCAGTGTGTTGCGGGGCTATGGGAGGGGCCAGGTGGAAGCCCTCAGCTCTTGCTTTCCTGGCATCCTGGCAAATGTCCAGACAGCACTTCACCAGAGAAGAGACCTTGGCAGTACATCGCTTGTCAGCCTGTGGGCCAATCAGCCTGATAAGGGCCAGCTGTTTTCAGCCTTCTCCACCTCCTACTTCTCATGGGATTTGCAGAAGGTAAAACCCAGCAACAGCCAAGGAATGCCAAGGCCGATAAGTTGCTGGGCAACAAGGGGTGGGCAAGGAGAAGCTACCAAACACCCCCATCCCCTCTTCCTCTCCTTAACTCCTGACAAAATGTCTTGACAGAATTTCTCTTGTGGGCCGAACTTGACACAACATTAATTATGGTATGTGAATGTTATCAACATGTATTTTCATTGTGTGCACAGCCACAGAAAAATCTTACGTCTTGGGACATGAGGTTGGTGGTAGGGAAGGGATGTTGAAACTGCTTTTTTACTTCAAAGGAAGATCACATCAGTGCCAAAGGGGTCCATCCTTGAAATGCAAATAGCTGCTTCAGAGAGGTTAATTTTAGAAGCTTCTTAGGCTTCCCCACAACTGTTAAGAACATGTAAGAATACCTTGCTGGATCAGGCCAATAGCCCATCTAGTCCAGCATCCTGTTCTCACAGTAGCTGAACAGTTTGCCTGTAGGAAACCAGCAAGCAGAATTAAAGCACAAAAGCCCTTTCCCCCTCCCGTGGTATCCAGAAACTAGTATGATTTACATAACCAACATGTCCATTAAAAAGTGAGCCTTCAGGGAATGATCTGTGAGATCCTTCAACTCCCCTGGATCCAAGGAAAAATGTGAGACCATCCCCCAAAACTGTTTACAAAGCTATGTAAGGAGCAAAAAGGCTCTACAGTCAGATACAATTCACTAAGGACTCTTAAGCAAACCACTTACTTTCAGTCTTCAGTCTACAATTTGTGAAAAATAATACTGATCCCACTTTGAGTTGTGGCAAGAAAGGTAAGTATATTTGGGCTTTTAAAATGCAATAGCCAGGCCATAGCATGCCTAAAACTGGAATATGCTTTAAGTCAGATATCACCAAATCAATCCCCTCACAAATAGGTCAGGGTCCATAACAAAGTTGGCACCTCCTGGCTTTAAGAGCTTCACAGTTATGTAGCTCAGGAAGAAAATTGCACAGTAGTAATCAGTTGCATATGAAATCTAAGAGAGCTACAATAAAGTACAGGATATTTGTCAATTCCACCCTCCTACCCCTCTCCTAATGGAATGGTGTGCAATCCTTCTATCATCTAAAATTTGGAAAGACCTCAGGAGCCACAGCTTCAGAGGCTACAAGTTGCCCATCCCCACTTTGTGCAGTTGTCTTTACTGTGCTACATGCAAAAACTAGTCCTGCGTGGTCTGAAAACTCATGAAGCAGCCACCTTGCTGAAGCTAAGCAGCTTAGAGTGCAGCTGACGCCTGGATAGGAGACTTCCTGAATTCACCAGCTTGGGGGCAACCACAGGTGCAAAGGTGCCACTTCAAGAAACCTTGTTTATGGCCCTCAGCCATAGGAGACTGTGGAAGGAAATTTATGGGGAACTGTGAGGGGTGAGAGCCCACAATAATGGGTGGGCAAAATGCCCTTCTGAATGAGAGCCTGGCTGGGAATGCCAGCACTAGCCCAGGTGTGAGATGTGATGGAGATCTTCGGGGTTTGAAAATTGAGTCTGGGAAGTAAACCACTGGATACAAAGGCACCATCTGAAATATGGGATACTTTATATGCTACTATTCGATTTTTGTTCTGTTTAAGATTGTTCTGTTAAGTTTAAGTTATTTAATTAGGCTTGCTTTTTTTGTTTTGTTTTATGCAATTTTATAGTTCAAGCTTTTAAATTGGATTAGCCTATTTGTGTTGCTTTTATATATTGTTATAGGGACTGACTTTTTGTACTTATTATGATAAATCTGAATTGTTTCTAATATGTTTCTGAATTGTTGTATTGTTCATTTGATATGCTACAAGCACAATTTTGTGGAGAAGTAGCAAATAAACATATGCCACCCTGAGTTCCATAAATGGAAGAAATGTAGGCTATAAATATACAGTGGTACCTCGGGTTACATACGTTTCAGGTTACAGACTCTGCTAACTCGTGGCAGTGGGAGGCCCCATTAGCTAAAGTGGTTCTTCAGGTTAAGAACAGTTTCAGGTTAAGAACGGACCTCCAGAACGAATTAAGTTCTTAACCCGAGGTACCACTGTACTTAAATACTAAGACAATGTATATAAAGTGATCTCAGCAATATACCACAGGCATGCATGTCTAATTAATAATTATCACTAATGTATTATCATATTCTTTGCATCATCTGCAGCCAATCTCATTCCTATACAGCCAATAGAATCATCAAATTGTAGAGCTGGAAGAGACCTTGAGGGTCATCTAGTCCAGCCCCCTGCAATGCAAGAATCTCAGCTCATCTGAGGTCCCCCATCCAATTTAAAAGCATACAGGACCCTGCATAGCTTTGAACATGGGCTAGCAGTTTTATTGCAGTACCACTAGAACAATAAGGCAATCATTCAGATATGCTACTCCTGGGTTTGTGTAACACTAACTTCCACTCAGAGAAGCCCCATGTGTGTAAATTTCAACATGTCTACTCTGAGTAGGACTAGCACTGAAAACAACCTATACATTTTTAAATCTGAGTTTAAGAAAAGCCCTAACGAAGTAATCAAGTGCATTAGCAATTCCAAACAAGTTTCTAACAAACCTACTAAGTTTTAGCTACTTACCTCTTGTGTTAATTTTGGTATGAACCTCAAGTTGTGGATCACTTGAAACCATGCAAGGCCACCAAGGATATGTTCCCACTTTGGACCAGACCAGATCTCCAACCTCAAACTTGATATCGCTTGCTACTTGTGTTGGAAGAGGAGGAGAGATTTGCTGGACCTGCACAAAAAAGGAAAAGTTGTGTACCAGATATTCTGTACATATATCAAATACTACCAAACATGTGAATGAACAGACCTTTTACAAGAACAGCCCAGCAAAAATATATATGACAATCTCTCTCCCTGCCCCCACTGGTATAGGTGCAAGAAAAGCAGAGTATATCAAACTCTGTGGAGTTGCCCTCATTCTCCTTTAGTAGAGCTACAGTCTTTAAACAATTCTTCAGTTAGATTCATCATTCTAAAGCCACTGAAAGTAACTTATACTGCAAAACTCACCATGTCTACACTGAAGTCCTACTGAATTAGGACTGAAGCTAAAAAGGTACCCACACTTATTTGACCACTGTGTGCAGTGAAGAGAGACAACCTCTTCTAAGATGGTGCAGAAGTGATATATACATGTACCATATAAGAACACATGTTGGTCTTCCATTCTTTCTCCTGCCTTGCACCCTTTTGAGAAACACTACTCCATTTTCACCCAGGCTTACCTGTTCCACACCCTACCCAAATACTTCTGTGTCCTGCAGGCTACCCATGCATCTGGCAATGAAGCCCTTTATCTGAAAGCAGATTTATTTTTTTATTACAATTTATATACCACCTTTTCTTTCAAGAAGCTCAAGATGGTGTACTTGGTTCTTCTCTGCCACCCATGTTATCCTCACAACAACCCTGTGAGGTAGGTTAGGCTGAGAAATGGTATTTAGCTCAAGGTCACCCAGTGAGCTTCACAACCCAGTGGGGTCTCCCAGGTCACAGTCCAACACTCTAACCCAGGCTTCCACAATCTCCAGATATTGTTGGACTAAAACTCCCATAATCCACAGCCAGCAGGGGCAGCAGTCAGGGGTGATGGGAGTGGCAATCCAATAACACCTGGGAACCCAAGGTTGAGAAAGGCTACTCCAACCCCTACATCATACTGGATCAGCTTGAAAATTCTGCAGTCAGAACTCCAGAGGATTTGACTCTGCTCACCAGGGTTTCATCCGTCAGCTTAGTTTCTTCCCTTGGTCTTTCAGACAGTGTGCTCAGCCTTTCATTTGGTCTCTGTGAACAAAGGCAAACAAAAAGATAAGAGTCAAAACAGAACAACAATAAAGAAGATGGAAAGGGGGGAAAATACAGGAGAAACAAAATCAGAAGAGTCTGGGTCACATCCTCAGTAGTGATGTCCCAGTTTATTTTAGAATTCAGTTCGAGCCACAGACTCCTAACTGCTCTGGAGATCTACATTAATAAGACACAGGTCAGAGAAGTACAGGAAAAGAGAGGCAGGACAACTGATATGCCATTTATATTTTTGAACTGTTATATGCAAGTTTGTTGACAATTAAAACAAAAAAGGTTCTCTTTTGGACAACACACTTTTATACATACTAACCTCAAAGCGAGGTTATTTCACTGTCAGTGGCAATGAAGTCCATTGAAGCACACAGAGAAGTGAACGGCATGCATGATGTAAGTCAACCACGAGGGGAGGGGGACTGAGGTAAATTCAAAATTTCCTAAGGCAGTTTAACTTCTAAACAAGGTTGCTAACTGTATTTGGATTTAAATTAAGTACGTTCAGTCTTTAGAACTATCACATCTTGAACCAGAAATAAGTCTTTAGAACTATCACATCTTGAACCAGAAATCCAATTTAATGTGGCCAGACTTGACAACCTTCTTACAAGTTCAACAAACAATTACTTCAACTTAAGAGATAGAAAAGCATCCTTACAATTCAACATATCCATATTTCATTTTCTGTTGCAAATGAAAAACTCGTTGGCAGACAGGCAGTTCAGCTAAAATTTTAAGAACTATTTTGCCAATGGGAAGTTTACTATGATTGTGATACAGCTTCTCGTTTATGTTTTCAGCTACGTTTGGCAGCACTGTACAAATTGCACACACAATTACAGCATTCAACCCAAGTGTTTGAAGCACTCTATGTACAATCAAATTTCTTCCTGATGCTACAGAGGAATAGGCCCACAGAGGAACAGGCCCCCTTTACCTTTCTCTTCCCAATAAAAACACAACATGCAACCAACTGCAATATCAGCTTCATCTAAACTCACAGCCTGTTTCCAGGCTGAAAGGCCATTGTGATTAGATATGAAGAGGTCCTATGAAACCCCACAGAACCCCTTTAAAGGTATTTGTAGAATACAATGGAGTATCAATAAACATGGATTAGTTGTAGCAGCAGAGAAGGACATAAATTTAGAAACATGAATAGGGAAAGAGGCAATTGAGGCCAACTCAGTCTAATGTTACTGGAGATGGAAAGGTAAATTGCAAGCTTTTGAAAATTTATTTTTCTGGCTAAATTTCTCTCTCTACACTGTGTTGAAATGTATTGTCACCTTGTTTCCATGGGGTTGTGTAATCTCAGGCAGGCCAAATTGCTTGCCCAAGAATCACAGTGCCTGTATAAACCTTTGTTCTTGTTACTAAATTAAGAAAACTTGGTGAGGCTTAGTTACCACTCGCTTGGGTTCATGCAAATGATAATAATAAAGTCAGCAGAAGAGATTATTCACCATCAGTAATAATACTGTTCCGTATTTACACGGAACAAATTGCTTAAAATCTACGATCTACCTTGACAACGTCTTAGAATTCTACTGTAGCTTGGCAAGAGCCATATGCCAAGCTGAGCTAAGCTATGAACATATAATTCCCAGTTTATACCAATACTCACTTTTATTTCATAGTAAACAATTTTTAGAGCACCTTAACAAAAATAAAGCTTGATGTTTCTCTAACTCAAACAGGAATGGGAACCCTTAAGCCTGGCAACTTCTCTTTCTGGCCTTTCAGAGTCTATCCTGCCACACTTCCATCCTGGGAACAGCCCCTCTCGCTGGGCCATGCCTCTCACCCGCTTGGTTCTGCACCCTTCCTGAATGCCTTGGATTGACTGGAATGTGTCCTTGTGCTCCGATAATGTCTCTAAGCTACCTGGATGGAGGATAGAGGGGTGTGTGAGAATGTGAGCAGAAACTAGTCTGCTGTAGAAAGGTAAAATTTACATTCACTGCTCCACCAATTTTGGCCCCACCCAGCACTGAAAAATGGCCCCAGAAAAAGTAGCCCTTGAGTTGAAAAAGGTTCCCCACTCATGAACCCAGGTTCTCTTCCCCATGAGTTGCCTTAGTCTTGATCCTCTTTAAAAACAAAAAACTTTCCAGCTTTCCCTGAAGAAGCAACACTTTAGCAGTGAACATTTTAAGACTGAAGGGAAGGAACTACCGTATTTTTCGCACCATAGGACGCACCGGACAATAGGACGCACTTTGTTTTAGAGGGGGGAGAACAAGAAAAAAAAATTCTCCCCCTCTCTGCCCAGCGCCCCTTCAGTGAAGCGGCAGGAGGCGCTGCACAGAGAGGGGGAGAACTTTCCCCCTCTTGTTTTCCCGCTCTAAAACAAGGTGCCGTTAAGGTGAGTTCAGGCGGCTACCTTGGTAGCCTGGAGAGCGATAGGGGTCGGTGTGCACTGTCCCCACTCGCTCTCCAGGCTTCAGGTTCCTTTCGACCTGCTCTTTGGGGCTGGCGGGGGGAAGCCCACCACCAGCCCCAAAGAGCAGGTCAGGGGCTATGGCGTCTTCGCTCCATAGGACGCACACACATTTCCCCTTCATTTTTGAAGGGGAAAAAGTGCGTCCTATAGAGCGAAAAATACGGTAAGTGACTGAGAAGAAGTGAACCTTATAAAGGAGCTATGAGAATGTCTTCTCTCTACAGACTGCAGGGCTAACTAAGCTGTTAATTTAACTGTCCTGAAACTGGCTTGACTGCCACAGCCCATGGGGGGGGGATACTATAAATTCTGTATACTTTGAATTTGCAAAAAAACTCTGTAATTTAATTATCATTTTGTTCTACTATGGGCTCCAAAGAACTGTGATGCTGAGGAGACTTTAGATGTGGTTTTCTCCAAACAGCAACCACCCAAGTCAAATTACTTCTAAAACGCAGGGGATTTCAAGTTTTGCTTTGTACCATGGCACTGTGGGGTGTCTGTGTTTGTCAATGGTTTGAAAAGGAAAAAGCAAGGATTACACTGGGCCAGTATAGGCAGCTCTTTGGAGCCTACTGCGGTTTTCTTTAATTGACAGAGAACCAAGGCTGAGAGCAAACTGATGAAGGTCACAAAACAAGATCATGGCACAGGCAGAACTCTTAACACGGCTTTCCCAAATGGAAGGAGGAGAGCTTAAAAGTGCTTTTTGTGCACAGTTTTCCTGGTGCAGAAAGACTTTAAGCTCTCCAGTTTGCTTACTGGGCTTGGGGGCGAGAGAGGGGACTAGGCCCACTTAGCGGACAGCTCTGGAAAAGTACTGATGATCATGCGGGGGGGGGGGAGTTCTAAGTGGGTGGTCCGAGTACACATGCTTTTGCATATAAGGTAAAAGGTGCAGGTAAAGGTCCCTTGGACAGTTAAGTCCAGTCAAAGGAACACAGCTGGACCATACCGCTCACACATGATGCAATTGTACTATATATACATTTTTCCTCTCAAGAAGCTAGGAGAAAATTTATCCTTATCTGCACTGAAGTCAGAAAAAATCAGGCAACCTGCTCAGTAATATGGGAGGAAACTTCCCTTAAGCAGAACAACACCAAATCGTGAGGTATTCCCAGAAGAATTCTTAGTAGAGAAAGAATCAACTTCTCTCTACACTCACTAAACACATTACAATGCAAAAGAACAGGATCAACAGATTCTATCACTCCAGCTCCACACAAAGAGGATGGTTCATTAACCGTCAATTGTCCACTTAACAGTGCAAAAGGCAGCACATTAAAACAAGTCAAGATAAATGTTCCCCTAAACTTTGAGGCAGTTAATGTATACAAGTATGAAGCTGTGGTGATTCCAAAATTTAAAGGGTTATTTAAAGAGTAACGAAGAACAGATTTTGCTACCTGTTTGTGAAGCTATGTTGAACTGGCTGTTTTCCTATAAGCATGAGTTACCATACAAAATGTTTGTTGTGTGTTCTCCTAAATGTGGCAAAGAACAGTCGTGTGTAAGAATGCAAAATGGAGCCTGGAGTACCTCTCAAAGCAAGTTCCACTGGATCAACTTTCCAAGTTGCCCTTTCAACACCCACAATCAAAACAACCTCAGCTGGAGCTTTAGCAATGCCACATGGAACAATCATGCTGTGCTCAATGCGAAAAGCGCGCAGAAAGCATGCATATGTGTAACTGTTGTTTAAGGTCAGGTTTAAGGTGCTGGTTTTAACCTTTAAAGCCCTATATGGCCTAGGACCCTCATACCTAAGGGACCGCCTCTCCTGGTATGTCCCACGGAGGACCTTACGGTCTTCAAACAAAAGCATCTTGGAGGTCCCGGGCCACAGGGAGGTTAGGCTAGCCTTGACCAGAGCTAGGGCTTTTTTGGCCATGGCCCCAATCTGGTGGAATGCTCTGTCACAGGAGACTAGGGCCCTGCAGGACTTGACATCTTTCCGCAGGGCCTGCAAGACAGAGTTGTTCCACCAGGCCTTCGGCCAAAGCACAGCCTGACCCCCTCCTTTGGCAATCTTCACAGAACTCTAGCCCAATGGTTGCCATCAATTTGATTTGAATTAATTTTATAATGAAATGATTTTAGAATGTTTTATCATTTTACTGTTGTTAGCCGCACTGAGCCCGGCCTTGGCTGGGGAGGGCGGGATACAAATAAAAATTTATTATTATTATTGGCATCTGTCTGTCTCAAGAGACAATGGAATGCGCCTTTGGAGGGGGGAGTCAACCTGCTGTATTAGCAGCACTGAAATGACCTTCTGTGGTGCAGTGTGTATGGCTTTGGCTGTGTGTATGGGGGTCCTGGGCTTCCCAGACGTCAAGACCCCCCTCTCAGCCTCGCCGATGTGGTCCAAAGGAAGCAGAGCAGTATGACTGGGACCAACTTGTCTACAGTAAAGGTAAAAGTAAAGGATCCCTGGAAGGTTAAGTTCAGTCGAATTCAACTTTGAGGTGCAGCACCAATCTCTGCTTTCAGGCTGAGGGAGTTGCCGTTTGTCCACAGACAGCTTTCCGGGTCATGTGGCCAGCATGACTAAACCACTTCTGGCCCATGGAACACCGTGACGAGTGCCAGAAGGCACAGAAATGCCACTTATCTTCCTACCACAGCAGTACATATTTATCTACTCACATTGGTATGCTTTTGAACTGCCAGGTTGGCAGGAGCTAGGACAAAGCAACAGGAGCTCACTCTACTGCGCATATTCGAACTCCTGGCTTTACGACTGGCAAGCCCAAGAGGCTCAGTGGTTTAGACCACAGTGCCACCCGTGTTTTGGGTTACAGTACTTGCCAGAAGGAGGCATACAAGGCGCCACCCAACCATCTAAGGGGCTCCACTCTGGATTTCTTTAGGGTTTACTCCTTAGCTTTTTATTCTCCTGAAGATACTCTGCAAGGCAGCAGAGGTTTGGAATCAGAGTGTTCCTTCTCCTAGATGGGCTACCTTCCCAGGTTCATGAGCCCCTGAACTTCCCTTTATAGAATGGGCAGAAACTGCCTTCTTGACTGTTGGGCCCACTATTGGTCTCATCTGCTGAATTCGCCAGAGACTGTCTTCACATGCAGAGGAAGCCCCTAACTCACTGAGGGTTTGAGACCCATTGGCTACCCTCACCTGGTTTAGCTGGCCAGTTGAAGCCATTATTGCAGTGTGGCCGCTATTGTATGCTGACAGCTTCTAGGAGCCACTGGTGAGAGCTGAGTGCAGAGTGTGGAGCAAAGGTGGACCCACTACCCCGGAAGGAGCACAATGTGCCCCCCCCCAGGTACTATCCCTTCCCTAACCCCACCATAAACTCCTTATCAAGGGTTGGCAACCTAAGGCCCATGGGCCACAAGAGGCCCACGGGGGTCATTTAACTGGCCCGTGAGCCGCCCCTGAACCAAGCCGCCCACTCGGTGAGTCCCCGTGTGCTGTGCTAAACTGGCACAGCATGGCACGGGGACTGGCTTCCGCAGCGCCGGAAATTGCGTCTGCGCAGATGCCGGAAATCGCAGGCGCGTGCACGCTATCCAGTCCAACGAGGGATCTCAGCAGGACTGAACTGGCCCAGGCGAGGTAAACCTTGCCGACCCCTGCTCTATATGCCTAACTATATTATCATTATTAATTACATTTCTATCCTGCCCTTCCACCCAAAGGAGTCCAGGGTGGCAAACTTCAAAAAGTTAAAACAATACAATTTAAAATAAAATAAAAACTTATTTAAAACATTTCACAACAATTTAAAAACCATCTAAAAGCAGTTACATACCCTCATAATTACGAATTTCAAAGTTGTAATGGCCAATATCTTTCAGCCATCAATTACCTGGGTGTTTTTAAATTTCTCCTTAAAGTCAAGAAATACTACAGACACTGCTCACCAGGAAGGGCATTCCACAAATGGGGAATGAACATTGAGAAGGTCCTGTCACAGGTCAACACTAACTGGGCAACAGCTGGAGGTGGCAAACATGGTTCACCAACTACGTGTACCACAAGTCCATTTTACAGTACAGTGGTGCCTTGGTTTACAAACTTAAACCATTCCGAAAGTCTGTTTTTAAACCAAAACCGTTCTTAAACCAAGGCGTGCTTTCCCTAATGAGGCCTGCCACCCACCCACCATTCAGATTCTGTTCTTAGACCGAGGTAAAGTTCTCAAACCAGGACACTATTTCCGGCTTAGCGGAATTTGTAAACCGAATTGTTCTTAAACCGGAGTGTTCTTAAACCGAGGTACCACTGTATAAGAATGCCTTTCCAGTCCAAACTACAGCTCCTATACAGCTCAGCCCCTCCCCACCCATGGCTTGGGCCAGTTTTTCCTTTCATCTTCTGAGCTAAGGAGCAGGCATCTGCCTGACTATGGGAAGCCAGAAGTGCACCTGCTTCAGTCTAAAGGTGCCAGACTTGTGGCTTTGGTGCTTCAGGTTGGCCATTCATGGATTTGTGCATCAAAATGAAAAGCTGGAGCCCTGAAGTCAAGCCCACCAAACAAGTAGCTTAGCTGCAAAACTCTATACATACTCACCTGAGAACATGTCACAATAAATACAATAGGAGTTGTGAGTAAACATGCATGGCATCACACTACAGAATAGAAAAAAAGCTTTGAATTGCTCCAAAATCCCCCTTGCCTTCTCCTTTGCTCCACTGAATCTTACAGAATATTATTCTAAAGCCCTTGGCACAGAAGATTATATTTACTACTTCCAGCAATTCTTATCACATGCAACAAGTATAAATTAACTGCGTTATCTTCTGTTAATTATACAGAAGGAAATAAATTTACAATATTAAAAGAGGCTTCCTTTATACAGAGCTACCCCTTGTATGTACAGTTAAGAAATTAATTAACACAAGAAGAAAGAGAAGGCAAGGAATGGTTGTTAAGAGACAGAAAGCTTGAAGTGATTTATACTGAATCTAAAAATACCAAACTTTTCTTAAAGAAAAAGTTTGATGCAGCTTTAGGAGAGTCATTCCCTCAGTAACAATAAAATCACTGAAAGAAAAATTATGTCACTGATCAGGACAATTTTGCTCTGTCAGGATGTCAAGCTTCTGACAGATCATTATGGGAATTTGCATACTTTACGCAAAGAAAATCCAAATTCTGTTTTTGCAATAAAGAGCAATCCACCAAGATAAAAAATAATTTAAAAATGAGAGATCCATAATGGTGAACTGTTCAGGAAAGAAAACCACTAATCAATCTTAACTGTGCTGCCTAACTGTAGATGCTTTGATAATCTTTCAACATGTAAACAAAAACAAAGAAAATAAAATCAGTGTTGGAGGAAAAGGCTAAAATTCAGTTTTCACTTACATTTTGTTCCTCTGGCTCCAGTTTTGGAATTTTATGTGATTTGCGCTCTTCTGAGTGGGAAGAGTCATGCTTGCTACTTTTTTTCCTTTTCTCTTTTCTCCCTTCATGTTTTGACTTCGCATACTCACTGCCTTGTACTTCATTTAAAAGATCCCCACACAGAGAGGACTCAAACAATTCCCTGCCGTTCTGGATAGTTTTGGTTATTTTTAATTTGATTTCTGGTGAACCAGTCTTCTTTGGAATCACCGTTTGGGATACTGAAGGAGGTGGCTGCTGTGGAGGAGATGGTTTTTCCAGATTTTCATGTGGCCTTATGCTAGAGTTCTCCATGTGGTAATACTCTGGTGGACTAAAGTTTCTAACAGTGCCAAAGCCATTGGCTGAACCATTAGGATACTGACTATATGGCTGATATTTGGCTTGGGGTTCATACATGCCAATTGGTGGAAATCCATTAATGAGGGGTGGAAGATCCTCCGTTGTTGGCGTAGGGTACTGAAAACCTTGCTGCAAGGCAAGAGCAGCTTCATATGGCGTCTGACTACCATCTTCAGTGATGTCACTGCTGGCATCAAAAGCATCCTCTTGGCGGTTGTTAGCCGAGTCAATGAGTTGAGGTGGTTGCTGAATTGTGTTTCCCATGATCCCTTGCATGAAAGAGAAGGAGAAATCCATTGTTCTGCTCCAGCATCCTTAGCTTTCCCTTTTTCTCATAGGGCCTAAAAAAAGAAACAAGTGAAAAGATAAAGCAGTTGGTGGTGCAAGTTCTTTGGTAAAGTTTAAGAAGCCAAGACAAATGCTTGGAAGTGGGCTGGGTGAGAATTTCCCTCCATGCTAACACAATGAGTCTTAGGGCACTTCAAAGGCTAACAGATGTTTTATGGCATAAGCTTTAGTGTGCACTTCTACTGATGCATGAAGTGCTACCTTCAGTTAGAAAAGTATATATAAGATCCTAAGAAGAGTGCTTCTGGACTCCTCTAGTCCAACATCCTGTTCTCACAGTGGCAGGTCAGATGCCTGTGAGAAGCCTGCAAGCAAACAGCACTTTCTCCACTTGTGAGATTCCTAGCCACTGGCATTCAGAGACATACTGCCTCCAATAACAGAGGTAATACATAGCCATGACGGTTGCGTTCTACACACACCATACACAGAAGGGGGAAAAATGCATGTCTAGAATCTCTTGCATTTCACAGCCTTTCCCCTCACTGTTTATTTTCCCTTGTCTGTACCCATGTGTGGAGGCCTGGGAGACATGTTGAAACATCATCCAAAACCAATTAGAAGTCCAGATCACAATAATGGTTTCAGAATTTTTGACCTGGCAATATATCATGAATTCCCACTCACTTCCTGGCAGAGGGAGCTCAAGAAATTTCCCACCCGGCGCCCGCCTGCTTGTATCCTAGCAAGTGGGCTGCCTCCTTCCTCCTGGTCACTCCTCCTGCCCACTCCCTCCTTATGTGCAACGGAAGTGGAGAATCGTGCCATGTAGCTGCCTGGCTCTTGCATGGCCGATATGCAGAGACCAGATTACAACACAAGGACTGGGTGATGTATCGTCCAAAACCAGTTTGAAGTCCATATCCAGGAATCAACTCTTGGTTGCTTCTTCTTCCCCACCTTATTTCCTCCTTCCTCCTTATTCCAGACATCATGATATATTGGTATATCGTGATGGTTAGCTGGTAATATATCAAGATGTTGAAAACCAGATCTCACCCAGCCCTATTTGTGTAAAATATATTAAAAATCTCTAAGCCATTAAAGGTGCCAAAAGCACCATGAACAGTGGACCCTCTGGTTAAGAACTTAATTCGTTCCAGAGGTCCTCTCTTAACCTAAGGTACCACTTTAGCTAATGGGGTCTCCGGCTGACGCCGCGCGATTTCTGTTCTCATCCTGAAGTAAAGTTCTTAACCCGAGGTACTATTTCTGGGTTAGCGGAGTCTGTAACCTGAAGCATTTGTAACCCAAAGTGTTTGTTACCTGAGGTACCACTGTAACTCTGTGGAGCTAAGGGCACTGGCTGAACTATTTTTTTAGTCAAGAGTTATCTACCTATACCCCTGTATACCCCAGTTTTTATCTTTTGGGATTATCTTGCATAAAAAATGTATCTATTAGACAAGAGCAACTACATTAGTATATATGTGCTACGTGTTCTTCCAAAAACTGAGTTTTCTTACATACTGATGTGAGCAACTCCATTTGTGTGGTGGCCATGACAAGGAAGCAGCAAATTATTTTACAATATCACTGATATGGAAGTAAAAACATAATCTTGCTATTCATGCATATATAATAAAGGTAAATTAAGTGGAGGCATCTCACAGCAAAAACATCCTAGGGCCTATTCAAAAGTTAAAACGGTAAAGGACCCCTGACAGTTAAGTCCAGTTGCAAACGACTCTGGGGTTGCAGTGCTCTGGCCGAGGGAGCCGACAAGGGAGTTTGTCCGCAGAGTTTTTCCGGGTCATGTGGCCAGTATGACTAAGCCACTTCTGGCGAACCAGAGAAGCGCACAGAAATGCCGTTTACTTTCCCGCCGGAGCGGTACCTATTTATCTACTTGACTTTGGCGTGCTTTCGAACTGCTAGGAGGACAGGATCTGGGACTGAGCAACAGGAGCTCACCCCGTCGTGGGAATTCGAACCACTGACCTTCTGATCAGCAAGCCCTAGGCTCAGTGGTTTAGACCACAGCGCCACCCGCGTCCCTTATTCATACGTTACTTATATCCCATTTTGGACTGTACACAAGGGAGAGAACAGAAGCATGCTGACAGCTCATGCACTCCCTCCCTTTCTATTCTCAATGGGGAGAGAGCAGAACATCCAACTTAGGAGGTCTTAATTATCTGAATGTACGTCAAAGTGCAAGTAGATAAATAGGTACTGCTCCGGCGGGAAGATAAACGGTGTTTCCGTGCACAGCTCTGGTTCACCAGAAGCAGCTTAGTCATGCTGGCCACATGGCCCGGAAGCTGTACACCGGCTCCCTCAGCCAATAAAGCGAGATGAGCGCCACAACCCCAGAGTCGGCCACGTCTGGACCTAAAGATCAGGGGTCTCTTTACCCTTTACCTTTTTATATCTTCCTTATTCTGGGAGACCAAGCACTGTTAAAGAGTGCTTATCTGCCTGGAATCAGGGAAGATTCTACATTGCAATAACCACAGGACCTTTTTGTTCAGGCAGCCATGTCTCCTGCAGTGAGAAAAACAGGTGCACTCGATAGGGAGCACAAGCCCGAGGCTCAGTCTTGCTCTCTCCCTAGTAAGAATCCAGGCTAGGAAGGTGGTATCTTTTGAACGACTACGTACAGAAAACGTTTAAAGACCTCCTCAGGCGGCATGCAGATGAAGATAGCAAAAGAAATCTAGGTTATTTTGAAGAACACTCCTTTAAATTTGACACACATTGTGATGGCTTTATGAACAAACTGTTCAGCTGAACTACTTGCTGGCAAATTTGGCCCTCCGTATCAACAACCAGCTTGCATTAGCACTCTACACTCCAGATCCAAGAATAAGCTTTTACAGTACTGTATTGCTGATCCCAGGCCAATGGGACATACAGCACAGAATAAGCATATGGCTCTCCCTCCTCTCCCCGCAAAAAACATTTTAAATACACACAATATAGCCACCATCCCAATGCTTCCTTCCTAGCTGGTGTTCTGAATTCAACAATATACCACGTCTTAAACGTTTTGCACTCAGACTTATTATGACAGTTGAGAAAATGAACCCCAAAATGCAACTATGCACACAGCTTATAACTTCATGTTTGATCAGCAATGCCTGTTTTATACGTTTGAATAAACAAACAATTACTTTGCTATTTTGCTAAGTACAAAACATTTCTAAAGGGACACAAGTTTTTAAAGTGGCAAATTTAGGAAACTTGACTTCACTTTCTTAAAATCTGGTCTACAGTACAGTGGTACCTCAGGTTACATATGATTCAGGTTACAGACTCCGCTAACCCAGAAATAGTGCTTCAGGTTAAGAACTTTGCTTCAGGATGAGAACAGAAATCGTGCTCCGGCGGCGAGGCAGCAGCAGGAGGCCCCATTAGCTAAAGTGGTGCTTCAGGTTAAGAACAATTTCAGGTTAAGTACGGACCTCCGGAACGAATTAAGTACTTAACCTGAGGTACCACAGTATGAACATTCTTTCTCTTCCATCATCTTGCAATTCAACATACAGTATTCCATTTACTAATGACACAAATTCAAAAATATAAATCCAGCACAGTTGGGATCAGGGAAAGAACAGAATGAAAAAACACAGATGCACTCTCTCTCTCTCACACACACACACACAACTTTTTGAAAATGGGAAAATTGCTCAAAACAGAGAGCAACAGCTATGGCAAATTACATCTACAACTAAAATGAAAGTCATTCTGGGAACGTGGTTGTAAGGGTGACATAAATACTAAAAGGAAGGAAGAAGCAGCTCAAGATTCTTAAGACAGATCCCTGGTTTGAAGATCAGGCCACAGGAGTTCATGCTTTTGTTGGTTTTACTGTCATTTATAGTCTTGGAAATGGCTTCAATTCTTGATTTAAATCCTAGTAAAGAGCAAACCTTTAAGAATGGAATGTAAGGAACTGGGTTATTCAATTCCATGCCCCTGAGAATCCTAGCATACATAATTGGCACCATTTAAGAGTCAAAGAGAGAAATAATGCCTCCCCCATTTTCAGAACTGCTCTACAATAGAGAAAAGTTGGAGGAGGGAAAGGAGCTGCTGTGCTTAGAAAGGAGAAGCCACAGCTGCTGACAGCTTGGTTTTCCTCTGCAAAAGCAGTTTTGGCAGAGCAGCAGAGGGGGAGTTGTACTGCTATCGCCCTGACATTCCTGTTCGTAGAACAAAGGAAGAGAGGAGGGAACTTTTTATCACAATCTACAGCAGACACTCAACATCCTGGCCTGTTTGTCCACCCTTAAAAGTCATCCCTCCAGCATTCAAAGAGTTCTCTTTCCAGGATACTTTCTGCAGGTTGAGATGTGAAATAGCCGACCAAACACATGCCCAATATAAAAAATCAGCAGTACAGTGGTACCTTGGGTTAAGTACTTAATTCATTCTGGAGGTCTGTTCTTAACCTGAAACTGTTCTTAACCTGAAGCACCACTTTAGCTAGTGGGGCCTCCTGCTGCCGCTGCACCGCCGGAGCACGATTTCTGTTCTCATCCTGAAGCAAAGTTCTTAACCCGGGGTAATATTTCTGGGTTAGCGTAGTCTGTAACCTGAAGCGTATGTAACCTGAAGCGTATGTAACCTGAGGTACCACTGTAGTTCAGTGACAAGTGTAAAACCTCAAAAGGATAAAAAGCATAATCTTGTTTACCTCAATCACTGGCTGCTCCACACTGACAGTAAACTGCAGAGAAGTGTGTCACAAGTGCTTGAGTTGACTGTAGATAATAATACTTTAACACCACACTGTGCTGGTCCTAAATGTTAAAGTGATCTCTGGTGTATATTAAAGTTACTTTTTAGAAATGTGATGGGTTTTGCTACAAGGCAAGGAAAAGAACTACATATTGCAATCAGGGTAGCTGAGCATTTCCTGATATGCCTGGCTTCCAGAGTAACACACTTTCTTGCTCCGACAACTAATCATTTATTTTTATTTTTGCTTTATGCAGAAGACATTACAATGCAGTGCAGCTGCATTGATAAAGACTCAGCTAAAATCAAAATTCCACGAATTTCCAACAAGTAATTTTACCAAAGTTCATTGGGGATGTTAGGAGTGGGTGGATGCTAGCATCATACACACAGGATCCTCTCCAGAAGCCCTCCTTCAGGTCCCCAAGAGGTGAGAAGAGATGGCTCATCTGTCACAGAGCTCAATGCCTTTGGTGCTGGATGGAGAGTTTTTATTCACCCAGGCCTTTTAGATGTTGGGTTTTATGAAATTTTTAAATATGGCTTATTGATCATTGTTCTGCTACTGTTATAGGATGCATTTTCTGTATCTATTACTTTTTTAGTATTTCAGCTGCATTAGCAACTCAGAAATCACCTGAAAAGCAAGATATAAATGCTCTAAAGTAATTAAATAAACATTATTACAAAATACAGTGGTACCTCTAGATGCGAACGGGATCCATTCCGGAGCCCCGTTTGCATCTAGAAGCAAATGTAACCAGTGATGGCACGTCTGCGCATGCACACATTGGTTTTCATCGCTTCTGCGCATGACGTCATTTTGAGCATCTGTGCATGCGGCAAAACCCGGAAGTAACGCGCTCCGTTACTTCCGGGTTGCCGCGGAGCGCAACTCGAACGCGCTCATCCCGAAGCACATTCAACCCGAGGTATGACTGTATAGCAATAAGCAAACTTCATGACAACTATAACCAACATGAAAACTTTAAGCACATTTTTACATTATTGGTATTTATTAATTTGTATCCCACTCTTCCTTTCAAGGCAGCAAACATCAAAATGTTACATTTTATATTTAATGTTCCTGAAAAAGAACATGATGCAATACCCAAGGAACAGGCTGCAAAAAGCAGAGTCAACAAATGGTCAAACTAGGACAAAGAGTCTGACCCCCTGCAACACCATTATATTGCATTAACTCCAGCATCCCATTTTGTGATGGTAGGCAAATAGCCAGCATTTCACTGATGGAACATAACCCTTTCATTAGTAATGAGACACGGTTAGACTGAGAGACACAGAATATCAGAAAGTCAGCACAAAGCTTTACATCCTCCTTCATCAATACAGTTGTACTTTGGATCCCGAATGCCTTGCAACTTGAACGTTTTGGCTCCCAACGCTGCAAACCCGGAAGTGAATTTTCCATTTGCAACCGTTCTTTGGAAGCCGACTGAGTGCAGGAAGCTCCTGCGGCCAATGGGAAACCGCACCTTGGTTGTCGAACGTTTTCAGCAGTCAAACGGACTTCTGGAATGGATTCCATTCAACAATCAAGGTACGACTGTAATTACAATTCTGCATTTTTCTAGAATGTACACAAATGATGTAATTCATTATTAGAGTAGTATTTTTCCCAATCTGATAAACACAATGCTACTCAATTGCAATTCTAGACACACACAAAAGGTTAAGTTTAACCTCAAAAGTAAGCCCAGGCTTAACTTGTAGGTTATCTATCATATGGCATTATTCAGCCCATTAAGCACTTTTAAGTCCCAGCAAGTGCTTAGCTGTCCGACAATAAAAATAAATGGGAATTTAGAATTGCTTAAATTTGATCATGTGCACTGTTCTGAGTAGAGGCACTGCACCCTTCTGGGGGTCACATGGCAGTGGTGGGTAGCCCAAGGGACATGACATGTAGCTTTGTACTGGAAGCTACAGCCCAGTCATTCAGAAGTCAAGCTATTTCTACATGTGTGTGCCTCCATCCAGGCAAGCAAAAGGCATTATTACAGTTCAGTGACACATTGCATCTAGAAGGGGAGGCGTGGAGCAGGGCCAGTGAGAAATGTGAGCTTGAGAAGGGGTGTGGCCTGAAAAGAAAAGGACCAGACAAGCAGAACTATAAGGCTGAAGTGGACCCCTGGATCTGAGACAGTAAAGCTTTTCTGTGTTTGCCCTACTCTCTGAACTAGAGAGTTCAACACGGCAACCTCCCTGCACACTTTCCATCAGCAGATGAAACACTGCCTGGGTACTGGTCAGCTTATTTATTTTACTCTGATTATGACACTGCTGTTTATGGCTTTTGTGGCATTCTGTTTTTATGGTATCATATTACAGACTTTTTTCCACATCTTGTTAAGAGTATGAGAGAGAGCAGCTACTAAATTATATACAAATAATTATATATACACTACAATAATTAGCAACACTACCACCAGAGGAGTGGACTGGACAACATAATCTGCAATCTTAACCCCACTGAATTCCACAGAACTTAATTCTGAGCAGACATGGTTAGGATTCCATTAGTAGGCTTCAACAGTAAATCAATGACACCCTCTTTCAAAAGAGGTGTGTCTGGGCTAAGGTGTCAGCTGTCTAACACTATCAAACTTGCATACAAGCAGCCATACAGAGAAGAAAATCAAGGCCTTCATGCTGCCTACCATTTTTATATGTATGTATATAGTCTTTCAAGTATACAAAATCTTCCATTTGCAAAATAAAATAAAAATTTTGCCTTCTTTGTGTAACAAGAAACACAGGATGCTATTTTCACTAGATCAAGTAGGTTTTCAAAATAAGCTCAGTTCGAGTATTTTAAAGCCTAGCTGGTCCAACAAAGGCATCATCTCATGGGTCTGGGGTTTCTCATTCCCACATAAATTGCCAACACTCTGGTTGTTTTGTATATTTATATTATAGAAAGCATAGTCTAAACAGTTTTATGAAGAGCAAAGCAGTTATGAGTCATTTCCAACTTTACATACACATAGCGCTGAAGTAAAAAAAGTAATCAATTTAAAGTGAAAAATAATTATTCCTAGAAAGCATTTTGTTACAAACTTCCCCTTTGCCAACGTACTTGTCCTCTCTACTGGAGCCAAACATTACTACTTTAACTGATTCAATAGCACCTGGTGTCATCCACTGATCATCTTTTACTAAGACTTGCTTAGAGAAAATAGTAACAAGAAAGAACAGCACTAGAGTGGCAGACATTGCCTAGTGTTACACAGAACATGGTGCAGTTATGAAAATGTTAATGAAATATTGTTATTCTGCATATAACTGCAGCATTGCAGCCAATCATAGTAATAAATTATATCTTGCCCCCAGAGTATTAGAGTTTTTCAGGGCAAAAACAGGAACACTGAGAAGCAGATGTGTAAAAATGAAGCAAGCATATCAAAATATGATGCTTCGATTTTAAAACAAACCGACACAGGATTTATCCAAACATGCAAAGATTGTGGCTGATTGATAAGACATTCACATTTATACTTCCGTCCAATCAACAAAGAAAAACAAAATGAACAAACTACAAATATTAGCGCTACAATCAGAATATGGAGCCTCTCTCCACTGCAGAAAAAACCCTCGGATGCTATCAATTAAAAAAAAAATTATCAAAGCATCACACAAATATACCTGCTTCCCACTAATCAGATACCTGAACAGCAATTTGTCTCACATCTCTGTTGTCTGCTGTACATGAAATACAAACAACAGCATCTGCACAGTTCAATGGCAGTTAAAATAAAGGAACACTTAGCTATCTGTACAGGAATAGAGTCAAGAAAAAGCATTAAGAAAAATGTAGGAGGAAATTCCCTTCGTGTATAATATTTAAAACACAATCAGTAAGTAAGTTTCATCTTGCTGTTCACAAACAAGTGTGCCTTTTGTCGACAGCCTTGGCAATGTCATTTCCTTGTTTACTTAAAGAAATTGCTGAAGACGGTTCAGCCTTCTGCCATTTACAACAGAGACAGCCCCTCTACCTATTTAATTCTTCATGAAAATGGAGAGAAAAATGTCTGTATAATCCCGCTGCAGATTTGTATTGAAAAGGGTTAATTTCTGCACCACAGTCCCCTAGCAGTACTGGCTGCAGAAAGGAATGAGAAGGAGGAAAGATGTTCCTTTCTCAGCCTGCTTATGATAAATTTCAGAATGGTATGATTTTAAGATAGAGAATAAGGAACAAGGAGAAGGATCTTAAAGATCATTTGATAACCCAAAGCAAGTCTTGTTTCTTTTGGGGAGTAGGGGGTCTAAAGAGATTTACACTGCAGTATATGGAAGCAAACATGGCTGCCTCTGCCCCTTTAAATCCAAATGGCCCTACTCCATCACATTAAACTATTATCTGATCTATCCTTAATTATTCCTCAACCCTTCTTTGAAAAACAAAGAGGGTGCCTCTCCCTTTAGCAACAAGAGATCACTTTCTAGAACTCTAGGTTCAAGCCTTGATAGGGCATTCATGCAAATTTATACGTGTAGGCATGCACTGTATATACATACACAAAAGGTTGTGTTATTAACAGTCCCAGATTAGACTTCTCCAACTCCAAGGCCAATTCCAACACTACCCCATGACTATTTATGGCTTTCTAGTTAGAATGTCATGCAAAACAGCAACCCCATGGCAAGCGACATAACCAATTCCACATCCACAGTCCATATTCTCTCACTTATATATGACACTACATTAAGGCCATCTCGCCAGACTCCAGCACAGTTATTCTATTATTGTACTGGTCACAAAACACAACCCATAGCAACTATTTGTGTATAAATTATTTCATAATGTATTTTCCTATATTGTTTCTCATATCCTTTAAGCCAACAGTCTTGAAGAGTCTAACACTCCAAACCACCTAAAATGCCTCAGCAACTGTGTTTCCATTGTCATGTTGACAACATCAACCACAACTATAGGACTACAGTTGAGGTTATAGGACCATAACCTCCTTGCATACCAGCTGACTTTATTATTTATCACCAAATCATCAATCCCATTTTATTTTATTTATTAAATTTGTACATCTCCCTTCATCTGCAGATCTCAGATGAAGTACAAAATACATGATAAAAACAACCATAACCCCACCTCCCACAAACAAATTTAAAAGGCATATACAGTGGTACCTCGGGTTACATACGCTTCAGGTTACAGACTCGGCTAACCCAGAAATATTACCTCGGGTTAAGAACTTTGCTTCAGGATGAGAACAGAAATCGCGTGGCAGCAGCAGGAGGCCCCATTAGCTAATGTGGTGCTTCAGGTTAATAACAGTTTCAGGTTAAGTACGGACCTCCGGAACGAATTAAGTACTTAACCTGAGGTACCACTGTACTGTAAGATGTTAATCAGTCAAAGGACTGATTGAAGAGGAACATTTTTGTCTGGAACCTAAAGGTGTATAATCATAATGCCTCAACCCGCCTCCAGCCTTCGTCCCAATTCTGGCATCCTCACAATCCCATTGCTCTATGTGAGATCTAGCCTCCAGTCATCATCCCACTTCCACTCCATCTGTTTCAGAGTCCTATAGCACCCATACATCCTCACATTCCTAGGTCTCCCCAAACCCCCATTCCCCCAGAATATATATGCTGCCCATACCTCCCCTCTGCACTATCTACCACATACAGTGGCACCTCGGTTTAAGAACAGCCCTGTTTACAAACGAATCAGTTTACGAACTCCGCAAAACTGGAAGTAGTGTCCTGGTTTGCGAACTTTACCTCAGTCTAAGAACGGAACCTCATTAGGGAAAGTGCACCTCAGTTTAAGAACAGTTTCGGTTTAAGAACGGCCTTCTGGAACGGATTAAGTTCGTAAACCGAGGTGCTGCTGTGGAATAGTTTTTATGTATTTTAATAAAGTGTTTGATGTTTTGATGATACTTTGTTGGTGTACTTTCGCTACAAGTTCTTGGTGCTGCTACTGCTAAATGTCTACCAAACACACAAATACTATGGTACTCAGAGCCAAATCCACTATGAAAAGTCCTTACTTCCACATCTAATGACCCCCTGACTCTTTAGAGCTCTCCCTCAACTGGTGGTATATTAACCAATTCACTACTACTGTATACGTATCTCCTCAAGAGGCACACTAAGCTCAACGGGGCTCACTCCAAGAGCTAAGGAACTATTAGGTCCAAATTTGGAAACTTACATACAGTACTTTAAATCTCACTTTGCCATGAACTCATTATGTGGTCTTCAGCAACCCACTGTCTCTCAGATCAAATTCTGATATAAATAGCTACAGGTTATTTGTCATGATTTTATATTGCCCTTTCTCCAAAGAATTCAGGGCAGCACACATAGTGTTAGGCTGAGAAATATTGAATGGCCTAAGGTCACAAAGTGAGTTTAACAGCTGAATGATGATTTGAACCCACTGACCTTATGCACACCACATTTCAGATTACAGTGGTACCTCGGGTTAAGAACTTAATTTGTTCTGGAGGTCCATTCTTAACCTGAAGCACCACTTTAGCTAATGGGGCCTCCCGCTGCCGCCACCGATGCGTGTGATTTCTGTTCTCATCCTAAAGCAAAGGTCTTAACCTGAAGTATGACTTCTGGGTTAGTGAAGTCTGTAACCTGAAGTGTCTGTAACCTGAAGCGTCTGTAACCTGAAGTACCACTGTACTGAGGGCTACTCTGGATTACAGATATACCCTAAAGCACTGGGGGGGGGACGGACCTTGAAAATGCCCACTTGTGCTTGTCTGTGCCAAGTAAGGTTTGCTTCTTGGAAACTGGGAAGGGAAAGCTTTTGCTTCCTGCGCTGGGTTCCCACCTCATCTCTCCTTAGGTCCCCAAACTGCTACATAAATATGTCTGTCCAAGCCAATACCAAAGGGAGGGAGGTCACCCATGCAGGAGCAAAGGAGGAAGACCAGGTGGGGAGGACTCTGGTTCTCGGGGTCGTGGGTTTGAGCCCCGCATCGGGCAAAAGATTCCTGCATTGCAGCGGGTTGGACTAGATGACCCTCGCGCCCCTTCCCACTCTATCGTTCTACCATGAGAAGCCTAACACCCTTCAGCGCACGTTTTCATCAAGGGTCCTGTAGATGAAAAACGAAAGGAAAAATGGAGGGCCCTAGGGCTCTCCAAAAGGCAAATATTGGACACGGAGGATTGCTGAGGACTAGCAACTTGGGGAGGCTCGTTCGCAAGGCGACGTCTCCGCCCCCTGCCCCCCCTCCGTGGCGCCTCACCGTCAGTCTGTTCCATTCTAACTTCCCCGCCGTATCGGACCGATCGCCGCCGGGACGCGTAACGGAGGAAGCGCGGCGGAAAGGGCCTCGCCGGGCCGGGCTCGGCAAAGGGGGCGGGCCAGGCCCTGCCGTAGGCCGCGCTCGATCCCCGGCCTCAATTGACGCGGCGCTCCGGCCGCCGCCTCCTCTGCCGCCGCCTCCTCCTCCTTCTCCTCCGTCGCGGGCGGCGCAGGAGCCTCCTCGGGGGCTGCGGGCGAGGAGTCCGGGGAAGAGAGGGGGCGCTGCCGCTCCGCTCTCTCTCGCTCGCTCGCTCGCTCTCAGGCCCCGGCCTCGGCCCTGCCCGCCTTCGCCGCCGCCGCCGCCGCCTTTCTTCTCGCGCAGCACAAAGCTCCCTCAGAGGCAGCGCCGGAAGAAAGCGGCGCCTCATTGGCTGCCCGCGCTGCGCCAGGCGCCGGGCATGCTGGGAGTTGCAGTTTCCCGCCTGGACGGGTCGGGCGGAGGGCGCGCGCTTGTCCCGGGGCAGCGGCGGCGGCGGCGGCGGCGCTCCAGTTCCCTCCAGCCCAGCAGGCAGGGCGCTGCCTTGGGGGACGGGGAAGCCGCGGCTCTGACGGGGTCCCGCAGGGACAGCCCGGCTGGCAGGAGGGGTTGGGGCTCCCCTGTGAGGCCTCCAGGTGCCCCGGGCGCGCGCGCAAAACTCTTCCACTAGGGAAGGCGGAGAGCCGCTCTTGGCGCTCGGGGAAGAGGCCCAGCTGTGGCACTTCTGCACCAACATGCAGGCCCGATTTGTGGGTTTTAATTCACATATTCATTGGAATGGCTAGACTGGGCTTCCCCTCAATTCTACAGAATGCCGACTTAAAAACGAATAAGCATAATCTGTCACCTCTCTTCAAGTCTTGTTTGGACAAGAATGAGCAGACTTGTGATTTCAGGACTCTGGAAACTGGGCAGAGAAATTTAAATGACATAGATGAGATTCAGAACTTAGAAAGAAGGCTAATATAATAAAGAATTGCTATGTACATACAGCCATGTCTGTAACTTGAGGCATACTTGTTGGGTGGGTGGGCATGTAAACCATACAGCCCAACCTCCTGCTGAGGGCAGAACATCCAAACCTAGAGCAGACCCAACAGATGGTTGGCCAGCTCCTACTAAGTAATGTTAGAGTCTGGGGATCAGGCCAAAGACACAACTCGTCCATCATCTTGTGGCCAAGCTAGTGCCTAATGGCAAGCCTCAAAGCGGGACCTGCGCACAACAGTCTTTGCCTTCTCCTGGTGGGTGTTTCCCAGCAACTGGCATTCCGAGGCGTCATTAGAGGTGGAACAAAGACATAAGGCTAGTAAGCCATCCATAGTCTTATCCTTCATGAATTTGTCTAATTCTCTTTTAAAGCCACCCAAGTGTTGGTGGCTTGACCTCCACTGAGGGAGTCTTCCACATCCCTGGGTAACGGATTCCATTATCAAACTGCTCTTACTGTCTAAAGGTTTCACCTAATGTTTTGCTAAAATAGTATATCATCGTATAACTTAATCCCATTTGGTTTAGTCCTTCCCATCCTGAGGCAGCAATAAAACTGCTAGCAATTTGCAAAGCTAAGCCGTGTCTGGTATGGTTTCAGATTGGATAGGGACCTTAAATGGGTTGAGGTTCCTGCACTGCAGGGCGATAGGACCCTTGGGGTTTTTTCCAACTCTATGATTCTAGGAAAAAAGCCTTTGCCTGCCTCTGTATAGCAGCCCTTCAGATTCTGGAGTAGTGCTCTGATGTCTCCCCTCAGTCATCTCTTCTCCATCAACCTTTCCTCAGGATTTATTTTCTGTACCAATGGCCATCTTCATGGCCTTCCTCTGAACCTGCTCTAATCCATCTACATCCTCAAAATGCAAGTCCAGAAACTGGGCACAGTCCACTGGATGTATTCAGAATAGTGCTGAATGATGTGGAAGTAGGCCTTCTCATTCGCATTCTCTCTAGCCACTTTACACTTCTAACTTCATGTTCAGCTTGTGGCTGACTACAGTCCCAAGCTCATTTTCACATGTGTTACTGCCATATCAGATCTCCCCCATCTTATACATCGGGTTCATGTGCCTAAATAGATAACTTTGCATTTTCATTCTGCTGAATATCATTTTATTAATTTTTATTCCTGTCTCCTGAGATGTTAGCAATACCTCCTGGTTTTGTGTCATTTCCAAAGTGATAAGTGTTCCCTCTATCCTTTAATCTAAGTCATTGAGAAAACTTTGCCTGTTGTTTAAGTATGCTGCTGATCAAAATATCAGGGGGGACTTTACCCCATGCTTTGCTGAAGTCCAAATAAAGTATGTCCACAGCATTCCCACTATTGACTACGCTAATAACCCAATTTTTAAAAAATCTATAAAGTTAGTTTGGCAGGGTTTGTTTTTGACAGTCCACGCTGGCCCTGACTAATCACTGCATAGTTATTTACAGTACTTGAAAAAATTACCTTGATCTTCAGTCCCCAAAAGACTCCCAGAATAGCTTACAGACCAACAGACATAATAGAGTTCCTGCCCTCAGACTTACAATCTAAAAGGACACAATCTAAAATGACACAAAAGGAAAATTGATTGTGAGGGTGGAGGAAATAAGCAACTTGTGCACTCCATATCAATTCTAGTACCTTTCCCAGTCAGACTGATTCTGTGGTTTTCTCAAACTTTCTTACCTAAACCCACTTTTTAATATAGAAGATTAGGACAACATTTGCCAGTCTCCAGCCCATCTGGCTCAACAGCGTCTAGATTATTTAGCAGTAGTTTTCAGACAGAATACATTTGCGGTCCTACCTAGAAACATCCAGGATTGAACCTGGAATTGTCTGCATGCAAAGCACATGTTCCACTCCTGAGCTACAGCCCGTCCCTTACAAAGGTAAATTTGTCTGATGATTTCTCAGCCCCCTCTTCCACCAAAAGACTTTAAGAAGTAAAAATGTTGCACTAAACGTTTTATTTTATTTTTAAAAAATACTTCTATACTGCCTTTTACTCCAGAGAGTATCAAAGCATAGATTGTAAAACATATCTGGAAAATATTCATAAGAATTATAGTAGGGTGCTAAATTCTTGACATTAAAGGTCAGGAAATATCTGAGCATGCCAGAAGCAACTGACAGTTGGTAGCGTGTATTTGACTGCAAAAAACAATCTGAAGTGTAATGCATAATGTAAATTATGATAGGCCTGGAGATTGGCCTTCCACTGCATGTGCTTTTTGTGGGGTTCAAAAGAGGTATTGTGGGAGAAATGACCATGTGGAATATGCATAGACTTGATAGGCTTCCCTTCTGGACAGAGTAGGCTGGGATAGAGACTTGAGGGCCAAATGCAGCCCTCCAAACTTCTCTATCTGACCCTCAGGACTCTCCCCATACCAGAAGCCCTCCCCAGGCCTCACCTCTCACTGGTACCTGGGCTGCCACTCCTGGAATATTTCTGGCTGGCTGGAAGGCATCCTTGACCTCTGGTGACGATGCCTCTTGCTTGCCTTGCCTTGATAGGGAGGCAGGAGTGAGTGTGCAATAGAAGCAAAGATAAAGCATTTATTCAAAAGGTTGTCCAGAAGGCTGAAAAGGGTTCCCCAGGCCTGCATTGGAGTCTGAAAGAGGAGAAAGTGGTCTGGAGTTGGAGGGAGTTGCAGCCTTAAGGATTCAGAGGGTGACTGGTGGACTGCTGCCACAACCTATAAAGGGAGATGGAAGCCATGAAGAAGAAAAACCTGGCTGTTTGTTCAAATCAGCTTTCAGAGGCCCTCCTCCTGCACCCATGAGAATGGATACTTGGGTTGGAAACCACAAGTGATAGGGCCTTCTCAGTGGTGGCTCCATGGTTATGGAATTTCCTTTCATACAGAACCTGGAAAGTCCCTTCATATATTCTAATTTGCCTTTCTTAAACAATGTTATTTCTGTCAAACATTCCTGAGACTTGATGCTTCCTTACTATTCTGGAGTCTTCAATTTTCAACTGTACACACATCTCTCTCAGATGGATTTCCCCCAGTTATACACTGCTTTGTAAGGCAGATTATAAAATGCTTTCGATAAACAAAGCTAGGGAACAGGTTGTGTTCTTTCTTTTGGAGGCTTTGGCTACATCTGATGCTTCTTGATTTGGAGGGAGGTACAGGTAGACAGAAGCACGAAGGGCAGGGCAGGGGGCTTTAAATTGCTTCAGTGTGTTAGCATGTCCTTACTCATCACAAGATGAAGTGGTCACAGCCTGGGTAGGAGTGATGTAGCCAAGAAATTCTACAGACTCATTTTGTAATATACAGAAGGCAGTTCCAGATTCCGGTGAATCAATTTGCATTACAGCATCTTGTTGAGTTCCTAGCTCTACCTGCTGGATGGTTGCCATCTGGGCAGGAGACTGAAACTGTAGGTGGGGTGTCATTCTGAATGCTCACAGACATGTACACAGATCCCTGCATGTAGACAACTAGCACATCACGCCGAAAGTTTGCATATCATGCTCTCCCCGCAGTGGAGACTTTTATGTCCGGGGTTGCAATAATGCAGGAAAGAACTGTGTTACTGCGGTTAACATGTCCCCGAGCATAGCATGAGAAGGGGGTTCTTCATTACTGGGAATGACAGCAATAGGGGGACTGATGTGCTATTTTGTCCTGGGTTCAGAGCAAGGAGAGATCTTCCACACAAGCCTGGAAAAGAAGACAAGATGAAGGCTTTTCAGTGTTTTCCTTTTCTTAAATTTTTGAAGCTGATTTCTGGTGAGTCAAGGTTAAAATGGTATAACTTGCTCAGGTGTGAAAAAGGCTAAAATCTTAAATGTTTGCTTAGGCTGAGCAAAGTAGTCACTGGTAATGTCAAACCCTTACCATATGGAAACAGAAATTAAGATATAACTGAATTAATGAATGCACACCTGTCACTGGATATAGAAAAGACAGCAAGTCAGGATGTAGAATGGCTAATCAGTGGCACAGCCATTTACATCCTCTTTAAATGAAAATACATGAGCGCGCACACCACACTGAGAGATGGAGGATGCTGTTAATTACTAATAGATTGCATTTAATTACTAATGCATTGCATAAAGACAGGGAGCATGCAAGATTCTGGAGGATCAATATAGCATCTGTCTCAGGTTCTGCTTTTAGCTGCTGGGGTTTGACATCTGGGCAAGAGACTGGGAATAAATACCATCATTTTCTGTTGTAGTCATGAATGCAAGATGCAGAGGAAATCATTTGCAATTCATTCCACTCTTGCCCAAATCTGAAACATCCAAAGTAAATACATTGGGAATGAAATCTACTGTTACTAAGCCAAAAGGAAAGGAGAACAGGCGTGTGGAGGGGGAAGAAACCTTACATCCAGCAACAGTAAAAGGGA